ATCTGCAACTATAACGGATTACCAGTTAATGACATTGTTCCTCGGTAGGTAATTTTTTTTTTTTTTAATGCTTTGATAAATTATATTATACTTATAGAATATAATATGTACGTGCACTTTTTTTTTTTTTTTTTTTTTTTTTTTTTTTATATATATATTAAATAATGAACCATATGAATTGTATTAATGGGAATCATTTATTGTACGGGGGAAAAAAAAGTTATCAAATTTAAAAAAAAAAATTCAAAAATTCTTTGTCAAGGTTGTATCGACATTAAATTAATTCTTCCGCAATATACCTATGGAAACAATTAATATAATATAATATATGTCTAGACAGATTCCACAATCGCTATATTTGTTTAAAATTTATACCGATTTTTTATAATATTATGATTTAAAATAATCGATGAAAAAAAAAAACTTATTTTAGTATATTATATTTCGACTTTATTATAATTTATGTAAATTTGTGTATATTCTTATTCAAATCAATGTAATATAAAAGAAAAAAACCATTCGTGAACAAAATAAACAAAACATAATACTAATATATTTTAATTTTATACTTTTTGTAAAAAAAAAAAAATAATAATCTAGGACTGAATACATTATATGTTGTCAATGCGTTCGAACAAATATCAATAACATTTAGGTATAAAATATGGTTTAAGAAATTGAAAATGATAATATAATTATTTAAAAGTGATGTAAATTTTAAATTCAGAGTATAGCAAGGGATCTATTAGTTTTACTATGATGTGTGTCAAATAATTATTATTAAAGAAAAATATATGTAATGCCTATATGTAATTATTTTACCATAATATGGCATATACATATATTGTTGACAAAGCATCACTATCAATTGAATTCCGAAATCGTTTTTTCGTTAGAAATGGTTTATCGTATGCTTACAAATAGACATTAAATTTCCCATCTACTACCTTCCCAACTACTCACCAAAAAACAGTAGATGCACCCACGTGCGAAGTATGTCCGTCTTTTTTAATGCAATTATTTTTAGTCGTAGCTTTTTTTTTTTTTATGCTGTGTACATAAATTCTATTGAAAATCTTGCTCCGATGACAAGTAAATTATCTTTTCTGAAAGGAAATTTGATCTAGTTGGTACTTTAAAGAGGTCATTTTTCGATTTTCCCAGAAGTTTTCAAATTAATTGAGAAAAATTGGAAAATAACGTAGGAAAACGAAAGAATTTACAATAACAATCCTTTGATTATTTTCAATTTTGATTTTTTGTCAAATTCAGTTAAAAATATTCGTGAAGACTTAAAATTTGGACAGAAATATTTGCCTTCTCTAGATATGGTTAAATTTTCAAAAAATGTGAGCCATTTTTGAGCTATTTATAGACATTTTAGTTTTGCAAGTTTTTTACGTAATATTTATTCGGCAAGTACTCTATGGATAAAATTGTTAAACCAAATAGAAATGCTTGAAAATGTACAGGAGGTTCATTATAAGTTATACTAAGTAGTCAACAAGAAAAAATTGAGTGTAACGTAAAAGAATTTTATTATCAAATTTTAAAACATGTATAACCGTATTCCGCTAATAATCGTTTTTTGTTATTAGACAAAATTAAACAGTAATATTAGTAGAGCAAGTAATATAAAATTAAAGGTGATTTAAGTTAATTTATTTACACTATAAATCAATAAATAATACTCTAGTCTCTATAGATATCAATCAAGAAGTCTACATATTAGACGAAAATTGTATACAGCAATTGTAGATTTATCAAGGTTATTGAGAAATCCAAATCGTATACTTCTATCTCTAAATGAATGATTTACCTACAAAGTATTAGGTATACCTATGTCTCGTGTTTTAATATCGAATGATAAATCAATACAATTACAAATTATCGTCAAGTTTAATTTTTTTGTATTTTACATAATTACAAAAGCTATTAAATTTATATACATTATTATAATTAAATAAATTAGGTACAAAAAGTAAAACTCGTGGTTTTAATAGTACCTACTACAGTGTGGTAAATGTTCAAACGAATGATAGGTGCCTACAATGTACAACATAAATGGTATTATATAGCTATAAAATAAAGGTATAAGGAAAGTAGTTAAAAAAAATTACAATAATGAATAGGTTCTTACGTATAATCATAAATTATCACCTGATATAATAGTACTTATTAATAATTTGAATAATATATTGGCAATAAAAAGTTTAAATAGCTATTATAAATAGGTAGGTATAAGGTATAAATAAAAATTATTTAAGTAAGTACCAGTACAAGTAAAATAAAATAATATTAGAACCCGGATTTAAATGTTCTATAAAAAAATTTAAAACAAACTTAACGAATGCACTAAAAACCTTCACATGAGAGACTTGTAAAGAATTGTAGAGATTGTATTAACTCTTTTAAGCACGACCTAAAATGCTGTACACTACGATAGTTAGTGCAAGTACGAAATAGCATTGGGGCATGTGCAGTACAAAATGAAAAATTGTATTGCCAGTCAATTTAGTTATAATTTTTCTGTTATTTGAATATTTCGAATTTTATCTTTAATCTATGAGTCAGGAATATTATTGAGTTTGATAAATACATATATGATTATGTATGATATATCTGTGATAACTGACATTTATTATACTCTACAATAAATGGCGTAGTCAGGGAGAAAGATTTGGGTGTTGTAATCCTTCTCCCCTCATTGCTTTATTTTTTTAGCTATAGAAAAAGTTAAAAGGCTATAGACCTCAAACATTTCAGCCCCCCCCCCATTCTCTCATTAATGAATCCTTGCTATGCCACTTATTACAATATTATAGGGCAATCATAATTCCAATACTTAGTATCTATTGTGTTCGTGGTATATAGTTTACGATATTGTTGTGTGGTATAGGCGATATAGCACATTTTTTTTTTTAACCAATTAACCGACAGCTTTGGGAGATCACTTTTTCACATTGCTACCCCACTACAATCCTGTTTTTCTCTTCGCGGGGCAGGCTAACATTATTAACTATGCTAATTATAACTAAGGTGAGGGGTGAGCGATAGGACTCTTCCTGACATTATGCTAACATAACCTAATCTGTACATGACCTTGGGCCGGTGGCTGGGTCCTGTTGCGTAAAGACTTTGGTGTCCAGGACTGGTGAGGCAGCTACTCCTATGGCAGCTGGTCAGCCCTTTCCTCAGCCTCCCTTATCCTTTCAGCATGCTCCTTGCAATGTATCCTCTACCATGTGTATTTTGGTGTTTTAGGGCTCCCCTATGGTGCAGAGTTCCACGTGATCCCAGGAAGCCGTGTTGAAGGCGTTCCTGACGTCAAGTATCACCAGAACGCAGAGCTCCTGCTGTCGAGCTGATCTTTGCCTGGCCCACCTGGTCTAGTCAAGGACCTTGTTAATGGCATCCTCGGTGGATCTGCCCTTCCGGAAACTGAACTGGTTGGGGCTCAGCCCGCCGGTGAGATATAGGATCATGGTAGAGATCATTCAGCAATCCACTCCAAAAATGTTTTTTTCATAAAAATTTTTTCTGAAAAATGTTAAGTACAATTTAAAAAAACTATCATATTTCTACCCCTAGTCCTGTTAATGGAATGTAAATAAAATTATATTTATACAATTAAATATTTATTATCTTTTTATTTGGAATTTATAATAATAACTAATAATGATTTTACTGTATCATTAGTTTACAAACAATGTACAAAAAAAAAAGTAGTGTAATGTAGTAATTTTAGATTCTGAGTGGAGCGAAGAAGCCTATAGTTTTACAAAGTTTATTTTATTTTTTTTTCTGTGAACAACTTTTCTACCAGAGGGTTAGCTCCGATTTTTACGTGTAGCACTTTTTCTAAAAGTAAATCGGTGTGGGGAGGTATCTTGGAGAGTTCATTTATCGATTTTCCCTGAATTTTTCTCAACAAATGCGAAAAAGCGTGTCAATAAATAATGCATTTGTATATTGTACAGATAATAATTATTTAAAGTATAATTTGTAATACTATATTTTTTATTTAGTTCACTTCCGGGTGTTTTCGAGCTTCATTTTTTACACAATCGAATAGAAAATAGAATACTCTTTCACAAAAAAATGTTTACATAATATATTTGCACTATTTTGTGTAAGTAGCTTCTTACTGTGGAGTCATATAACAATTGTGTGAGTTTTTTGATATCTAAGAATATAAACATTTTTTTTTTTTTTTTTGCGGCAGTCATTTCAGTATTCATCATGCCTTTCATTACGATGGGCCGTCTTACGATTCTCTGAGACAATCCAATTATAAGAAGAAAAACAAATTTTTAAAATAAAAGGGTTCGTCCCGTTACTCGTCGCAGAAAAATCTATGGAGAGTTCAGACATTCATTTAATGATTTAAGAAAATCTTTGGGAATGAAATATACGTAGTTTTTCCATAGTGTTACGAGAGCACACAATAATAATATCATGTTATCATATTATAGTTCCTAAAATAATTTATAACAATCCATAATTATCGCTCCGTTGTTGTCAAGTCCGTATGGTACCTATCTATACTATATTAATAATATATACTCGTAGAAAACGATCTACCATATCACACCACTATTCGTGACTCTTCATGGCCGCCAAATATATTTCATGAGCGTCGAGCGTTAAAATTCAAACGCGTTTGATTTATGACGTGCCGCATCGCTGACGCTCGCCGCTCGTAGTCAATATACAGGCTGTACTACGAAGATATACCCATTGAATATCTACGGGGATAATAAAGATAATCAAATTTTGATTTATTTAGTTATTTGATTTTTACAATTAGAATACTGAGTTTCATTTAGACTGTTTGTGTGATGGCCGAAACAACAATTGTTTAAACATTTAATTTTAAAAACCATTTAATCTAAATTGATAGATGTAACTAGGAGATTAGACTAGGATTGGAGAAAGTAAAGGGTCGCCCATGTAGGCTCTTTCTAGTTCCTTAACGATATTTATGGGTCAGCAATATGTACTTTTCCCGTGGGCAGCAATTTACCTTAACAAAACACTGTGCTAAAGACAATACTATTATTAACTCCATTATCTTGCAGATGTGTATTATGAAAGGAAAACCAGTAAAGTGCGAATGAACACGGCTAATTATTTTCATTCAGACAACTTAATGTACCTAGAAAACGCACTGTAAATGTATTGGTGTCATATATACCTAACTTCATTTTTATACCAATTACTCATGTAAGTACTGACATAAGGAACCGATTAAAAACTATTCAAAGACCACATTATTTGGCAATAAATAAATTTACAAGCCTAATGTCCGGTATGGCAGTGTCATTATCATAATTCACATACATTTATATATTGTATGGTCATGAATTTTTTCAAATTTCAAGTTTCAATTATCTTTGTAACCTTGTCATAATCATAAAAATGGAGGACACTAAAAATCAATATTGTACTAATTTATTAAAAAATATGTATGCTAAATGGCCATACCAAATATTATGATGGACAATAAACAATGATCTTATAATCGTATAATCTATCTAATGACACTTATACTGAACATACACATTCAGCTGTAAATTCTAAATTCTAAAATACTATCGAAATACACAACGCATCCCATAAGTGTTGAGATAACCATTATAAAATTAATACTGTTATTGAAATTCTAGAAAGTAATTACTATAACCCTCATAGTTATCCTCACAGTTTCTTGTGTATCAAACAGTTTTTTACAGTATAATCATATCTAACGTTGTGTATGTTCATTATCACTGTTATAATTTAAGTATGAAAAAAAAATTTCAAACGAATTGTGGTCAAATTTTGTTTTAAGTTTATTTATTTATTTTTAAAAGTCCACATCAAACAGCTTTTACAATGAGAATGACATAAAAGAAAACAAATTATTTGACAAAAAAAAAGCAACAAGATAGGTAGAAAATTAATCATAAAAGAATAACTATAATGTAAATGGAGCATAAAACAATAGACGATTAATAAAGAAAACAAAAAAGAATATAAGTCGAGCCAAAGATAATTAATAAATAAATACAAAACAAGTTGGTCAAGGATTATAGTTTCTGAGCAAGCGGTGTAGTGGGTGGTTATAACTGAAGGAAGTGGAGTGGCGAGGTATAGAGAACGGAGACTGGTTTGCGAGTAGGGTATGAGGGAACTCTAAAACAGATTTGTCCAAGAATATTAGGAGCATCCAGTGACCCATCTAAAAGAAAGAGCTGATCGACTGTGATCACCCGAGAGGAGAGAGTTTGGATCTGAAGGGTATTACTGAAGAGTGAGTAGTCATGATTGGTAACTGGAATCTTGAGAAGGTGGGAGGTATACAAAAAAAATCTGTTTTGAACACGTTCAGAGCGAATTTGATCTTTCGCAAGAAATGGGTGCCATATAATAACACCGTACTCAAGAAGTGGCCTAAAGAGTGCAAAATACAAAGTACGGAGACATTGTGCTGATTTTAATAGTTTAGAAGAAAGAAAGTTAGAAAAAAAGTGCTAAAGAAACGTTCCAAATATTGAAACAAGGTTATAGTGAGTCAGCCATGTCTCGTGCTACTGTATTTCAGTTGCATAGTTAGTTTCATCCGGCAGAAAGTCATTGGATGGACAATGAGCAGAGAAATGAAAGACCAAGCAAAACGAAAACTGATGAAAATGTTGCTTGTGTCAGCTGTTTAAACACCAGGTTTATATCTTCCAGACTATTTTCTGTTTCCAAAGATAAAGTTTAAGAGGAATCAATTTTACCAATACTGAAACAGTTTAAAAAACTGTGACCAAGAAGCTCAAAAACATTTCTAAAAATGACTTCTCATGTACCATGGACAAATTAAAAAATGTTGCAATAAATAGTATAGTTTGTAATGTTAATTACTTAATTTTAAAATTTGTTTGGAACATTTATGGCTGTAGTCTCAAAATTTATGGTACACACTATTTACATATAAAATTTGTCAGATACCCTTCTTCATCGGCTAAGTGCATTCGTAGTTCATATATAGAAAGTATCCAACATTGACATTAAACCAGTTTTAATATATTTTATAGAAGGTTAAGATTCAAATTTTTATGAAAATTTTACAAATTTTAAAACAAATTCAACCAATCAGTAGTTAATACCACAAGTATCAATATTTTGTTCTTTTAATTTATATTTCATTAGTAGATAGGTACATACAATACTTATATTTTTTATATACATTGAAGTAGTCTAATTACAATCACTTTTTATCTAAAACATAATATCTTATTACTTTAATCTATCTTTTCATCTTAAGTACTATGCATTTTAACTCTTAATAACTATAAAAGAAATTAATATAGATATTAGTAGAGCTTGTGACTTATTGAACTTAAATGTTCCAAGTCCTAGATATAATTAATCAAACAAAATATTAAACTAAGTAAAATAATATTTTTATTTTATTTAAAAACTTTTTAATACTAGAATAGAATCATTTTACATGTTTCAAGAGAAAATAAGTCTTGTATATTGGGTAAATAATAGAGTAGTGTTTCCACCCCAATAAACCCAAATGGATTAGCGTAAAGACTAACCATGATAATATTACTGTAAACAGGTTCATGGTATCTACAATCAAATTGTTTGCCATTATGTAAAATACTAATATCAATATGGAAAAAAATTAAAGAATATACATAAAAACCATAGTTGTTTTCAATAAGTGGATTTTTAATTTAATTTCGTATAAATAAAAAAAAACATATATATATATATATATGTGTGTGTGTGTGAGTATACATTAAACATATTATTCAATATACACATGTAAATGGGTTTAAAAGCTATTGTATTTATGGGCACACACACAAGTACTGTAATGAATATTAAATTAAAACTAAAGAATATTGATTATTATCGCCAGTGATCTAATGTGATATCATTAGTAATTGCATAAAGTTGGTGGGTACAGTATTAACCAAAATACACTAATTGTATATTGATAAGTCATCGATAGTACTAACAAATTATATAATTACGTTTGTCTCATGAGATCACATGCAAACTTCTTAAACTATATTTTTTATTTTATTGGTACTTGGCAATACAATTTTAATTAACTATCAAACAGAAATAAACACAAATTATCTATTTTAAAATAACTATATTGGATAATATAATATAATATAATATAGTACACTAAAAATAATAGTAACCGACCATAATGGTCACGAACACAAACAAAATTTCATACAATTTAAGAGCTATGCAAAATAATACAATATTTAAAGTTAAATATTCCTTAAAATTAATTTGCCAATGAAAAACATAAATAATTTGTTGCTGTAATTCTAAATAAAATTTACTTTTTCATTGACACACAATATGTTTCTGTTAAGTATCAATATAAGGATTTAATGCCAATTTAAAAATTAGAAAGGGCAAACAAAAATCAGCAGGAACAATATTTAAATGAAAAATAAAAAATGTTGATAAAATTATAATTAATACAAAATAAAATATCGGCCACAATTTGTCTGTTACAAAAATGGCAATTATAAAATAATACTTATAACAATATTAAATGAATCAATCAGAAAAAAACCCAATAAAAGTAGGTACTTATATTGGAAGTTCAAGTAGGCTATATATTTATTTATTAGATTAGAGCAATATAATAGCAATAGTAGTTAAGGTGGTTAAAATAGTTTTAAATGAAATACGATATATTTAAAAGAAAAAAATTAAGTTTGAAACCCCTATTAATTAGTTTTTGTTTAACAAAAACTATAAAATAATTATTAGTTGAATCCCGCACTAATAAAATAGATACAGATTTTAAAATTATTATTTAGTATTTACAAAAATTTTGTGTAGTCCTTTGTCTATATAATGTGAATTACCAAGTCATATAAATAAAAATCAATTATTTAAACTTTTTAAGTTGTTTTATATAATAACCAAATCCTTCTTTGCATTCATTCATGAAACTATTTATATGGAATTTATCTCTGCAGTATATATCATCGAGGCAAATACTACCAGGTGTGCCGTCTTCATATTTGACCTGGTATGTATGATAATATTATTTATAAATTTCAAAAACCATTAAAAATAAAATATACACTTACCTTAAATATTGGTTTATAATGTATTCCCATGAACAAACCTTTATTGCCACCTTGTAGTTCAATTTCTTTGTTGAAAAGTGAAAAATCATTAATACAGTTCTGAAAATATTACAAAGTATTTTGTTATTTCTAAATATTTTAATGAAATTAATTAAATTATAATAATGAACACAACAAACACCCAAAACTAACTAGTAAAAATATTGAAATGCAAAATGCTGCAGATCATAAGCACTTTAAGAAGATCCAAGAAATAATGAAATATATAAACGATGAAATAAAATTGAATAGATATACAAAACTTCATCTGTCACTTGAGTCACTTATAATGTTGATACAAAACACTATTTTTTAAATCAAAATAATTTTGTTAAAAATGCTTTTTACAAACATACATATTTAACGATTTCTTTTTATTTTCATTGTCAGTTTGCTATGTCAAATTCCTTTTTTGAGTCAATAATTAATTAGTTCCATTACTTCAACATTTGTTTCTTTTTAGAGGTCCACTCTCTCATGTTTTGAGTTTGTCATGGTATGTCTGCTTTGTACCCGTTTTTCTATGTTCATAGGGTTTCATTTATAAAGTTTTAGTAGTATTGCGTAACTATGCCTTGACTTCAATTTGTTCTTATATATCCATGCAATGTTGGTTTTTGTCTTAATTACTGTGTTTTACACATAACAATTGATTTTGTAAGGTATTTTTCAGTTTTCAAAAGTAAAAAATTACATTTTGCTATTATTGTTGTATATATATTAAAGAAATGTTTGGTGTAGAAGATTATTGGTTGGTAGGAAATGTAAATGTTAAAAAGAAGTTAGTACAATACCTTGGGCTTATCCATTATGTTAACTTCTTTATCTACTGTTTCCCCAGGAGGCTGACGTAGGAGGGATTATTGCTTAATAACATTTCTACCATACTTGCGAGTTTAAAATCCTTAGTTAGAAGTGTTGTTAATTTTGTTCTTTATAGCCTTCTGTGGTGAACTCACTGTGTCATAAGTGGCAGTTAGTTCCACAGAAACGGCTTCCATTAATTTTTTTTTTTTTTTTTTTTTACATATAATTTTTATAAGATAGCCAAATAAACATTAATTATTATTATACGACTAAGAAATATGGTAATTTATAATTAAATTTTCAAGAAGTTATTTAAATTAAAATGATAATTTAAGAATTGCTATTAATAAAATACAAATTATTACTACCTTAATTGCTGAAATTTCAATATTGTCAGAAATGGAACCATCGCTGAATTTTACGACGCAAAAAGGAATTTGATCAATTTTTAAGATTTTACATTGAACAATCCTCTTGTGTTCCAAATGTCTTATCCATACCATTTGGTTTTTATGAATATCCTTTTCCTAAAAAAAAAAAAATCAATATTAAATAATAGACACTGACGAGATTAAATTGAATTTACCTTGATATATGTATGCTTATGTTTCTCGCAGTAAACCAAAATTTTACGTTTAAATTGTTCCATTTTAAAATAAAATCCAGCAAATATTCCACATGAAACATGGAACCAGGAGTTACAACTTTCTTTAGAACAACGAAAACAATTGCCACAGGTTAAATTGCACACAATACACTGTAAAACGTCATTAAATTGTTTAACAAAATATTTTCATGTAAAATTGATATTTTTGCTATACCTTTTTATTGGTAGAATAATCAGATGTACAATAAAGATTACTTTCACGTACGAGAAGCTGACATTCAGAATGGGCCCACTGATTTGCAGAAATTTGTTTTAGAACTCCACCTTTTAATGGACAGTATATACAATCCTATCAACAAATTTCATGTTATTATACAAGTATGAATAACCATAATTTTATTTTTTATATAAAAATCATCATTTATAACAATAACTAATTAAAAATAAATAATAATTGAGGTTTGATTATGGTTACAGAGATGGTTTGGGTAACCCTCCAGACAGTATTCTTGCAACATTGTTCAACATTCTTGTTACATTGTATCCATCGATATATATAACACCAAAAAAAATCAACCGATTATTGTGTAAGCCAAACGAGAGAACGAGAGAAAAGATAATATCAGCCTAACTCTGGGAATTTTCCAGTAGGTCTTGGTTACTGAGTGTTACTAAGATTACAATAGCCAACCAGAATATGACACAGTACATCGCTGGGATACCACCTTCAATCAAATATATTCTATTATTGATTCCCTACAATAGAAAGCTTGCCTTATGGAGAAGTAATGAAGAAATATCAATTAAGTAACAACTTTATCAATTTCAATTTCACTTTATGTCACATACTACAGAATAAAATACAAAATACATATATTCATATATAATTATTAAATATAATAATATATAATAATATTTATGTTTACTAAACATATAAATAACCGTGGTTTGAATAAATTATAATAAAATGTGTAATATACTTACAGCAGCCATAGAGCTTGCGTGACACCTATTGCATAACCAAGGTGTACCCTTCATTGAACTGCTACCATAACACACTGAATGAACAGTCAATAAACAAGATCCGCATCTAAAGAGATGTCCCTTAGACTTTTCAATTTCGTCAGAAATTACTTGTTTGTATATTATTGGACTAATTACGGGCACTGGAGGTAAACAGTTGCTGTAAGATAATGCTATGGTTTGCCAATCATCAAGGAAAGGTGCCTAAATAAAAAAATTGTATAACTATTATTGAAATACATTTGTGTATATTAGTTTACAATATACAATAATAATTTACATTGAGGTAAACAAAAAAAAGTTAGAGTACATTTTTTTTTCAAAAGAATAATTATTAAAAAAAAAAAATAATTTTAAGTTTTCAGATTCAAGTATGTTATATAAGTTTTTATTATTTCATTTACCTTTTTATGAGTAAACATCATGCACAATGAACAATATGGATTATGTATACTTCTATAGATGTTAAACATTTGTTCAGTAGATAGTGTGCAGATAGAGTTGAGCAAAGGTCCAATAGAAGCATATGGCGATTGAACTCTTGCTACTGGAAACAAAAAGTATATTTGTATACCATAAAAGCTATCCTAGGATAATGGAGATGAGTGCAGCCACTGTTGCAGGGAAGTTGGGAAGGTAAGAAATAGACGAGAATTTAATGTATATCTGTAAGCAATGATTAATCATTTCTAACGAAAAAATAATTCTGAGTGGAGTTCAGTTCATATTTTTGCTTTGTCAACAATATATATGTCAAAATAGTTGCAATAAAATTAAAATTAAACATTTAATAATATTTGTTTAATAATGTACCTATTTTCGGTGCTTCTGGATTTTCCCCATTTACTGGGAAAACTCTTGGGGAAATTAAAAAATAACCTCCCTAAAGCACACCCCCCCGTCAGATTTACTTTAAGAAAAAGTGCTGTCATTATTAATTTATAGCAATGTTTCTGGTAGAAAAGTTATTCACAGATAAAAAAAAATAAACATTATTAAACGTTGAGTTTCTTCGCTCCCTTAGAATCTAATATATATATATATATACACACAATTTAATATTATATTGTTTTTGCAAGTCTAATTTATATTTTAATTTTACACGAAACTCAGAATTAATTATTAAATATACCATTTTTAAGTTTAAGCAGAAGGAAAGTAGTAGAGCAGTATTTGTGTGGCGAAAAATAATAATTTGGTAATAGAATGTTTGAATATATATAACAAATTTCAATATCTAAAACAAAATAAATAAATAGCATCCTACAAAAGAAATGTACTTAAGATGAAACATTGTTATATAGCAAAAATATGATTAAATTTTATGATTCATATATATTATCTTGAATACATATATACACTTATATAGAATCATATTTTATCCACATAACACATATTAGATGTCGCTTGATTTGTTATTAGTAATTGTGGTTTTTCAAAAAGTCGTTTATATTATAATTCAAACTACCAATAAAAATGTATTACATTATTAATTCTTAATTGGCAGATTAGTATCAAATATAAAATAAATTACTTATAATAGGTATTTAAATGATCAATATGAAATTAAACCGAGTTTAAAAAAAAAATGCCCAATATAAAAGGCAACAAATAACTATTGATACAATAGAAGGGGAAAAATACCACCGAATAGTTTACAACTAAGTTCAAATGTATATTAGTTTATATGGAACTATTTTATATACAATATAGAAATCTTTAATAAATATAATTTCATCCTGCAAAATATCATTCTTAAATCCACTTTGGCACCAGATCAATTTAAATTTATTGCACTTAACTTATAGAAGACACGCAGAAATATTGTGTTGCTGTTATCAATGTAAAATTGATTTATCATAGTTTTGTAAACTGATGATAGTTTTAAAAATAAAATACGAGTATACTAAGCAAAACCACAGAGAAAAAATTATAAAAAAGTGCAAATAATTTCTTTCGTAATTATCATAATTAAATTTGACAACAATGGTTAAGGCCACCGACCAATCCATCAACAATTTTTTGATGTATCGATATCTTACAACAAAAGCTACATAATTTAAATGGACCAATCACAAATGGGGAATGCTTGTGGTAAAGTAGATACCAGAATGCTCAAATACTTCCACAGACTTAAAAAATTACTAATCATTAAAATTTTTCTAACAATACTTTAATTAAGTAACTGAAACACACCTTCAACAATGCCATTATCTTTTCCATGTGGTTTTAGAAGTATAGGTTCAGGAGGTAGTTTTTCAACATTTACACGCTGTTGTCCGGACTTAAAATTCAATAATGGTACTAAATTTACTGTAGTATTATCAAATGATTTAAGTGAGTTGGTAGACAAGTTATCAAACATAATTGGCGACAATGGTTTTAGTTCTTTGTACATATTTTTACTTTTGTTTGTATGCACTGAAATATCTACATTACTGTTTGTTCCAAAAATTGTTTCTAAATCTTTATGTCCCTTAAAATGTTTTTCCCTTTGACTTTCTTCATATTTTCGTTTTAAATGAGAAGTGTAATGTTGTTGTAGTATAGATCCGTCACTGACTTCATTGGGGAAGCTATTGATAACTGGTGGTTGAATATCTAATGATGGCATAACAGGTGATGGAATAATGGGTAACATTTTAGTTGGTTTATATTCCTTTGTTAATTCCTTTGATTTTTTTTTGGATTTTTTTGATTTTGAATTTTTTTTACAGATTTTCTTTTTTGACTTTTTCTTTTTCTTTTTCTTTTCTGAATTATAACTATAATCACTGTCACTCGTAAAATCAAGATTTTTCAAAATTTCATTTTTTCTTTTAAGTCCAGATTTTAAATTATTATAAGAAAGTTCTTTAGGTTCTACAAAAAAAAAAAAAAAAAAAAAAAAAAAATGACTTAATTGGGTCAAAGAATAAATACATTTTACATTTTTAATTTTATTTCTTACCCATTTCTTCAGCTTTTATCCATATATCTTCCATTACTTCTCTCTGTTCATCATCAAGTTCTTCTTCATGGAGTTCAAATTCTTTGTCGTCCAATTTTTTTATAGCTTCTCTAACTTCTACAGGAGGTTCATATACAGATCTATTTGCATAGGATGGATCATCAGTTTCAGAATCTGGAAGTTTGTGTGTTACAGGATGGCGTTTTCTTCCAGCTTCAACATACACTTTTGGAATACCAGCATTGCTATACATAAAAAAAAATAATAATAATAATAAAATCAACAAATTTAATAATTATTGGGAATGTATTTCATTGTAATCAAATATTTTTAATATGATAAAAAAATGTTATAATTTAGATTATTCTAATTGAAATAAACACAAATTTATTGTCTATATTTGGTAAGAAGTACAAGACTATTTTATAAATATTTGAATAATTTTTGATATTTTGTCGACTATCAATGACGGCAAAAATAATCTGTGTTATTTAAATGGCATTTACGTGCTTTTATGCCGCTACCATAAACAATGTTGATAAGTTGGTAAATTTTCAGTATATTCCTAGGTACTGCTGATCAAGTGGTATTCTTTACATCGTAGCTGATCTTTTTTTATCTTCTTACATACAAATAGTGTCAGTTTTTAAAACTGTGTACTGAAAATGTTGTCAAAAAGCGATATCAATAGAACAATTTTTTTAACTAAGTTAACATATTTTTACTACAAAAACATATACACAACAAAGAGCATTAAATTAAAACATTTTTTAAAATCATCGCTATCTATAACTGAGTATAAAATTTATCAACATATTATAATAATTTATGCAGAGCATTTATTTATTCAGACATTCCGATTTATAAACTAAAAAATTTAGCATTGAAAGATTTTTAAGAGTAATATACTAGCAAGAAATTCCAGATTAAAGTACTATAAGAAAAAATATGTGATGTAATTTATGAATAGATTTTAACTTTGATTTTACGATTAGACAAAATACACAGAATGGACCCATTTGCATTTGGGTTTCTATTGATGAATCAACTGTTGCAGATAGTAGTTATGTAGATAATGTTATTGTTGGTAAACTTAGTTCTAAATAATATATTCCCCTTAAATTGTGAGCAGTTGGACAAATGCAACCATAAAATCATCTCAAAGTTGTTTAATGATTCAATGAATTTATTATGACCTGAAGGAGTAAAATATAAAAATGTACTTCTATATTTATTAGATTCAGCTCTGTGTATTATTTCTAAATAAGGTAGTGTTTAATAATACATTTTTTCTTAAACTAATACACATATATGACAAGTAACTTTCTATGATTAGTCATTAAAATCAATGAAATCATATTTTTTCTTTTAACTTAGATTGAACTTTAATTTAGATTTGATGAAAAATAGAAAAAAAAATTAATAAACTCCACTAAAATGTTATTATTTCTTTACTTAACACATTTTGATCAAGCACTAAAGAAAGGCCCATTAACTTAATGCATAAGTAAAACATATAAAAAATGTTATATACATATTTAAATAATTAGAAAAATATATTTTAAAAGACAAATTAAAAAACAATTTCTTTATGAAGACAAGACATCAAAATTAAAAGAGGCGACACTGCTGGAAGGTTCGCCACTGATGTAGATGAGACATAGGAAAGATAGGATACATTAAGGCATTTAATTTATATCTGTCAGCAAAGATTAACTACTGCTAACAAAAAACTATTTCGAGAAAAGTTTGATTATATATTTAAAATTTTAGTAATTTTTGTTAAAATTTGAAATCAACTCTTATTATATTAAAAAAAAAAAAAATGACTACATAAACTACTTTATTTTTTATTACTAAATACAACTTATAAAACACTTGTTAAATTGGCAAGTATTTTTGTTTGGTCAAACAATTACATCGACATAGTACCTCTACCAAATAAAAATGTATGAAAAAACCTAGATACAAAAACTACATAAATACCTCAACAATTTTAATTAGTCTAGAAAAAACAAATATATGATTTTTGTTAAAATTTCATGTTTCTATGAATATTTTTAACTAAGTTATTTCAAAAATATGAAGTTGAAAATAATATAACCATTATTGTCGTAAACTTTCTCGTTCTTTCCCGGTTTTGGTCAATTATTATTAAGAAAACTAAATGGAAAATCAAAAAAAAAACTTACCAACCACTCATCTTACTCACAAAAAAGTTTTCAATAATTTTTGATTGGAGCTAAATTTCTAATCAAGTTGTTTTCACAGACAAAAAAAAAAAAACATGGTAAAACCAATCTCTTGCTCAAAATTAAAATAATTTGATATGATTTTTGACATTGCCCCCCATGAGTCAATATCAGGATTAAAACTTGATAGTTTTAACCTTAAATCACTCTTAACTTTCATTTTATTTCCATATTTATTTTTCAAAAATTATATTTGATATTATATTATTATATTGCATTATATTTTACACAGATAGGTTGACAAAAAGCCTATCATCAAGTATATTAATGCAGTTTCGACACTTTGTTGGATAGTGTTGCCCAACACTTAGCCAGAATAGAACTAATTTTGTAGTTTTAAATACAATTTCTGTCAAGTCACATGATAGTTTTATCAACAAATCCTTTTCATTCACTTGATATTTTCATTTTTTCAAGAAGATTTCTGATACATTGAATTTCATCATCACTGCAAAGTACCATATGGCCCGGAGCCCACAATTGGGTTTGGAACCACTACTATGTACTATATTAATTTTTTTATATTTTACTTTTTAATATATTTCAATAAAAAGAAAAATATTTTTTGATTTATTTATTACATTCAAATTTATTCACTATGAATTAGATATATTGTTTTCAAAATATTTACTTCTTGTTGCATAATATATCACATTCACTAGGAAGAGGTGCTGCAAATGAACGTGAAGGATCTTCAGGATGACAACCAACATCATTCCCTTGAAGCCACATTGCATACTTTTCAGGTTGTAAACGTTTAACAAACGTGTCCATACTTATTTTTACTGTATCTTGACGACAACGACATTGTGAAGCACGTTTTCCATACTCTACCCAACGCGGTGATGCAAAGTTTGTAGATTCAGCCATGTTAAAGCCATGATTGAAACCAGCATGATATCCAAAAGGAAAAGTTATCATAAATTCTCCACGCTCTTGGGTTATCTAAAATCATTAAAAATATGTTCAAATTTAATGCGAATGTAATATAATATACTAATAGAACTACATAAAAATACAATATACATAATAATAACTTATGTAATTAGATATTTGAAATTGAAAAATAATCTAGTTTACGCTCCATATAATAAACACATTTTTTTCCGTTTCCGAAAATCAAATTTTTTTATCAATTTTCAAAAAGAAAAACCAATAATAAACATAATTTTAGTAGCCAGTTTATTTCTAAACTACAGATATGTTTCCATTAAAATCATTTAAAAATATAAGGCTAATGCAATATTGTTATAATCAAATTTTGTCAAAAGTAATACCTACATACCAAACCAATACATTAGTCACCATTATTATTTTTTATTGTATTTTATCAAATTGAAGCCTCCGAACGAACAACGGGACAAGCGCCACTGCACATACTCTTCAAGAGAGGCATTTAAAAATCAACTTACCATGTTTTACATTTTCTATACGTATTGGTGAAATTATACATGTAGACCAGTTGTTCCACTTGTCTTTTCAAATCAATAAACCTATTATCATTTTTAAAATAAAATTTGAATTTGGAATTTTGGCATCTGACCTTAAATTTTTAATATTGTTATGCATAGACACAATTCGGGTATCGTGAGGGGGGGGCGAATTCACAGGTTTCAAACACGCACTCGGAAAATATTATTATGTTAACTAAATGGTAAATGATATCATAAACACAGACAAAATTTATCTATAAAAATGAAATAGTGATATAAACGTGGTGTAATAATATAACCGTGGAAAATATTTACAGCAATTAGGAACCATATTATTATGACAGAATATACACATGTCCTGTTGTTACACAGACAAAAACTAAATTTAACTCACTTAAATCGAGCCCCAAGCTATATTTAAACACAATAAAAATGTTCAAGTTATGAAATATATTAAATTAAACCCATGTCTCAATGTTCCACTGAAAAACGCAATATTGCTGAAAGTGGTGCTTCTCCTGTTTATCGTCTGGAGGTTTTAATTGAAATTTCTCAAGTTGGTGTTAATGCAGAACAGTTAAAATAAACAGATAAATATTACATAATGTATTTGAATTTTCTTTTTAAATATAATATGACGGTAATAATATTTAGTTAACATTAAACCTATTATAATAAATAAGTACAATTATTTATACTACCAACAATATACATTTACAAAATTATTCAATAAATTTATTTTATTCTTTTGTATTGTGTATGAAAATTAAAAGCTATAATTTACTTGATAATTATCATAAAACTAAATATTAAACTATAAATACAAATTTCCGAAGAACAATATGCCTTATGAAAACCATATAAATATAAAATGTGTTGACTAAAAAAGTTTGATCTTCCTAACGATAATCCTTAAATAAACATTAGTGCCTTACTTTATTAAATGGTATAGAATACTGCTTTAGCAGATGGGGTGATATAACAGTCATTTTATGTCGAAGATATGCCGGGCACTGGGTATAATCGGTTGAGAAAAAACCATTAGCTAATCTTTCTAAGCGACGCCCATGCTCTGGGGGAATTGCATACCTAAAATAAATTTTAATATTATTTAACAGCATTTCAAAATATAAAAGTAATTATAGTACCATGTTTTTGGATAGCCTTCATGAATATAATTTATACTATACAAATCCATATCTTCAGTATGCCACGCAAAAGACGTTTTCCACATACCAAAATACAAATAAGCTGTATTGACACCTTCTATACTAATTCCATAATCTTCATTCACAAAGTCCAATACTGTACCCAGCTTATTGATATTCCACACCTTTATTCAATAATAAAATGTGTATTTAAATGAATTAAATTAAAATGTTTTTTTATAAATTTAACTACATTCAAAATAAATTAACCTAGAGTACATTTATATAATAAACCAAGGGTTCTTAATATTATACTACTCTCATCTCATGAATTAGGTTTGTGTAAACAAAAAAAAATATAGAGTAAAACAAATTAGGTAAAGCCTAATAAAAATGTTCATGATAAAAATAAAATAATTCATTTTATATTATTAGTATCTCGACTAGAGCCTTAATTATATTAATATTATTTTTTTTTTTCGCAAATATATTTCTGTACATCAATTTAGTATTAACTACATTTGCAGAAAATGTCATCATAATATGATGATATTTTATAACTTTATCATTTTAATTTTCTATACATTCATGAATATTTTAAACTTGAAGTACTACTATTAGCATTCTCTTTTTGTTCACACTACAGATAGGTATATTTCTACAAAAACATACATCAACATCTTTATCAGTTATTGATCCTGATACATCTGCACCATATAATGGAGATTTGTAGACAATATTTTTCCAGTACTTTCTTTCTAAATCTCCATAATCGAAATGAACCGGTGTCTTGTATTCTTCAGATTCTGCCATAGTTTTATATTCTGCTACTGTCATAGGTTTTTTTTGTATATTAAGTTGTTGATATAAGCCTTGTTTACCTTGGACCACCTAAAATTAATATAATTAATATAAATAGTTTCTAAACTAAGTGTTTAAGTATTTAAACTCATTATTACTTGACAGATTGGCGCTGGAATTTTTATATTCAGTATATCATCTTCCAGATAACTCCTTTTCCTTGGCACCCATTCAGGAGGTGGTATAACCTAAAATCAAAATATTAAAAAGCTGTAAAACAAATTTAAAAATCAAAGAATTGTATTGTATTTATGATTACATACTTTAGCAACACCAGCTTTATGTGCTCCTTGTGACTCCATATAAGAAATGTAGTTACTAAAATTTTGGAATTCACTCCAAGTAGGTCTGAAGACCATGATTTTAGGAGTAAAATGTTTTTTTGAGGACATCTTGAAAAAAATGCTAAAAATAATTTAAATAATGAGTCTGATAGGTAAATTTAAACTAAATAGTTACATTGTAAGATGTTATAAAATAAGAAATTTAAAAACATAGTCATAAAACTATTCTAACCCAGCATAACTATGCTTAAGTTTACTGTGGAAAGTACAATGAAAAAATCTGTCCTAGGATAATGGGGACAGGTGAAGCCACTGTTGTAGGTGGTAAGTTAAGAAGGTAGGGAATATAATGTATATCTTTAAGCAATGATAAACCATTGCTAACAAAAAAAAAACAGTTCTGAGAGGAATTTAGTTGATAGTGATGCTTTGTCAACAATATACATGTTATGTTATGGTAAATTAATTAAATAGGCATTAAATATTTTCTTTAAAAATATTTGTTTAATATTGTACTGCTTTTCCTACGTTTTCCCCAGTTTTTCATATTTGCAGGAAAACATTTGGGAAAATCAAAAAATGATATCCTTAAAGTAGCTTCCCATTAAAATTTCTTTCAGAAAAAGTGCTATTATTATTGTAAATCGGAGCAAAAATGCTGGTAGAAAAGTTGTTCACAGGAAAAAAGAAAGCCGAAATATTTTTAACCATTTTTGAGCTATTTATAGACATTTTAATTTTGCGATTTGTATACTTTATTTTTATTCAGTAGGTACTACTCTGTGGTAAAATTGTTAGACTAAACAGAAATGCTTGAAAAATTAACATAAGGTTTATTTTAAAGTCATACTTTGTGATTAAACAAAACATTTGAGCTTAATGTAGTAATTTTTTATTAAGGAATTTTAATATTAAATATCAAACTTTGGCGAAAATCGTTTCGAGTAAAAATTATGTGGAACAAATCTAATAATTTTTAAATTTTTTTGTTTTGAACATATTTATATACTGCCGATTTAAGAACGATGGGGAAATCAGAATAGGGCGGATATAGTTTCGAAATTTTAGTTTTTTGAAGTTCTGATATTATGCGAATTTTATATGTTATATTAAATAACTCTATATTGTCAATCATAGGGAATGTATAGTGTTGTCTTATAGTGACACTTACCTACGGTCATCATAGAGATCGCGAGTTCAAAACAGAGTTTGGAAAAAAATTTATTTACATTTGTTTTTTACCATTTATCTAAACAGGGATAATAAATTTTGGGTGTACGTAGAAACCCAAATCATCGATCGCTCGGACTATTTTAATCGAAAAATACCCCCTCCTGATTTGCTATGCAAACTTTTTTTACCAGAAATCTTACTCCGATGTGTCAAGTATAACACATTTTCTGAAAGGAAATTTTATCTACACGGTATTTTATAGAGGTCATATTTTTATTTTCCAATCAATTTTTATAATATCTGGGAAAAACTGGGGAAAACTGAGAAAAATGTAGGAAAAACGGGAAAATAGGTACAATATTAAATAAATATTATTTAAGAAAATATATTTATTTTTATATGTATATTTTACCATAATATGGCATATATATTGTTGGCAAAGGAATACAACAATCAACCAGCTCCGTTTAGAATCGTGTATTCGTTAGCAATGGTTATTCATTGCAAATAGACATACATTAAATTTCTTTTCAACTACCTTCCTAAGTTCTCATCTTTAATAGCGGCTACGCCCGTCCTCATTATCCTAGGACAGTTTTTTTTTCGGTTTTGTTCAGATATTTAAAAAAACTACAGGTAAAATCAAAAAATAACGTTCTCAATCACCAACTGGATTAAAATTGCAACAAAAAGGGCCCTTTGTTGTTTTTATATTGGAGCAATATTTCTGGTAGAAAACAAGGTTTGTAAAAAATTGAAAACAACAAAATCAGTAAAACCACAGTGTGCCAAACATATTTGTAGTTGTATCTATTATTTTGAAAACTCCTTGGAAGAAAAATGGCCTATCTAATGTACCAACTGGGTGAAATTTTCTTTCAGAAAAGCTGTTTACTGATAGGGCCGTGCCGAGGAGGGTGCAAGAGGAACTCATGCACCAATGACGCCAAGACTACAGGGTCAACATTTAAACATTTATAAAGTTCTGTAAATTTAATATTTTTATAATAAACTTATGAGTGAATGACCAACAGATAGGTTGGGCATTTTTCCTTTTTTCTTTGCTCACCGTTACATTTTTCTTATTTTGCTAGGAACTGTTTACAGATACAAAAAATACAAAAACACACATCATAGTAAAACCCAGAGTGTAAATCACCTATGAATAATGTGTACACCAGATTCCAGAATACCATAATTTTCCCAGTGATTACCAAAGATTTCTCATTTGTATTATAGGTTGTCATTTAAAAATCCAAAGTAGGTACCACCGTAACAGTAGTTTTCCACCTTAAAATAAAGATGACCAAAAAAAAAAGAGTAATATCATATTTTATAGCTACTATAATTTTTAAATGTTCTAAATGATAATTCCGAAAAAGTTAACACTTTCAGAGATAATGAGTGTCTTAAAATATGCTTAAGGTTAAAGACGCAATGAAGTAAATTATGTAGGTACTTATAAAAAATATAAAATAAACTAACCAAACAAAAAAAATCATAAATATTAAGTATACCTAATTTACTATTTACTTAAATTTATGATTTAAGAATTGTTTTGCTACAACACCAGTAGCATTTTATTTTTAACTTGAAATTATTGGAATAATAGTGATTTTATCTAAAGTACTTTTTTATTACTACAATTTTATTTGTTAATCAGATAATACTTTGTATAGTGATATTAGTTTGATTTTACAATGATGTTTTTTTTTTTTTTTTTTAAATCCGTAAACAACTTATCTACCAAAAATTTTGCTCAGATTTTCAAATGTAGCACTTTTTCCGAAATGAAATTGGAGTGGGATGGTTTATTAAAAAAGTTAATTTATTGATTTTCTAAGGAGTTTTCATAATAAATGAGAAAAACTAGTTAAAACAGACAATTTACGAAGAGTATTATTTTCAAATCGTAAATATTACAACCTTTCAAAAAACGTAAAACCGAACTCTGCTCAAAATCATTCTTCGTTAAGCAATGACTAATTGTTGCGCACAGAATATAGATATCCATGAAATTCCACTTTATATCCTACCTTTTTAAACTTCTAACATACCACATTGGCCCATGAATTATGTGAAGTATGTCCATATTTTATTAACACGAGAATTGTTAAATTAAATTAAAATGAAAGCAGGTGCGTGTACAAGGGAGGGGGGTTTAGGAGTTCAACCTCTCCCCCAAATTTCATGAAAATTATGATGAAAGTAAATTTTTAATAGTCTCAAAATTAGTTTCTGTCAATAAGGAAGATGAATACAATTTTGGTATTATTTTATTACTAAACAGTAGATAAATATTGTTATTATTGCCATTCAATAGCATAAATTACGTTATCATTTAGGCTGTATTCACTAAAAACAATACTAAATGTAAAATGTATTAATAGGTACTTAAAAGGCTAAAGAAGCTTAAAAGAGCTGTCTTAGGACAATGAGGGCGAGTAGTCACGAGTATAGTTATAGGTTATCATTAATGTACATCTGTAAGCAAAGATTAACCATTGAGAATGAAAAAATGAGGTTGATAATACTGCTTTTTCAACAATATACATATATGTCATATTAAAGTAAAATAATTACATAAGCATTATATATTTTCTTTATTAATATTTGTTTAGTATATTGTATCTATTTTCTCGTTTTTCCCATGTTTTTATCTCGGTTTATTCCATTTTAATGATAAACGTCATTCTAAAATCAATACATTCCTCGCTCCACTCAGAATCTAAAATGAATGTTATAAAATATTGAAATTCTTAATCAAAAATAAATAATCCTACAATTGAAAATATTTAAAATGTTTCATTATAAGAGTATAAAAGTGTCTTAATAATTACCTTAACATGCGACCTTAAGAGGACGTTATACCCTCATCTACTGTCTCAGTTAAACTACCAGGTAACATAGAAAAACAATACTTACACAGAATAAGTAAAACTAGCTTAATTTTTTATTTTAGAGTAAAAAGTACCTATTATGACATTTTTAGAGAACAATATTTTGGAGGGAATGACATTGGTATTTTTTTAATTATGAACTATTAAAAAAGTTACAGTTATTTAAAAAGTAAAAAATAAAAGGTTTTTGTATCTTTTATATCGAACTGTATATTTTGAATAATTCAAAAACTCTATGACATTCCTTCCAAAATATTGTTCTCTAAAAATGTCATAATAGGTACTTTTACTCTAAAATAAAAATTAAGCTAGTTTTACTTATTCTGTGTAAACATTGATTTACATGTTACCCAGTCGTTGGACTAAGACAGTGGAGGCGGGTATAACATTCTCTAAATAGTTATTGACAAGTGTTTCATTTATTGGTGAAAAGCATGAAATCCAACTTGTGAACATTTGAATTGCATACAAAATTTTTAAAAATGTACAAATTTATAAGCTTAAGGACTTCATACATAATGGAGATGTGTAGAGCCACTATTATAGTTAAGTTGGGAAGGTAAAAAAGTAAACAGGAATTTAATGTACATCTGTAAGTAACGATAAACCATTGCTAACGAAAAAACGATTCTAAGCAGAGTTCAGTTGATAGTGATGCTTTGTCAACAATATACGAGTAAATGACAAAAAGTCTGAATTTAAATCAAAAAATCTTTGTGACAATGTAAATTTTGTGATTTATTTTATACAGTGATAAATGCGATTAAAATGAAAAAATGCAATACAAAACGAATAAAGTGACAAAAAAATACCAATATTAACAGCAGAAACAAGAAGTATTCATACAAGTACCTAATAGTTAAAGTATAAGGCTAATTTTAAGAAATTGTATTTTCCATTATTTAAATAGATCACTGAGGAATTTCTTCACAATTCAAATACTTATAGATAATTCCCATTCAATTTTTTTTTTGAACTTATATTAATCATAAATATTATTTTTCTAAACAGACACTAGTCAATTTTTTTTTGAAATTTTAATACATAATTAGAAAAAGTAATTACGAATGGAAAATGTTTTGATCCCATGTAAACTTCAAAAATTAATTTTCTTGAAAGAGATAAACCTATTATTCATGAAGTTTACCTAACGGTTAAACATTTAAATTTAATTTTTCTTCAAATTGATGTCCCCCTCGAAAACAAACTAATTGAAATAAAAACATCAAAAAATATTTAATATTATCAGTGCTAGAAAAATCCGTTGAATATGGTGGGACACACTGTATAATAATATAATAATACTAGATAATAAGTATTCAGTAAAATTTAATTTCAAATAACAAAAACCATTACTGTGTAACAATTCTCTAACATTTTGCCTAGAATTTTCCTCATAATTAAGAATATTATAAACAAAATCAAAAAATAACTTCCTCTTTGTACTAACAAGACAAATATTTTTTACTAGAAACCACTACCTCTAAAGTTGATGATTGGAGTGAAATTTCTGGTATAAAAGTTGTTCACACAAAAAAAAATAACAAAAATACGTCATATCAAAGTAGAATTATATTAGAATCTAAAATAAATATAATCTTTTATGTAAGCATATTATTGTTATTAAAGTTAGACTTCAGATGTGTAATAAGTGTTTTTTTTTTACCGAAGAACATTTTAAAATTGATGTGGAGCGTAAAACAATCCATGAGTTAGGTTAAGTTCATTAACTGCAATGGATGCCAATTTTTTTTTTTTTTTTTTTTTTTTTTAATTTCTTCTTTTATTTTTCGAATTTGAGTATTATGATAATTAAAAACGATAAATAAAATATAAAATTAAAATAATAAATAAACATGTATATTTAGAATTTTATACAGCCATGATAATATTAATAATAATGTAATAACCAGAGATTTTAATTGTTAAAAATCTCTGATAATAACAAATTAAATAAGGGAAAATATCAAGTTTGAGATAGAGATAATCACTAATTGGTAACCATCTGGTTATGCTGATAACCAGTAAACCAATTTACTCATTTATTCGAATTGTCTCATTCTTAAATAGGTTAGTAAAGCAAATTTTCCCACAAATTTTTAAAACCCACCCTGGGTTACTTTTTAAAGGGAAATCTACATTATGCACCTTACATTGGCAAATTTCTTGATAACTATACCAAAAGAACAGTTATGTAGTTTGGTTATCAATAAAGTTTTAACAATCTATATCAGCGGTTCTCAACCTTTTCATATTCACTTGCCATTTATACATTTTGAAATGTTTCACATAAATGGTATGTGACAAGGTTATTAACACTTCTTTTTTATTTTTACACCTTACATGTAAGGAACTTTTTATTATTAAATTTACATAATTTTTAAGACATAAAAGTAAAATTAAATATGTTCAAAACTATTAATGAATTAATGAACTACATCAACAGTTTTTAACTTTTGATGTACACCTCAACCAAAAACTTTACCCATACCAATACCTTTTTTTTTAAAAAATATCTCATAGTCAATATTAACCAATAGTAATGGACCACAGTTGAATCGCTGAAATACATTATGACAATAATGTAATAACTTTTTTTCACTTTTTCTTCACATACCACAGGTTCAGTACCGCTGGTTTATAGTACATAGCACTATAGTATTACAGTATATAGTCTATCTAGCCAGTACTTTTTTCCCATATTTTTTTTATTTAAACAAAATTTCTAATTCAACATTTTGGTTTTCAGTATATTTAATAAAATCATAATAATAATAATCAAGTAAGCCAATTTTTAAATTTTGTATGGATGAGGGGTAAAAAACGTGTACAAAGCGACAACCTGTATGCAATGTTAAAATTAAAAGCGAGTTCTTAGAAAAAAACACACTCAAACAGAACAAAAAAATTAAATAAGTATCAAAAGCCTGTTGAATAAGCACATTGCATAATAATCTGGTCTTTTATTCATGAATTATAGAATTTGTGAAAATTATAAAACAATTTAATCTATACCTGTGTTTTTCAACCGGTGTGCCGCGGCACACTGGTGTGCCCCGAGCGCCCTTGAAGTTTGCCGGGATAAATCTATTAATAGGTTAAAATTTAAAAAAATGACAGTTAACAAATTTTGGATATATGCTCAAGCAGAATTTCCTGAAATATCTATAAAAGCAATAAAAATTTTACTACCATTCTCCACATCATATCTATGCAAACAAGGATTCTCAGCAGTCACAATAATAAAAAGTAAAAAAAGAGAACGACTTAGATCCGTAGAAGAAGAACTGAGAGTTAGCTTGTCGACTGTTCGTTCTAGAATAAAACGTTTGTGCTCCACACGTCAAGCACAACAATCTCATTAATCGGTAAATTTATATTTCATGTAGAACATTATTATCTTTTAAAAATAAATATTTCTGCCAACACATTTTTTCATCATTGTATTAATTTATTTCATAATAATTAACCATCTAATACAGTAGATTGTAAACAGTGTACCTAAATATGTATATATGTGTATATATATTATATTAAAAAATATATGCTTCACGTATTATATGAATTGGTGTGCCGCGAAAATTTTGTAGGAGAATAAGTGTGCTACATTGTTAAAAAGGTTGAAAACCACTGATCTATACTTTTAAAATAAATATCATTATATAGTTATATAGTATAAAGAATAAATAAATGCTCAAGTAAAAGAATTAAATGCTTTAAAATCATGTGAACAGGTTAATCGCCAAAACACAAATGTTTTAATACAGTAGGTACCTACCCACTAGGTTTTAGCACTGTTTTTTGGGAGTGTGCCATTTCAAGTTTCATGACACATTGTTAAAAAGTTTTGATTCAACATTCTTAAATTCTCTTTAATTTGTCACACAAGCAAATATAATATCTATAATTGTGATAGATAGTGATAATGAAATACTTATATCATAAAGAGGTTTAGGTATTGATTTTATTTGTTCATAATGAAATAAACCTCTAGGTATATGTTTGTACAATCAAGAGAAAAAAATGTGTTCAGACATCAACAACTTAAATGTGCGAATCCCATATAGGAAATATATGTCATGTTTAGAAAATTTAACAGAAAAAACCGCATAGAATATCATCAGATTAAATGTGTACATTTTAAGTTAGACACAGTCAAACCTAGGATCGACTAATGTTCGAGTCTTCGGCTATAAATGTAAATTAAATAAGTTACATAATTTTCTACATTTTTCAGTAACTTAATGAAAATTATTGTTCAATACCTCAGGAAATTCATATTACGAGATAAATAAAACCAATGTGTAATACTGTTTGAGAGAAAATCAAAATATAAAAAATTAAATTAATAATCCAATACCAAACTGCGATTAAACTATAATTAACATTAAGTAAACGTATGTAGTAAGCGGTCGTTCGCAAATATACCTGTTAACTACAATAACAGATTTCCAAAAGCGGACTTTACCACAATATTTTTTCCATCGAGTGGATGATTTGCGAACGGCTATTAAACAATTATTTATTTTGATAGTCTTACCTTCACAGTTCACACGTACAATATTATCGATCAGCAAATATGGGCAGGTAGCTCAGACGTTTGTCGAAGCGGCCCCAATTCTACAACTTTAGTAAGCTTTAGAAACGTAAATGGATATGTGGTTGTGTCTTGTCTATGTGTAAATGTTCACGGGGATGTCAAAGTCACACATCCGATACGCCGAACACGACGCGAACTGGATGAACGCATGAACGATGAAACGGCAGTTGACCGCACCATTCGACCGAACAAAATGTAAACCAATACCTTAAAACGTCCGTCGACGTACCAGAATCGATGTTGATATTGTTATGAATCGTTTTATGGTTAACGAGTTAACGTAGTCTGTTGATTATACATATATTACATTGTTATTGTTGTCGTCAAACGCCATTACCAAAACACTGGAAATCTCGTAGACACCCGAGCCTTATTTCTGAATCGATGCGCAACGGTAAGCAATCGGTCCACTAGCTGTATGAGAAAGCGGCGGATCGATCGATAACATGAAACGTTCTGGTAATCCAGAACGCCGCCGTTACCGTTACAGAAAATATAGGCTACCGAGTACCAATTTAATGAAATAATTCCCGTTCACCGGTATCACTGATTAATTCTTATATTGATAACATATACTAAGCAGATAACGCTCTAGGATTTCCAATATCACAGGATTTTATTATTATTTTCATTTTTCATTATCAGTTTATTTACCCAGATCAAAGGTCATAGACCTAATAGTTTTAGTTAATTTTTAGATGGATCCTTTTTTTTTTTTATCTCAAAAAAATATTTTATTTATTTTATATTTATTATTATAGTTAGTTATTCCAAACTATAATAATTTGCTCACAATTACGGTTTTTTTTAATATTACATTTTTAGTGATTTATTTTAAAATGGTCCAATGCAATATCTAATCAGAATACCAAAGTAAGAACTTAGAAAACTATTTAATATCTATATACTATTACTATTGTTACTATTATGAACAGTTTCTTTTAAAATAATTTATGAATATAATAGGTAATGATTAGGTATAGTAAAAAGTAATATAGATTCTGGTTTGTATGTACCTACCTAATTAGGTGTTATAAACTATATTAATTATGTAACCTATTTGATACAAAGTACACAATTCGATTTAATCAATAATTAATAGTAACAGCAATATATACAGCTAAAGTTATTGTTTGTTTTCTTGGATTAAATTTTCTTCTGAAAAGTATAATGTTCTGTTTTTTGTTTATTATTTGTGTAGAAATTTAATATTTTTACATTTAAACTTTAACAACTTTATAATTTTTTTGAAGAATATTAAGTTTAATATTTCTGTTGTTTATTTAAATTAAAACATTTATTATTGTTTGATTGAACACTCAGAGCTCACACCAAAGTTAATTCACAACTAGTTACAGTAACGAAATTTGAATGTAAGTACCTTTTATTTAGTTAAACACTATTGAACACTTAAATATGTGGCAATAAACTACTTAAATTGAAATAATAACATAAGGTTTTATTTACACATCATTTTAATAAATAATTCCTTGATACATTGTATATGATACTTTGTATAATTATTGCACTTTTACTATATCGAATATATCTACTTACACCTAATCAATTGATAATTCTTATATTTGTTTATTCAAAAAAGAATGTAAGTATTATCTTTTAACAATATTTAAATGTATGATTATCAGACATAATATACTTAAATAATGTAAACACAATTAAATTTGAAGAATTGAATTTTTATGACTATGATTATTTGCATTTATTTTAAAACATATTAATTTTTAAAATAGGTATATGTTCTTCCAGCCATTCATTTAGTTTAATTAAAATAGTACCTAAACCAAATAACTACCTAATATCTTAATGTATTAATTATAATATATATTTGATACTTTTGCTAAGTATCCAACTTATAGATAAAGATAATTTATCTCTGAATTTCTACTACAACTTCAGGGTTGCCATAAATCTGTAAAACCAGGGAATATTAGGAATTCCTTTTTAAGCCAGGGAAACCGGGAAAAGTCAGGGAATTTAATGTATGGTGGATCAATTACAACAATTAAAAGGAAAAAAGACGTTTAATGAAAACTGCTCCAATTGAAGTGATCAAGAAATAATTACCCATATTATTTAAAATATTTTAATAGATTTAACAATATTATTTGTTTTATATTATTTTATAAAATGTTATGCTTATAATTATAACTGCTATACATTATAATTTTCGGAACAAAGCGGGAGATCTATTAGTTTTACTATGAAAGCGAGTATGAAAGGTAAATTTCTCTTGTTAATGCATTGGGAAAGATTTTTTTTGATTTTCCAAGAGGTATTAGAAATAATTGGAAACAACGAAAAAAAAATTATAGGTAAAACAGCAAATATCTATAACATTACTGTTTTAATTTTATTATACCTAAGTTTTTTTACCAGAAATATTACTCAATCGAAAAATAGTATGTGATCAATTTTTGTTCCTATTGATATTTGATCAATTTTTGAGGTAAATAAATAGGTAGGTAGGTATTTTAAATCTAATAAATAAATAAAGTTCAACAAATGTAAATTTATTGTTAATGTTTTATGGATAGTAAAGAAATTTATTTTCAAGTAGCATATGTTGTAAAAAGTATAAGTAGTTGTTTTTATGACACTATAACTTGATAACTTAGTATATAAGGCTTTAATTTTTTAACTGATTATCTTAGAAACACTAGTCTGCAATAAATGTTAATTTATCAAAATTTTAGACCAAAATATAATAAAAATAATTTTTAATTCATACCTATAAATTATTATTAATTAATTAATCAGTATTGGCACTAATTAAAACTAATTTGATAGGTATAGAAACTTTATGATTTAATTTTTTTTTTTTTTTTTGTAAATAACAAATACAACAAAATATATATTGTATAAAACATAATTTACATTTTGTAAAATACAATTTATGTGTAGTATATTATTAACTCTGGTTCATTTCATTAATTTCAAAGAATAAAATATGATACTTATAATCTTGTTAACTTTTTGTTTGTATAAACATAAAATTAATTTAAAAAATTAAATTGTATTAAAAATATTTTGAACTTTAAATAAGTGCTTAATTTATCTCATCTTTGTTATGAAAGATTAACAAATATTTTTATTGAAAAAGCTAAAAAATTTGGCGTCTTTATGTTTGTATTCCCCTGCCCTTTGATTGTAGTCAGTACAGGCCTGAATTTATCATCAACTTCTAAAGACCTAGCCTTGTCAGTGAAGCTATTCTATCCTTTGCAATATCCTTCATTTTACGGAAAGATCGACATTTCATTAAATACTTCATAGTAAAATTTTCTCAATCTTCCTCTAGGTTTTTTCCCTTGTATTTCCCTTCAAATATGTTATTGATGAAGTCTTATGTTAGATGATGTGATCTATTAATTGGATTATTCAAGTTCTTTCTTGAATTTCTCCTAACACTCATTATTCTTCAAATCTATCCATCTTGCCTTGGTTATTTTTCTCTACATCCAAATTTCATTTAAACTTATGTACAAATATAAATTTATAAATTTATGTTACTTCTATTTATTTATTATACACAAACTTCATAATATTCCAAGTAATATTCTTTTACACCTAAATATATTTCAGAACAATCAAACAATTACATAAGTTTATCTATTATAATTATTTATTTACCACAGGTTTATTATCAATATTATCAGTATTATTAATTTTCCATCAAATTTTCAACCTATATCTTAATATTTACAAATTTTGATAATAATAATTTATTATTATTATTATTATTATTATTAATTAACTGTAATATTTTTTTATTACTTATATATAATATATAAATAGATTATATTTATGAATTTTAAATTGGTAAAGCTCAATTAAGAATTGATTAAATTATTACTGTGGTTATAAAGAAATCAATAGATAGTATAGTTTATGATTTTTCAGTTACATAATGATTTTACAGCCTACCACCTACCATTTTTATTAGTCACATGGCACACTATTGTATTATAGAATTAGATACGCTGAATAAAACTTCCAATTAAATGTACAAAAAAAATTAATGGAATTGTAATTACCCAATTTTTGTTTTTATTTGCAAATAGTATAATATGTGACAAGACCTAGTTTCTTGTATTTTGAAATTAGATTTTTTTTTTTTCCTGAATGATTTCTCACATATTATACACCTATAAAATATATTTATTTGTTATGCGCTTTAGATTTTACAAATAATTATATATCTACCTATTTTTAAAAATATTATTTTGTTTTAACTAAACTATTCTAGAAACTTGCATTTTCAAGAATTAATAACAATATAGTTTTATACTAATATGATTTAATTTTAAAAAATGTCATTTTATTTTTGGGAAATAATATTTGGTATCAAAAAACAATAACATTTTAATTACTATATAAAAAAAAAAAAAAAAAAAAAAAAAAAAAAAAAAAAAACAGGTATGACAGCTAATTGTTTTAAATGTATTAATGTGCCAACAATGTTGTATTGGTAAAATTATATAAAAATGTAAAATAATTTTCTATTTTTAATATTCTAATATTCTATTTTTATATTTATGTTTTTAAATTTTTACTTTGATTTTTTTTATATGGATCAACCTAGATAGATTTAAATTTTTTGCCCTATGTATCACTTTGTTTCAATTAGTTTCAACATTCAAATTGTAGTAAAACATTATTTACCTCTAAAAGTAAATAAAACTCTATTTAATTTTAAATGTTTAAAGTACAATATACATTTTACACATAAAAGTAATAACTAATAAGATACCTAGTATAAATAAAATAAACCCATTCTGACAAAAATTGAATAGGTACCAAAAATTATTTTACGGCCTTTTTTTTCTCAAGGATAATTCAATAATTTTTAAATTTATAATGAGTCTGTGTTGTATTCAAGACAAATTCGAAGCTTTATTGATTTTTGATCATACCTACAAAAATTTTATTTTATTTTAATTTTTTTAAAAATGGAATAAATTGGATAAATACTAAATATGTAAATTGCATCGCACATAGTGGAGAGTTCATAGTCGATTGAAAACTTTTTGAAGACCAGCATTATCTGGAATGGCAAAATGTGGAACGGCTTTTTTTATTATACAATATTTTTTCTAAAATATTTCAGAATTCCCGTTTTCAATGAAACTCTTAAAAGTTCATTTCACACAATACAGCCAATTTTGAATGTTTTTAACTTCAAAATCAAAAATAATTTATTCAACTTATGAAAAACTTCAGCAGGTAGGTAGAAATCTTATAATATTTAGAATTTTGGATCATATAGTATTGACTACACATATAGGTAGATACTGAAAATGTAGGTGCATGAAATAAATCTCATCATAATTTCCGTATAAAGTAGAAACCGCATATTAGGAATACAGATAATTGATGCATTCGCGTTATTGAAACAAAATGTCTAGGAATGGACCGGTTGAATATTAAAACATTGAAAATTAATCGGATATTTGAAACAATTAGGGTCAGGGTTGACGAAATCCTGTTGGCATACCGGTTATCCGGCGATAACCAATGTAGTGTAATAATTATGATGTACATTACCCTATCTTTACTGTAGTTAGGTATCGATACTGGATTCAACTTGTCCAATTAATTTCGATTACTTTTAGCTACTGTTGTTTATCGTAAGTACTATGCTCTTTACTGTTATCGTTTTAATTCAACTCTGGTGGTTAGTGTTTCGTTTTTCTAAAAATCTAAAATTGTCTAAACGCCGAAATTTAAGTTCGGGGTAGAAGTGCGAGTTGCGAAAGTCTTATGATGTGTTTCCAAAAATTAGTTTACATGATGCCGCAACTCGACTAAATGTTTCTTATTACACATTGAATAGAATTTTGAAAGATTGTTCGAAGATCGACACTCAACATTAGAAATTAAAAGTGATAATCGGAAAAGAAGAAATTGTAAACAGAGCGTTGGAGGAATGTTTCGCACAATTGAGTAAAAAATAAGCCCATATTATGTTGTGTGTGTATGTATAAAGCATATTATCAAAAATTAATTATTTTTAGATTCTGAGCGTAGCGAGTTATCTATCGGTTTTACTACGATGTGTGTTTTTTTCTGTCAGTGATCAACTTTTCGAAAAGAAATCTTGCTCCGAAATATCGAGTGCAGTACCTATTCTGAATGGTATATTTTTCTAATTAGTGCAATGAGGAGATCATTTATTGATTTTCTAAGAGACTTTCAAAATAATGAGAGAAAATTCCAAAAGGTAAAATATTATCTAAGAGGTTTTACTGTTTTCATTGTATTTAATTTTTTCAACTTATGTTTTCTATGAGAAATATTGCTCCAATCGAAAAATGACGAGACAAATTTAATCCTTTTAACGTATACTCACCCATAAAGGAAGTCATTTTTCGATATCCAAAGTAATTTTCATGATAATTGGGAAAACTCAAAGAATTAAGATTGATAAATATTTACTGCAACGTGGCGTCCTGGTTTAATTATTTTCATTTTTGCAACTTATATTTTCTACTAGAAACATTGCTCAAATTGAATAATGACAAGATACTTTTTTTGTTGCATTTTTCATCTTATTCGTAAGTAATTGATTCGTTTTTTGATTTTTTTTTTTCCGGGAGAAAACCCGGAAAATGACGAAAAATGAAAACTGATAAATTTACGATACTGGAATTCCTTTATTTTAAATTTGTACGGATTTTGTTTTTTACAATAAATATTTCTCAATTAGAAAAAAAAAAAGAGCTTTTTTGTTGCGTTTGTAATCTAGTTGGTAACCAAGAGACGTTTTTTGATTTTCTTTATAGTATTTTTAATAACTGAACAAAACTGAAAAATACGACAAAGACCGAGAAAATTTACGAAAATAATTTTTTATCATTTTAAATTTTGTTTTTAGATTCTAAATGTAGCAAAGAATGTATTAGTTTTATAATATTTTTTTTATACTGTGTACAAAAATTCTTCCAGAAATCTTGCTCCAACGTACACGATATAGACCTTTTTCTTGAAGTGGTACTTTAGGGGGGTCATTTTTTGATTTTCATAAAAGTTTTCTCATTAAATGTAAAAAACGGGAAAATGTACGAAATATATTAGTAAAATGTTACGATTTTTATTTTCTGTGAACAACTTTTCTACCAGCGATTTTACTCCGATTTACAATATTCATTTTCGATTCATTTTTTTTTTAAGTAAATCTGACTAGAGAAGTACTTTAGAGAGATAATTTTTTCAATTTTTCCAGGAGTTTTTCCAGCAAATATAAAAATTTTTGAAAAAGGTTTTTTTTTTAATTATATATAATAGAGATATGTTGTTATAAAACATCTTAGCAAATATATTCTATATATTCTCTCTAATAATCATTTTTTGAATGCAATAACTTTTATAATAATTGTTTTAAAATTCAAAATAATAGTACATATAAGTATAATATAATGCTACCTATTCATTTTTTTGTTTTAAAACCTTTATAACCTTTAGAATACATAGAGTTTGCTAACAAAAAACAATTCTGAGCAAATTTTGATGACACGTATTTTAAAATGCAATGATTTTTACAATTTTCATCAAACTTTGAACTTAGACCTTACTAAAAAAAATTATTGCAATATGCATAGTTTTAAATTTATAATATTTAAAATTAATTTGATATTTCCGTAATTTTCCTCGTGTTTTCTCAATTTATAAGAAAACTACTAGGGAAATCAAAATGACCCATTTTCACCCTAATACATTACTAGACAAAATTAGATTTCAGAAAATATGGTACACTTCAAAATCGGAGCAAGATTTCTTATAGAAAAGTTGTTAACAATATTACAACAAACAGACTGAAAAAAATACATCATAGTAAATCCATCAAAAATGTATAGAAATATCTTATATACTTGCAGGTTGATTAGGCTTATCACGATAAAAGTTTATCGTGATATTATTACAAAAATAAAGTTTTCTAATTCAAATATGACTGAAAATTCTAAAACTTGAACAAATTAATTTCTGCATATTTATTTACCCGTTAAATTTTAATCGAATGATTTGCATGTTTTAAATCACTTTTACTTCCTTAAAAAATAGGTCAAAACGTGATATTATGATACGGTATTATTTACGGTATAATCACTGCGAAATTGTAATTTCTGATGATTTTATTCCTTTTTTTTTTTATACAAGTTATATAAACTTATAATTATAATTTTGTTTCTAAAATATTACTAATCATGAAAACTGCAGACAAAAGTTGTTTAAGTAACACAATTTCATTTAAACAAAAAAATCAAACATAAAATCCAAAATTGAGTAATTAATATTAGGTTAGGGGCAATAATTTTTCAAATGTAAAAGTGATGTCATTCAAATAAGTAGAGAGATAGGGAAAAAATGTACAAATTAAAATGTTGGTAAATTAATAACTTTTATTAAAAATCGCAGTATAAGCAATGAAGTTATATTTTGAAAATTACTTTTTTAACGTCATACTGTTAAAAATAAATCGATGTTTATAATATGTAGATACCATAATATGAACTATCTAGACATTTTTTTTTTTATTTATATAATTTTAAAGTTCAAAATGTATTTTTATTCATCTGTAAGAGGTATTACTTTTGCACGTGCTAACTTTGCGTATACAGTATTACATCATATCTTAACTATATAAAAAAAAAAAAAAATTATCTAAACTGATTTATGAAAAAAGTAAGATTCACTCTATTCACTATTATCTATTTTTGAAACCTTTTAAATCAGACCGCGTATTAAATTTAAAAAACAGTCCTATCCTTGCCTCTATAGTATAGTCTAATCCAATTATTTTATCAGTTAATTTTTCAGAATTGCGCTGTTGAATTTATTGTTAAATATTATATTTTAACTGTCGTCCACAGTAATTGTAACATTTTGACCGTATTTGTTTAACGTCGAATTATTTAACGGAGTTGAAGAACAACAGTATACAGATGTAATTGTAGTGTATTACGCCGTCAATATGTATAAGGTAAGTTTCATTATTGTTTATTAATTATTTCATAATTATTGTTTTTAATTAAGTACAATTTAAGTGTTTATTTAAATTGATTGGTTTATGATGATTTATATAAATATATCTATTATAATAATTGTATTTTAATAGATATTTACGATTAAATAATTTTATGTTTCCGACCAAACTATACCTTCCTGCAGAAGTAAATATTTATTTTTAAAAAATTTACACAATAGGTTGTATATCTATAAAAAATACTAAATCAAATTAAACATTTTCGAACGAAATTATTCGTCAGCATTAAAAATAAATAACTCTATATTGGGATGTTTATGCTGAATTTCTCATATTTAAAATATAGTTTTGCCAGTCTTTCTATATTTTAGACAAAAAAAAAATAACTAAATATATAATATTATGTGATTTTAAGTTTTTTTTTTGTCAAATGTTTAGTATACGGTTTTTAAAGTTTCACTGTATTTCTTTTTAGAAAAAGTTCAAAAGTTTTTTGAGTTATAAATTATCAAATAGGTATATTAAAATGTTATCGATTACCGTGTATATAATATGTGTTTTTTGACACTACAATACTAAAGTTTCTTGTACGATTTCATTAAAACATTTTAGAGCTATAATCTTGTAATTATTCGCTAAAATTCAAACTTAATGAATTTGTTAACCTTGATTTAAAATTATGAATTAATAAAAACAACTGCAAACGATTTAATATCATAATTCTAATTTTATTTTCTTCTAACGTATCCATATTTCTTTAAACATAACAATAAAAAAAATATATGTATACATATTAGTATAACAGGTATAACGATTTTCAAATTTACATACCGACCGAGCTGAATAAAAAACTAAATTAATTAAATATAATTTTTTTTTAAAAAAAACCTTATATATTATTTACGTCATACAATGTTGTTATAAAATTAGTATGGGTACCATAATTTTTGTCATGTACATCGTACTAATGTGTATACAATATACATATATACTTATTTGTTTCTATCCTAATATGTGTTCATTTGAACTCAATGTCAAATATTACTGCCATATAGGTGATGTTATATTATATTATTGTATAGTAGAGAAGGGGTTCGTAACGATATTGGTATGGACAAGACAGAACCATGAATGCCGCAGTAGTGTTGTTTTAGCGGTCGACCTCATTGGCAGTATTTTACTACCTATATTTTTTTTCATTTTATATGTGCTGTTATATTATAGTAGTAAATCCTGCAGTTTTAAATTTGTTTCCTTATAGAGAAAGTTAACTTAATATTATATACCTAAATATTGGTGAGAGTGTTCTTCTATGTAGTCAATTATACAACATTATATATTTTGGTAAGATTCTACGCACATTTATACATCCTATACATACACCATCGAAGTATAATAAAAAAGTAAAATTGTGTATCGTTAGGTATTCGTCTATATCTATATCTTTATAATATTATAACTTTTGACTTTAAGAATTCAACAATAATATATTGAGGTCATATCGTTAATTTTCTTGTTTGTATATTATATTAGATACTTATAATTTATAGCGTATTATTATTATAATATATGGTAGGTGTACGTGTTTTACATGTTAAAAATTCTCTAATAGGTCAATAATTTTCGTATCGCGTCATAATATAGATGAGTTTATACAAACAGACGATACAACAGTAAAGTTTAATCAGCTGGTTATATAACTACCTGGGTAGTACCTAGTCTAGACAAATATATGTGATATACGAAGTACAAAATAATACTTTTTTTCTATAACATATGGATTTGCTTTAAACAAAATTATAAAACGCCGCACATACATTTCATAATTGTATTGGTGTTGGATTATATAAGGTATAGTATATTATTTTTACATAAGAATAATAACTATAAATATTATACATATATATGAACTTCTAACTTAGTATAGGTATGTGTGTTTAGGATAATAATTTAAATAAGTTTATAAAACATAACTACAAAATCCATATTCTAGTCTTGTACGATTTGAATAGGATTTTTATAATATTACGAACAGCTTTTTTGTTTTTTTATTTTATATTTGACGAATTTCGAACGATATATGAAAAATATAGGTAAAATAGTAATAGGTTTTCATAAATGATAATAATGACCTTAACAAGGAAAAAATACTGCAATTTAAAGTTGATTAAGGGGCACATCGAGGGTTTTTTAGTTCCTAATTAAAATTGCACGCTTTACAGTATTGTTAAATTAACAATAATATACTTAGGTAGTTATAACTGCAGAGTTTTTTCACATTAAATATACGTTTGTCTCGTTTTTAAATTATAATAATCGCATTGCCTAACAGGTAAACTATATTTAAAAAAGCTTGTTTAGGTATGTATAATATATATAGTACCTAGTTAATCTGTTTAAAAATGTACTTTTCATTTTAATCTATACAAAAAATATCGTCATTTTTCATAATAATTTGATGAAAGTATAATACATTATGATAAAGAAAAAAATAAGAGTGGTTTATGTATTCTTAAACCCGTCTAAAGTAGATCAATAAAAATGTGCACTCGATAGTACATTTACTACCAAATGAGTTTATACACGCGAATTATTATAAACTCGTTATGTACATTCACGTGTTTATATTATTTTATGCTTACTATTTCAATGAAAATACCAAACAAAAATTTAAAAATCGATCGTGCCGTATGTATCAGATACACCGAGTATACGAATTTTTAAAAATTACAATTATGTTTCTCCTTCATTTAAAATATAAAAGAATATAATTTCTAAAAAAAAAAAATACATCCAACTAAATAAAAGATAAATTAAATCGTTCAATAATATTATTATGTGATCGTGTATTTTTGACGCTACCTAAATATTCGTATCAAAATTAAATCCCACATAAATTAAATATTTACCGGAGTACCTAAAAATTAGTGTTTTTAGATTTTAACCTCTGCTGAATAATTTATCTATTCCTGCAATTTTTTATTTGTATAGTCTAACCTGTAGTAGTTTTCCTTACATTCAACAGTCGTGTTGTTTTGCTCATTTTCATTTTTCTTTGAATTTCCTGATTGATTTTCAAGGTTAGAATAGTTAAACTTTACTCTTCAATGGGAACTAAGTTATATTCATTAGTGGCGTATATGTAAATTAAAAAAGGGAGCGATAATATTATAATACCCACGTCATATATAATAGACTTGGCTCTTTGTAATTCGCGTAATGTACGTAAATTGCGTCACTTTCGTAATTTAAGTTCATTTAAGTTTTCTGTTAACTATGCCTACATCATATATCAGTATAATAATATTTGATTAAACAATATAGCGATCGGTTTTGTATTATTATTATTATTATTATTATTATTATTATTATTATTATTTTTCTTCTTTTTTTTTTTTTTGCAGACAAATTACGAATTATGCCGATGCCAAACGGAAAAAACGAAACGAACAGTTTCAAAAAACAGAGAAGGTGGTCGCTAATTGGAATTTTATCGAAAAAAAAGAAATTAAAAAAAAGTCAAGAGAGCGTAGATTTTTGTCCTTATGACGGAAAAATCAATCAAAAAGTGGCACAAAACGATCATTTGAAACCTTCTGCGGATTGCCTTATCGAGCAGTACACTTGTAGTCCCAGGTTAATAAGAAGATGTAACTCGTTACAGTACACGGACAAAGTGTCGGCGTATTCGAACATTATTAACACTGGACAACCTTCGGCGTTAAACGAATGGAAATCGTCGCAGCAATCTGTGTACAGCTCCGGTTCGAGCGCGTGTTATAGCGATATCGGTGTGTATAATAGAAACATCGGAAACGGCGACCGACCGGCGTATTATTATAATATCGAGGAAGAAAACGATGAGCAAACATTTCCGGTCTCGTCGAACGTGCCGTTCAGGTGTTCGTCCGAAGTCGGACATTACCAAAATAAAATGAACTATAATAACAATCGTAAACACTATAATACTGTTGCACTATCCGGAAGTCCGAAAAGACTAACCGGTAAAAAAATCCCGCCCCCTCCGCCGCCCAGAGATCCGAACGTAAAAGCGGTGTATTATTTCCGAAACAATAGGCTCGTGTCCCGGGAATCGGATTCAACGTACTTTTCGCAGGGTTCGGACGATAATATATCGGAAAATGGAAAATTCCACGAGACCGAAATAGACGAATGTAAAAATGAATGCCGCGGCGATTTCGCGAAAAAACCCGGCCCGAGGAGTAGACGGCCGATACAGATTTGCGACGTTAACACTCTGTCCACGGAATCGGAAAAACCGGAACCCTGCAAACCGCAAAGCGTGGAAGAAGCTCTCCAAGAATTGGAAAACATATACAACAGTTTGGGACTAAGCGACGACGAAGATCTGCTGGACAGAGCCGAACGACGCGACCTTCCTACGCTGCATCAAAACATGCGCTACCAGGGTTCGGACGAACTCGACTGCGTGACCGTCAAACGAGTGTTACCGAAAACACGGCGATCCGGCGTCCCAGATATCGTGGCCGACGATATGGCTTACAGACGACTGAACAGAAGAGAATCGAAACGGCAAAGCTTTGTCCCGGGAAGTTTTCTTCTAGTTTTTCCGACCATTTATAATCTGGATACGACCCCTAGGCCGCTCGGCGAACCCGACATCACGCTGGACGATGTCGTGTTCAGAAGCCGTAGACAAAACCTCAACTTCCTCAAGATACCCGACCGGCAACCGCCTTTCGGGATTCCTTTGGGCCCGATAGTGGGAGCTGCCCCCAGTGATTATTTGCACGCGGTGCCCGAAGGTCGGTATAAACCATCGTTTCACCCCAGAAGAGTTCCGGACACGGTCGAAGACGATTTGGCTTTTCGGAGTCTCAGGAAAGATAACAAGTACAAAGCGTGTTTCGATTTTTCGTTCGTCCATCGTAATCGATTCTGCAAAACTGACGGCATGGTTCCAAGGACGGCTGACTACGGTAATGTTAATAAAATAATAAAAAACGACACGCACTGGATTATTGAAAAAACGAAATTCGCGGATCGTCCGAATAATAATGCGGATCGAGTAAAACTCTTGTTCGACGATTCGGCCGTCGCGGCCGTGGCCGCTGCTAATAACGGCCAAAATTTAATGGTAGTCAAGATCAATCATCATAGACCGATTATGCTCTCGGGGTTCACGTTGGACGATGCCGACCGATTGAGTAAGTCGTTTTTTCGCACGAACCTATTACAACAGCACGAACCTCGCAATAACGATAATGTACATTTGTCGAAACGTGACACACGTACGACGACGACGCCCGACTGTGCTCCGCAATCAATTAACAATAATAATAATAATAACATTAACAATAATAATAACAATAATTGTTCGTCGATTCGAGCACCGTACAAGAACGCCTTAATAGGCGCGGTTCCCGCGGCCGCAGTAAAACGACACGGCGGCCGAGTTCTGTTCGGAAACGTAATCGGCTGCCCTGACGACGACGCCGTCTTGGTCGTCGGTAAGAATCAACCGAATTTCCGAGAGCTAATCGAACGGGAATACGCGCACAGGACGTTGTCGTTGACCGAATACCGGCCGCAGTTATCGAATCGACGAAGAGGGCCGGCGTGCGGCGACCGTGTGCCGGCGGCCGACAATGGAATTAATACGATTAAATCTCGTAATAACGATAGTAATAATAGCGATGACGACAATAATAACAGCGATGACGACAATAATAGTACGACGACGACTACAACAACTATTAATACGATTACAACTGCGGTCCGTTCGACCGGCGGCGCTATTATTGCGTTCAGGCCGAAGACCGGCGACGATCACGTCGGATTATCGGCGCCGGAAAATCGAACCGCAGCGCCGCCGCCGTCGTCCCCGACCGCCCCGGAGGAACTGGACTCGTCGTCGTCGACGTCTTTGGCGGCATATCCGAACCGCGCGACGGCCGCTACGATTTTCCCCGGATACACGGAGGTGTGCTTGTACATCACAGTATATGTTTATCAACTATTTAATGTAAACGCGTACTACTACAGCACTCTTATCGCATTGATCTTCCTCGTAGCTTTACGCGTTTGTAGACGCTTGTCGTGAATGTCATGATATAACCAATAACGATATCTTTTTTTTATTATTATTATTATTTATTTATTTATTAAAATGTGTACGATTTTTTTTTTTTTTTTTTGTCGAATTAATAATATTTTATTATATGCTTTTTGTCGCTTTTTGTTTCCCCTCCCCCCCTCACTATACAATATTTATTTGTTACCTGTCTACACTATTATTATATATAATATACTGTTTATTGTCAAAGATGGTTCCATGAGAGGAACAAAGCTGCTCCCCCCCCCCTCTTGTGAATTCGTGTCCCCCTCTCAGTATTATTGTATACGTCATATGATCCGTTTTACATTAGTGGTTTAAATCTGCAGGTCCCGGGGTTCGATCCGTTCTATGATCAATGGCCAGTCCCGTAAATATTTCTATAGGTTGATCGGTCAATTCACGCCAAAATGTTACATTTTATCGGGCTTATAAATTTCAGTCAAATAGTGTTTTTATCATTTTTACCAGTGGTGGATTTCAGGTGGGTGACAAGACAATCGCCACCTCCGTGGACCTAAATATTTGCTTGCTCCCCCTACCACGATGGTCTAGTGTCGCCTATGCATTTTGTTACTACTACTGTTAATACTTATTATTATTATTTAACTATTATCGTTGTTGTTAGTTTTACTCTTTTTATTACTATTACGAATATTTATTATAGGTTAGTAGGTGATAGGATTAAACCGAAAAATAAAAATAAAATCTGTGTACGTTTTTGTGAAGTCAGTTTCGTAATAAAAAAAAAAACGTTATGTATACACGCTGGGAGAAAATAAAAAAACTGCACAACGCATTATAATAATATTATATATTATATATTATTACACAGTTGGTTTTTTTTTTCCTTGTATCCCCTCTCTTTCTCTTACACACTATAATAATATTATACTCTGCAATGTTTCTCTGTCTCTGTCGTTCACTATCCGCGCTTGTGTAATTTAGTCTGCAGCAGTGTCTGTTGTCGTAAATATTATACTCGTATACACTATTATACTATACCTCGTGCGCCTTCATTATAATAATAATGTGTATAGTCGGTAAAAAAAAAAAAACAGTTCTATCTAGTTTGAAAAATAATGATCGAGCGTTAACAACACAACGCAGGTATGGTTTAAAAAAAAAAAAAAACAATCTGCCGGTACACTATAATGTAATAATAATTAATTTTTTTTTTCATCTTGACCCACCAAATATAGAAAAACGAACACTTGACAATAATATAAGTATACTCGAAGGTGCAGTGTGTCGTTTATCAAAAAAACAATATATTTTTTTATGAATTAAAAACCTACATTCCTATTAACAATTATTGTTGACGAAGGTTTCATTTTTTATAGTAGGTAGTTTTTATAGCGTGGAAAATTAATTTCAAGAATATCAATTATTATCATTATTATTACAATTGTTTCGTGTTTCACTCTAATAAAATTATACCGCATGTTCTGAAATTAATAACAATATAGTCAGTATATTCTCGTATTATTAATTTTATTACCTATAGTTTAAGTGTAACATTAAATTCTCGAATGTGGTAGTTAACTTTCTTATCCTGTGGTCACCGACAATTGATTAGTAGTGACAACTTTCTCTGAATTGAATTTTCGAATTTTTTTACTGGATGAGTATATATGCATTATAGTTTAGCCCAGACAGAGACATATAACTTGTTTTTTTCTCCATATTATTAGTTATGCATATTCTTATCTCTCTGAGATTCTATTTATTTTTAAGGTCAGAATATGTAGTGAAAAGCTAAAACTGTTTAACAACACAATGCACATAATAATATATATATATTACTATAAAATATTATATTAGTCCAAGCACACTAATCATGTATGTATTGTCGTGCACTCGCCTAAACATTTTTTTTTAAAAGAAATTTAAAATTGAGACTTGTATTTTGTTACCTACTAATATAATAATATTATAACCTTTGATAATTTTACAAAAATTTAAATTATATCTATAATATTGTTTTAAAATTCGTATTTGATTGTTTTTCAGGACGGCAAGGATGTAAATGTAACCTAGCATTTAAAATCTCAAAACCGCCAACATATTATGATGTAAGTTAAATTTAAATTCATTACATTGTATGGAATGTAATCAATTTAAATTTGTCATTATTATACATAAATAGGTAATTGTTTTATTCTTATTATTTATTAAGTTGCTTGTTTTAAATTTTTAATCATAATAATGGAAAAACAAATTATGTTTTTTCTATTATATTTGAAATTGAATTGTTTTTACATATTTGTATTAATTTAGACGTATCTTGTTAAATTTGTATATTTTTACTTGTTATATTATTATTATTATTATTATCATCAGCCACTGTTCATTTTTTGGTTTTCATTATTTAATACCATTCTTCTTGCTTTGCTCAAAATTTATAGAGTTGTCTATGTCTTGCTACAAAAGTTAAAACGATTTATTTGAAGAAATCATCTATATATGCTATTTTAATACAGTTGGATTAGTAGAATCATTAAAATATATATACCTATTCAAATATTATAGTTAGGACCCAAAAGTTGATGCATTTGCATCTTTTTTTCTAATGCTTAAATTTGAGGCTCGTCTTCATAGAAATTTAATTTACGTCACACAGAATTCATTGATACAAATTAAATTTTGCATTTTTTTCGGTATTTCTTGTTTGGAAAATGTAAAAATATAGATATTAGTTGAAAACATGAGAAAAACTTAGGAAAAACGATACAACATTAAACAAATATTATTAAAGAAAATATATAGAGCCTATTTAATTATTTTACTATAATATGGCATATATAATGTTGACAAAGCATCACTATCAACTATATTCCGCTCAGAAACATTTTTTCGTAAGCAATGGTTTATCATTGTTTCCAGGTATACATTAAATTACTTATAACAGTGTTTGTACCCGTCCCCATTATCCTAAGACGTATTTTTTTATTTTTAGTCTGAGCTATAATGAGGAAGCGCTAGAACCGGCTCTAGTAATTACTGATGGGGGATAGGCATCAACTTTTAAATTCTAAGCGTATCAAGGGAGCTATTAGTTTAACAAGATTTTTATTTTTTTCTTGTCTGTGGGCATGTTTTTTCCTAGTAAACTTGCTCCGATTTTTATGTATAACAATTTTTCTGAAAGCTCAAGTTGTTTAAATTGTACCCTAGAATGGTTATTTTTTTTTTCGACGAAATTTTTTAAATAACAGCACTTAAGTGGGAAAACGTACAATTTCACGATTTTATTATTTTATAAAAACACTTTACTTAACGCCAAAACTTTTGAGCTTTTAAGGAATTTTAATTTTTGAGAGTTTGTTTGATGTAATTCAGGTAAAAATACACGTAGAGACTTAAAACTTGGTAATAATACTTATATTGAACTTACCTAGACATGATTAAATTTCCAAAATCATCTTATTTTTTTTCTTAATGAGCGCTTTGAAATCAAATGAAAACGAAAATCGCAAAAAAATTACGACCCTTCAAATTGTGTATTGCAAAACTAATCGGAATCGTCTTCCGTCTAGTAATGATTTATCGTTGCTTACAGATAAAAATGAAATAACCATATATATCTTACCTTCCTAACTTCTCACCAACAACAGTGGACGCGCTTCCATCCCCTGTATCAGCTCTTTTTTTACTTATCGGACTTTTAGCATACAATTTTTATTTTTAAGTGGTGGTTTCGATTTTAGTTGTTGCCGTAAAGCTCTTTATGTGATTGAGATCCCACAATCTACAATATTTTGCCATGGGCATTATAATATGGCTAATAAAATTCAAATAATTTTATTTATTTTCCTGTAATTGTAAAATAAATGAAATTTCCGACTACTTAGCAATTCTTGTATAATTACCGACTCATTCTTTCGATTCATTTTCCACTGGTGGGAGGTGGTACATCCCCCCCATATGCCCCTCTAGAGCCACCCTTTGGAAACGCAATTATCGCCTTTATAACATTTTTTTAAATAAAATATTTAGGTTATTTTTAACATTTTTATGTAATTTTATGCATTTTTTAGGAATTTTGTATCATCAAGTTCCGGGCAATTTATATTAAATAAATATAATAGGTAAATGTGATTTTTAAAAAAAAAAGTTAAATATTAATAAAATAATTATTGGTTAAATATTTTTATTGCAACAAAATAGTCAAAAAAAATTAATATTTTAGAACTTTAAAGTTTAAAGTTTGTCTAATATCAAAAGTTTTTTAACTCAAGGCCGGCGGCAATTTGAATATAGTGGATCCTCCCCCTGGTTGAAGTTTTCGTAATTATCAGTCAACATTTTCTTAATAGTAGTGAACCGTCGATAATTATTCGAATTGTTAAAAAACTGTTTTCCTATATTTTTTAGGCTATAATTTTTAAAATTAAAAAAAAAAAATATAATATAACGGGTCCTCGACAGTTGGCAGTATTTTGTTTTTTAAATCGACAATTATCATTTGCTTTAAACCATAGATGACACATTGACACTAATGAAAGTTTACTTTGTTATAAAAATATATAATATAAATGGATATTTTTTCAATAATTATTGACTCCACAATAGTATTAGTATACAAATATTGAGAACCCCTTGTTTTTTTTATTCCTACAGACTTAACTATACGCAGTTAATAATTTACTTGTTTACCGATTTAGAAATCAAAATATTACCGACTGCTAAGGATCTAGGACATCTTGCCGAAAGCGATTCGGCGAACGGATATATAAACTTCACAAGTTTTGTTAAAATTTAACAAAAATATTTAATAAATCATATTTAATATAATTTAATACTAATTTAATACTATTAAATTAAAAAGAAATTGTTATTATTTATTTAATTTTTTTAGTTAGTGACATACGCCGATTGATAGATTTGAACAAGGCTCACTTTTTTAAAACTTAAAATAATCCTGTACTTGTATGGCTATATTCTGTATGATAAACAAAAAACATATTATAAGCTATAACTATGCGTAGAGCGGTTTAAAATATTTAGTTCTATTATTTGTACTTTTTTTTAATGATTTTAATATTTATAAAATGTTAATTATTTTCTTAAGCTATTTTAGTGCACCTTGACTATCGTAAAGAAAAACCAAGAATTTGTAAACTTCATGTATGTTTTCAATCGGTATAAATTAAATTTCTGTCAACAAATACTTAATCTCACTCCCTCGTCAAAATTGTATAACACCGGCCCTGATGGAACTGCACTAAAGCCTTTTTCGATTACGTATATAGACGGAAAATCCATAATTAGTAACTCCACTTCTTTCCAAAGCTTAGAATACGCAGTTTTTTGTTTAAGCCAATATAACTCATACCCGTTGTGTTTAAAATCAATTTTAGCCCTAATTGGTTATGTATTTATTAAAACATTACGGGTAAATTAACATATTATTGTATTAATCAATTATAAAAAGAGATAATACTGCTGATGAATGTGCCACTGTTGTAGATGGGAAGGTATAAGATATATATATATTTATTTAATTTATATTTGTACTCAACGTTACATCATTGATGCCGAAATACGATTTGGAGTGAATTTAGGTTAAACATATTTTAAAATGTCGTAATTTTTAAGAATTTCGTCAAAATTTAAACTTAAAAGTTTATGAAAAACCTTAATATATAAAACTCAATTTTTATCTAACTACCATGAAGTACACCTTATAATAAACTTTGGGTTAAATTATCAACAGTTTTAATTTGACCGAACAATTTTATCCACATAAACGAATTAAAATCTAAAAAAAAAAAACCCTTAAAATATCAAATGCCTATAAATATATCAAAAATCGCTAGAATTATTTGAAAATTTTACTACGCCGAAAAGTAGTTCATATAAGTATTCTTTTAAAATTGCAGGTCTCAACGATTAATTACAACAAAAATAATAAACCGTTAAAGCCATAAACTCCTTTTTTCCCAATTATTATAAAAACTGCTTGGAAAATTCAAAAATACACCTACTATATACAAAATTCTATAAATAAGTTTTTCATCGTTTTTTGATTAGAACAAGATTTATGGTAAAAACGTTTAAAAAAGGCATATATTTATACATTATATTTTGTACGTGTCCAGGTGAAATATTTAAAATTAACGTTTTTTATTTATCAATAAAAATCTGTTAAAAAATAGTAAAAATCTAAATGACCCGTTTCGTCCAAAATCAATTTTGTACCTGTTCTTCTTTTTCATGGTATGCATTCAATTAACGCTCTTCAATTAACACGTTTTTTCCACATATAATTTTTTTGTGAAAATTCACACGCACTAAATAAAATATGCCCTATTGTTTTGTTATAATTTTGTTTGAATTTACATTGAAAAATAATTTGATTATCAGAAAAAAAATTTTAAACAATCAACACGCACTACAATATTGCATTTCTTATCGCGCACACAGTTTAGTATCTGCATTTAAGCCTTTTCTTTTATTTGTTTATATGATTTTGACTGCCTTAAGAGAGATATGAGTAAAAAAAAAATTGTGTGCCTCTACTCAACAATACCTTTCCAATAATTTACAATTTTCCCCCTACTACGTATATAGGCAGAATTATTGGTATGACGAAAACAGTGCTATAGTATTAATATATAAATATATCGTATATTTATCATATTCGTATTAACCTATTATTCATTTGATAATACACGATTTGATAATAATGCACGAAAATAAATACATTATCGTTTGATGTAAACAATTTTTAACACAAAGAAAATTCAATAATTTTAAACAAAGAAAAAAATTGTCATCGTTAAATTATTATTTCCGTTTATCCTAATCGCATATTATAAATAAATGCACGATATTAAAAACAAATGATTTTAGATTTTAATTATTATTGTGTGATTTTTTTTTTTCTATCTGAACAACTTTTCTACCAGAAATCTTGCTCCAATCAAAAAACGACAAGAAAACTTTTTGTTGCATAATATATGATCTTGTTGATGTATGTATTGGGAAAATAAATTTTTGATTTTCTGTGGAATTTTCATAATAATAGGTAAAAAAAGGAAAAATGTAACATAAATGCATGCAAATTTAACTCCAAGTTCATTAGAAATAGTAGGTAGGTACTTCATGTTTAAGTCAAAATTGAGCTTAATGTAGTCGTTTTAAGTTAAATTTGACGAAAATAGTAATGATTTATTATTGCATATAGATATAAATTAAATAACTTAATAATGTATCCTACCTTTACAAATTTGTATTATTATTTTCCATGATATCTATTAAAATAGGGCTTCATGTAATTTTAGGTAAATAATGTAAATGATTATGTAATGAATTTTTTTTTTTTTATAACCCGTAGGACAATAAATATATCAGATATCCATTTTCCAAGGTCATCAAATTCCGTAAATTGATGTTATATAATATTATTTCGATGAATGTATTATTTTTAGGTCAAATTTAATTTTGTTTATTCATAAGTATTTAGTATAATAATGTTTAAAATCGTATTTTTGGTTGAGTTTTTGTGTCGGTATCGAAATTCCACGGAACCGAGTGTGCGTCCACGTTATTTTTTTTGTTTTCCGAGTCGCACTATCGTCAGATTTCACTGAAATCATCGAGCGTGTAATAGACCAAAGCTGGAAAACGCTATACCTAGCTACCTTTCATATAAATACCTACTGTATAGGACGGCGGTAAATCATTCGATTGTGAAGGTCTATTAAATACTGGAGGGGAACTGTTACTCTCAAACCATGTAAGGTTGCATTAAGATGACTATATGCTCTAAGATGTTATTCATTAATTCATGCACTCCGTTGCAGTGCCAGTGCGGCATGTTAAATAATAATAATATAGTAACTAGTAATGCTCAATACTCATAGAGAATAGTGTGTAGTAAGTATATTTATTTTTTTTTTTTTTTTTTTTTACAGCTCAAAACGCCTTAGATTATTATCAAACTCGCATGTAAATGTACACCCAAACTTATAATATTCATATATTCTGTATTTATTTAAACATTTATTAAACTCACCCGATCGTATTGTATACATCAATTATAATATTATTGTAACCACCGCAGTATGGATCACTACCACCACAACCTTAGCTGTAAATCAATTTTGAAACGGAAATCTCTCGAACTATCTACCGAAGACGATCCGGCGCCTGCAGTTGTAAATAAAACTGCAGAAGATCCACTACCACAAAGTTCCTTTAAACACTTTAATCTCAAGTCCTACAGACAAGGTATACTAAAAAAACATTCAGCCAGTTTTGATGACGAGTCAATTCAAAAACCTATACTTAAAAATCGTTGTCAGTCATGTGACGATGAAACGATATTCAATTTCAATGAGCTCCATTCCATTTTGAAACGGAAAACGAGCGAACGGTGCGAGAACAATTCGGAACCGTCACACGGAATATTAAAAAAGCGCGAGCTGATTGCTCATCAGCAGCCACCAGACAACAATCATCAGGATCATCATATCTGCAATAATACAGCGGACGATGACATTAGACCAATTTTGAAACAGAAAAAAATCGAATCCGATTCGACGGACGAAAACAATTATCCTCGGCCTATTTTGAAGAAAAAGTCTCTGGATTCCTCTCCGGACGATAAAAAACCGATATTGAAATCGTCGAGGAGCAATAGTCCGGCCAAACGTGCAAGCTCCAAACGGCTTTCGGTAGCTCAAAGGGTGTCGAATTTCGAGTCCGGCATTCATAAGCCGGATTCCGGTGTTTACAAGAAACCGGTCAAAGATAGCAAACGGAGCTCGCGGGACCGTTCGAGATTTTATACGCAACCTGTAACGCCGAGTGAAATCAACGCTATTAAAAAGTACGTTTCTAATAATAATTAAGTATTAATTTTTCAAGGTGACAAGATTATTATGCTTATTATAATATTATGTGTGTGTGCATGTTTGTGTATTTATATGTTTGTTATCTTATATTCTATTCTGTAGAACAACACACTCTGAGAATAACACGACTACTCCGCCCGTACAAAATGTCTCAACACTAAACCATTCGACAGATAAACTAACGACCGGTGTTGTTCCACTTGTAGATAACAGGGATATATTATTCAACAAGGCCTTGAAACGTGCCAATAGCGTTTCGCCAAAAACTCGCGAATTCCAGAGCATTTTTGATAAGACGGCAAACACTCCTTCTGTGCCAGACGTCAATAATTGCAGTAATGTTACAGGTACCATCTACCTATTTAAAATTTAAATGTCTCGATTGCAAAAACGACATGAGTCAATTTTTATTTTCCCTTGTCTAATACAATAACAAGGTATTCATAGGAATGTATAAACAAATATAACTTTAGTTATGTCTCAACATAACTGTAGTTATATTATGCAACAATTAATTCAGATCGGTAACAATAATAATTATTATACCCATCTCTATTCTGATGTGCAAATGTCTTATAAATATATTATATAGTTTATAAAAAATACGCCATTATTTTATTTAAAAAAAAAAAAACAATAGAAACTTCTTTGTACTATAGATTATATATATATATATATATATATAGGTACTGGTATATACATATATTATCCAAGTCGATTTTATTTTATTTGTATAGAATAAAAACGAATTTCCAATTGGCTAATCAATTTTAAATTAGTACATTTTACGGTTTTTGCACATGTGTAACATTAAAAGACTCCTATGTACACTATTCAAAAGAAAAACAAATAGTAAATTTTCTACAGACGGGCGTCACACAACGTGATTTACTATTTTTATGTTTAGTAATAAAATATATATAGAAGTATAGATGATAATAATAATAATAGTATCTAATAATTAATAAATATCGCTATAAAAACACGGAAGAGCGTTTTATATTACCGAAAGTTGGTACTTTATATGTGCGCCTAGGTATATATATATATATATATATAGAAGAAAAAAACACTACTTGTTTCGTTTTTGCAATCGTAGATTCAATTACTTAGTCGTTAGCGTTATCTTTTAATGGGACATTTTCTCGCCGACTTATCTCGTCAATTAGCTTTATAAAAAAAAGAGTAATCATATTAGTAGACGGTATAATAGTATAGATACACCTAACAACAATATTATATTTTGATAATAACAATCGCTTTAGAGAATTTCGTGATATGAAATTCGTTCGATAAATTAACGGATTATTCGAGAGGTTTTAATACTTCGATTTCCAAACTCGTTACTTTCGTAGAAAGTTATTTAGTGTTTCTATTACTCACTAAAACAGTTTAAATATTATTGAACAAAGTTTAAACGTTATAAATCATCATTAGATAACCTTTTCCAATTAAAATATTAGAAAAAAAAAAACATTGTTGTCAATGATCTCAATAATTTGACTTTACAATACTATGCTCGTACAGTACATTCCGACTGGTTACAACAGATCAGCCAGATATATAGTTAATTGGCGCCCCAGTGCATAGCTTATGTAGTAGACGTACAATAATATTGTTATGTGATATAATATGATATTTAATAATTTCACTGAAAATTTTTTTTAAAAATTATAAATATGTATGTGCATATTATGTATAAATAGACAAAAGTAGATCGTCGAATTATAAACAGTGCCAAGAAAAAAGGTCGAGTGTTGCCAATCGTTATTCGACGCAGCCAGTGACAAACCACGAACTACTAGAAGCCAAAAATCTGAATAGTGCAAAAAGCAAAAACGATAATAATAATGGTATGTCACGTACGAGTAGCAAGTATATTATGTAAATATAACAATGATTTCAATTAGCTTTAGTAGATCGTATATACACAACTGTACGTATAGACATACGTATACTTCATGTTAAATAGCAAATAAGTAAGTATAGTAACAGAAATCATTTACTTCTTCTTCTTCTTTTTTATTACTTTTTTAAAATTAACATGCTATACTTACTTAAAATTACTTCAATGTATTATGTAACATAGTAGTTTTTTTTTTCAAAATTATACATTATTTACACTTGCTTATAATTTGTATAACATACTACTTTTATAATATCGTTTTTGTGTATGAATCTAATTTTCTAAATACTATGTAGCTTATAGATATAAGATTAAATATAGTTGTTTCTTGCAGTTGTACACTTCTCAAATAATATATTTAATGAGATTGTGTACATTGTAACAAAAATAATGTAATTTATTAGAAAATTATTTAACTACATTTAATAATTTTGCTTTTGCATGTATTCGTATTTTGGTTATTGTTCTTGTATTCTGCTTAAATATAAAAGGAAGATTGCCGAGGAAGAAATTAGGAAGCTTTATAATGGATCGGCTACGTATATTCAATGGTAAAGATTAGTTTTTTTATTTATTTAACATTTGTAGATTCTATTTCATCTTTTATTAATTTTCCACGCACGAACTCGTTTATTATTTAAATTATAATATAAATTGTGTATAAAACTTGGAAACGGATTTATATACACTTAAAATCAACACAAAAAAAAAAAACTCTTAAAACGTAAAAAATCATTAAAAAATATTTAAAATAGTAATAATGGAAAAGAGGTTTAAAAATCCTTCCCTGTAATGGTTCTAACTTATTAAAAATAATCTTTTAACACTATAAAACTAATTGTATTTTTTTTTTAATATTGTTAAAACCATTATAGAGGAGATTTTAAAAACTTAACTCCTTTTGCTTTTTAAATATTTTTTAAGTGCTTTTTTGACGATTTCAGCACTATTTTGCTGATTTGAAGTACATATAAATCCGTTCCTAATAACATTTAAAGGACTAGTCAAAATTAGTCATAATAACCAATTGTCATTATAACCAAAATGATAAAATAAAATTTAAAAATTAGATTATGTGTATTTATATGTATTTATATGAACATAATATTATATATTAATATGCTATATTTTTATCACTAAATCGAGACTACACAAACAAAAATAAAATAGTTTTATTATTTTAAAATTAAATTAAACAAATCTGTTATCTTGGTTTGTATTATTGTATACAAATTATACAGTATTTTACACTTTTTTTAAAACAAAAAATAACATTAGCTTTTTCTTCAACTGTGAATTGATCATTTTGCTACAATACACCAATACACCATTTATAAACAATAAAATTATAAAACAACAATACATTCAGTATTATTAGCCATTATATTATTACCTTCAATAAAAGTTGAATACACTAATTATGGATAACAAATTTTCCAATATAACCAAAACATAACATCTGTATAATCATTATACAGATTACAAACATCATAATAATCTTTATTTAGAAATTAGTACATAACAAATAGGAATTTTGCCGAGACCTTTAATCTAAGTTCCTTACCCCCGATATATTACTACTACTGGTGTCATTATAAACTATATTTACTGTAAATTAAATAATAATTTGTGTTTTAAAATCTAGGTAACACTTGTACAATTGATGTTGACAATATAGAAAAAAAAAATTCATTAAAAAAAGAGATGGATGAACCGACTAAAAATTTGTCTGAACGTCTTAAAGAACAACCACAATATGATAAGAAAAAACTTCTAAATATTGAAATCCATTCTAAAAACGAGAAGAAAAAAACCTCAGGAATTAAGGTCCAATCAATAGATGAAATAAATAAAATCTCAGAGAAAAAAATTCAATTAAAAGAGGAGATGAAAAAAAACCCAGACATTAAAGTCACACCAATAAAATCTTTATCCAATGAGAGCGAACGTACTAAAAACCGCATTTCTCGAAATGTTGCTATAAATCGATCATTCAACACTAACTCAAAATTGGAACTACTTAGGTAAAGTCAAATATAAAAATAAATAATATTTTAGGTTTAAAATGTATTTTAATATTTTAGACAACAAAAATTTGGCAATAAGAGCAAAGAAAATGATGAGTTTTCTAAACCCAAAAAACCAATTGAATCATCTAATGATAGTACTGATGGCACTTCAGTTGTTAATGGGGGATCTATTAAAGACAGGTTAGTAGCTTTAAAGAAGAGCGGTCAGACTGATTGGCAAAAAAGGATATCAAAAATAAAACCAGAAGATCATGAAGTGTCAAATAATCCTATAAATGTAAGTTCATTCTAACTTGTATATGTAAGATCCAAAATTAACTATATTATTGTAGATGGCTCAAGATTTACTGCGTAAACAACTCACTAAACAAGTAAAGTCCACTGAAGAACCGGTTGAATGCTTGGATAACATTCTAGTTGATCGACTTAATCGGCTCGAAATGTCTTCTAAGGATTGGAAGAAACGGATTGAACAAAAGGACACAACTAATTTTACTGTTGCTGGAAAAATGCAAAATAAATCTTTGCCACCACTGACACCTGTTCTCATGTCAATCACTCAACGTTCTTCAGCAGAAAGATCATCTAGTAATAATTTTCTCTAATACTTACATACTTTTTGATTTTAATTTTAATTTTAATTAAACGTGTTTATGTAGGTATTATCAGGAGGAAAATCGGAGAAGAGTTATCTCCCAAACAAACAAATGTTCGACGGAGTCTTTCAATGTCTGACAGTAAGACCAAATCTTACCTTAATAATAAATCTGAAAAAATACCTTTAGATACTGGATCTAGTAACACAGGCAAAGAAAAAATAGTAAATGTGCCAACCATGATCGATGATGATTTCGATAAATTTTTTGGTAATTCAACTCGTAAGAGCAATGACACCCAAATTGATGATTTAGATTTTGATCACTTAAAATCATCAAAATCTGATCTGTAAGTGTGCATTTTTAAATATTAACTATTTCATCTTAATAATTTATTTACATATAGTAAATATATCTTTGTTCTCAGACTTGTGCTGCGAAAAAAAGTGCATGTACAACAGAGGAAACACGGGGGATCAAAAAACCCATTAAAAGCATTAGCTACAAATTATGATCTGGCCCATCAACAATATACAGAAAACAAATCAAATTTATTATTACAACGTAGTTTGGAAACATGTAAATATATTTATATTACCAATCATTTATTAAGGTTTTATTATAAATTGTTATTATTATCATTATGATTTATATTTTTTAGCAACAATCAAGGTTCCATTAGCTCGAGAAGCACTTGCAGCTTTAGCCAGTAAAGAAGATTTTGCTTCTGTGAACCTTCGTAAATCAGGAGATTTGACCCCTACTTTATTGCCACCTTATAAAGACCTCATGCTGTTACATATAAAAGGCCGACGACGAGTTCAAACCCGTCTGGTATCACCAACTGCAGATTCTGTCAATCAAGGTGACTGCTACGTATTAGTTACATCATCACAAGTAAGATTTATTTTAATATTATATTCTCCAACATATTGTAATATGTAATAATAACAATATCAGCAATAATGGTCTTTCCGACCTTATTACCTTAAATTCGTAATACTCAACAATGAACAGAACTAACATCGAGTTTGATTTCTATAAACTACAAGCAAATGCCTATAAATATCAACAGGATTAAAATTATCTGCAACAAAAAATTCAATTACAGCACACTGTTTGAATTTCACTTCTGGATAGGCCATCATTTTAGAATATAGATATCATAAATCTTAGCACACACTATACCAAAAACATAACTTATAAAATGCTATAAATCTCTGAAATAAAATAATTATTAGATCTCGTATATGAGATAAAATATGAACTAATAATGTTTAGATGTAATGAAATAAAAAGATATTTTAAAACATAGCTGACTGAGGTGTAAAAACACTATTCCTATAACTTATCCTATAACACTTTTTTTCAGTTGGTTTTAACAAACGTGGAAAGTTGTGTTTTACGTTACCTTATTTTTTTAATCTGTTTAGATTTTTGTATGGATTGGAGAATATTCAAATGTTATTGAACGGTCAAATGCCGCCAAAGTGGCTCAAAGCATTTTGGACAAGAAGGACTTGGGATGTAAATTCGCAAATCAACTGTACACAATTAACTGTGATTCGTCGTTGCCAAACAGTCAACTTGAAAAGAAATTTTGGACTCTTCTGGGCGTCACGTCTAGTGAAACTTCTTCTATTAAAGGTATATTAACACCACTGTCTGCACATTAAGTACTTAAAATAAAAATTTAAACCATGTGTGTACACTGGTAGGCCAAGAAGCAGGACACCCAGACGAGGACGAATTGTACGAAGCAGCAATTGTTTCCACAAATATGGTGTATGAAATCATAAATGATGAGCTTGTAATACTGCCAGAAATCTCTGAGACCATGCCCAAAATAGAAATACTAGATTCATTTAAAGTACATAATTGTTTTATTATTATTGTTATTATTATTGTTATTATTCCAATTATTATATCCAATTCTATCTTTTATATTTTTTAGACGTTAGTATTTGACTTTGGTAGTGAAATATACGTATGGTATGGAAAAAATGTGAATATCAATAAACGCAAACCGGCTCTTAATTTAGCCCGTCAGCTATTTGATGATGGTTATGATTATTCACAGTATGACGTCAGTCCAATTGACGTGGCCATGTGCTTAGGAAACAGAAGTGAATAAATTAATTTTCATTCAGTTATAAACTATTTCTTTTACAAAAAACATTTTTTTAGATAAAGACACAGTGTATGTTAAATCAGGGGCAAAAAGACCCGAATGGGCCCTATTTTCAAAAATTACACAACACATGGAAACAGTATTATTCCGTGAAAAATTTGCAGATTGGCCAGATTATAGCAGAGTTATAAAATTATCGAAAAAGAATGATAACAAAGAAAATGTAGAAAATGGAGAAAGTGATACATGCGTTAGTTATTTTCTTTATTTAGATACTTTTAATTTTAATTTAATTTATTTTTAATTAATATTAATGATAAAAATAATTGTATATATATTTATATTTTAGATTGATTGGTCTCTTGAAATAAATGCATTAAATGCAGGTGACATGTTAGAAATGTCTGTTCAAGAACCTGATTTGGTTTTAGGTGGTAGTCATCTAGGCCGTGGTACCTCTTACTATGATAAAGAAGTAAGCAAAAACATTAATTTTTTTCCCCGTGTATAATTAACTGAATTTTCACAATATATGTTCTAGACCTTGCGCGAGTTTGTAATAAATACTGTCGGTGTAACTGTATGGTATGTTCAAGAATTTGATAGTACCGAATTGGAATCAAAATGTATAGGTCATTTTCACGGAGGTGATTCATATATTATTCGATGGATTTATAACATTTCTATTCAAGGTCTATTTTCATCATTACAAACATACAAATATTATTATTATTTGTACTTTACTTTTTCAATAATAATTATTGTATTTAATTCCCCATATCAGGAAGAGAACTTAGCGGATTGCCTTCCCGCCGCATGGTTAAGTCTGGTAGAAATCGCTGTGCATATTGGTATTGGCATGGTCGAAGTGCAACTCAAAATGATCAAGGTGCTGCCGCCTTATTAACTGTACAACTAGATACCGAACAAGGTCCTCAATTAAGAATTAATCAAGGGCACGAACCGCCTGCTTTCTGGAATTTATTTAAAGGGAAAGCTATTGTTTACAGAGGAAAAAGAAATCAGATTCCAAGTACTATAACAGTTCATAATAATTTATTATGATATTAAGTTTGTAGAGTATTCAAATTTAAAATTAATAACATTTTCAGATACTTGGCGTTTGTTTATGGTCCACGGAGCAAATATAAATGAAGCCCATTTAATTGAAGTACTGTGTTCTACATTACAGTTACGTAATCAAACATCGTTCATTCTACTGAACTCTGAAAATGGCACAATTTTTGTTTGGCACGGTAACAGATCTTCAGATGCAATGAAAGAGGTAATTATTAAAAATTTAATATTATAATTTAACAGGAAATCTGACTTAAATGAAATAAATATTTAAATTAGAATCAGTAAAGGACAAATTATGTTTGTTTTTAACTATTAAAAAAATAAAAATATATGTTTACTTCAACTTGTCATCTACAAACTCAAGTGCTATTTTTAAATAACTTTAATGGGTACATTTTAATGCTCCTTTATTAAAATAGTAAAATAATATTAAAATAAAAGATCTTTATATTTTATAATATTTATTTAAGATATCCACTCAAGTGAGATGGTGTCTAAAATTTCCATAAATATATTTAACTTCTTTGCATACCTATGCTCACTGTTAAAATATGTTAGAAAACAAAAATTACCATGATAAATAAACAAATCTTCAAAACCATTATGATTTATTTATTTATATGTTATTTGCATAATACTTATCTGATTCTAATTTAAATATCATATTAATCATAAATTACTAAAATTCCTTGTTATAAACATATTTAGAGTTGGACAAATACTACACTTTAAGAAGAAAAACAAGTATTACTTTTGTTATTATTATGGGTAATTACTTTAGTTAAAATAGAGTATATATTGAGTAAGAGAATATAATGGAAACATTTTTAGTTTTTTTTTTTTACAATTTTTTCAGACTACTTTGTTAAAACACTTGGTTGATTAAACTCAGCACACACTGATTAATTATACCTACATATACAAGGTGATCCATTTAAGTGGGTACACTCATTATCTTTAGAAAGTATTAACTTTTTTTGGAATTTGTTTTCTAGAACATTTAAGAAACACGCAGCTCTACAATTTTATATTTATATTATTTTTTATCACCCTTATTTTTGGAAATAAAATTACTACCTACTTTTGATTTTCAAATAGCAACCTATATTAAAAATGTCCACAAATAGAATATTAGTTAAAATAAATTTTAGTGCTGAAATTTTTGATTTCCATCAATCCAATCCATTGACGAGATATTCCACTTTTATGTTTGGGTTGAAGGAGAGTATTGGAGTATAATTTGTGTGGTAGTACGATACGTGTCGTGTTAATATTGCACCACTACTCTTCTCTAACCCATACTTTAAAATGGAATATATCATCAGCAAATTGACGGAAAGAAAAATTTGAAGATTTAGGTTTATTTTAATTAATACTCCATCTATTTGGAGAATTTTCAATATAAATTACGATTTGAAAAACAAAAGTAGTTAGTGGTTTTACCCCCAAAACTAAGGGTGATAAAAAATAACAAAAATATAAAATTTTAGAGCAGCTTGTTTCTTAAATTTTCTAGAAAATGAGTGTAGGTTTGAGATGAGGCCACTAGAATGGATCATTTGGTATTCATTTGAAATAATTTTAAATTATTTATAGATGTTCAAAATTTAAAATATTTGCTATAATATTTGTAAAATGCTAATATAAAAACTATTATCAAAAACACACAAATTATTAGTATTTTTTTTTTTTATTTTTTCTTTCATAACAATAATTTGTTATAGAATTAAACAAATAAATAATTTTTTCGATCTACAGTACATACTAATCTAAAATAAGATTAAATAAAGACAAGATAATTAGTGTAAAGTTTACTTTAACATATAAATATGAATATTAATTGCTACCATTTTAAGAATTTTCTTACTCTCAATAATCTCAATACAAGAAATAATTGCACGAAAGCAATAATAATAGTTGAACAATACTCATAAAAGTATAGTTAATTTATAATAATATTATGTATATTGATACGATTGCTAATTTTATTTGTGCTTAAAAAAAAAAATCAAAAATAACTTAAAATTTTATATATTTATTCAACAAATTACACAATTACTGTGATATATAAACAAAAGTATTTGAAACTTGCTTTGGAAATTTGCATTATAAAAGAATCAACTGAAATTAACTTCCTTCATGCACCTATCATTTTACATACGTTAGTGTGCATGAATATAACAATTGGGCCCACCAAATTTTTTTTTTTACTATTTTTTGAATATCATGTATGTCATTATGTTGATTTTCACTAATACCAACTTGTTGACTGTGAACCACCAGTTTCAACTGTCACAATAGCCACAAAATGTATTAGTAAAAAATAAAAGAAAGATTTTCAATTAAACTGTTTTTTTTTCCTGTACATAGTTATCAGTGAATATAGCTAAAAGTTTGTCAGAATTGGATCATATGGAATTAGGGCTGACCGATGGAATTGTTGTGCAGGAACCCATATTGATTGATGATATGAAAGAGCCGCCAGAATTCTTCCAAGGTATATAAAATTTGCATGTCGAAAATTTGATTCAGTCATTGTGGTTATATTAAAAAAAAAAAAACAATAATATTCTAATAATATCTTATACATCTTCTTTTTCTATGTTTCATTTCTTTCCCCTTTAACCAATTCGTTGACCTTTGACATTATTAACTTGTGCTAATGCTAACTAATGCTAGAGACTGTATCACATCGTTTTGAATCCTCTCTATGTGTACTCAAATCATTTCTATATATTCTGTTTCATATTTCTACATATTTAGATTAAGTGCATTACACCACGTTCCTAATGAATTTAAACAATTATTTATTTTTTTTTTTTTAAAGACGTGTTTTTTAAAATTGATTTCGAACATATTTGGGTGGAGCGAAGCATAACCCTTTTATCAACTAGTTCATTACAATTTGTTGAATTATTTTGCAGAAATCATTATTAAAGAAGTTATGACAAAAAATTTCGGAACTTATTTTCGATTTGAAATCGCGAACCAAGCGAATAGAATTAGCCAAAGGCCTGAAGGCCTGGCCCTGAATAGAAAGCTTTTAAATTAATTCTTAGGAAACTATCATCCTTGTAGCAGTATAAGATTGAAAATACAAGATTAAATCAATTATTGCTTTAAAGTTTCTCATTTTATAATTTGGCTTATAGTGCTCACCAAACGGCTGGTTTCGCATTTTTATAGTTCTTTGTTTTTTCCCTGTAATTATCCCTACAAATTTTCATTTTAAAATATTATTTGTATAACTTTTACAGTAATGATTTTCACTAAAAATTCAGATATTATCAAATCAAACCTCAAAAAATACGTCTTTTCATATGTTAAGTACACTTATTCAATGTATATCTATCCTTTCATAATTCTATTCATAATCAGTTATACCACACAGTACATTTTCCTTAATATTATCTTACTATCTTATTAAAAATATTTAAATCGTATTTCATCAATTGTATTATTCAATGCCCGTAACACTCCAAGAGTGTCGCTTTCTCAAAGTTCATACAGCCACATATAATTCTACTATGAAAATATAATATTTTATTGTAAATTAATAGCGTTAGGTGGTAAGAAATTGGAGCAAATGGATAGCACATCTCCGCAGTCGTCCGGCTACGACATGAAACTATTTCACTTCTCATCAGTGCTCGGACAGTTCAAAGCATCGCTACTGGCTGGCGATTACGTTCCATCACCTTATCCGTACCTCCAAGACCAATTGTACAATGCCGATCAACCAGGTATTTGCCGTTACATGACCTTAACCTACCCTTGTCGTCAATTGATTTTTCGATTTTTTTTTTATATAGCGACGTTCATGCTGGATACCGGTGAAGAACTGTGGTTATGGCAAGGGTGGTGGCCCGAAACTGCGGCCGAGGACGACTCGGATTCCGACTCCGAGCCGTCGACAACAACGGCGCCGGTTACGGCAGATCATCGGGGCTCGTCTTCGACCCGCCTACAAGCCGAAAGACGGGCAGCCATGCAGACCGCGCTCGACTACTGGAAACGCAAATACGGGGACGCCGACGATGACGACCCGAAGGCATACTTGGTGTGGGCCGGACTTGAGCCTCACCAGTTCACAAACTATTTTCCGGAATGGTGTGGCCGTAACGACATAGCCGAAATTAACATTAAGGTAAGTTTTTGGATCTGTAGCGGTGAGAGGAGTTACCGACACCAAAATAAAAATATTCATTTGTCCAAAGACCTTAGGGACCTGAGGGTCCCTTAAACGTACAACAAACTTTCCCGAAGGACACAAAACGTGAAAATAGGTAGACAAGGGTCAATGGAAATTGCTTACCTATTTTTCCAAAGAGTAAAAAATACTTTGTTTGATAACCAATCGCGCAGCCCTTCCATGAAAATAAAATTCCAGAGTCGCTATTACACGTACCGTCTGTAAAACTGTGAAAACCAAGAACATTATCAACATAATGTAATGCTGCGGCCACACAGAAAGCTACTCCCAGGCATTGTCCCATATATTCATCCAGATTTCTTTTTTCATAAACAAGGATGTTTCTTTACTTCTTACTTACTACTTACTACTTCTTCAATAAATTATTCCAGCATTATTGTTATGTATAATTTCGTTAAAATAAAAAAGTTGTAAATATCTTAAGTTACGACGTGAAAGTACCCTACGACGCGAGATTAAGATATAGTATGTTACGTCTTATGCCGGCAGTACATATTTGGTGAGACACCGCAAGAGCTGCATAGCATTAGAGTGAACTAGTGTCCTCTCACCTCGATGGCGCTCGCTCCGGAGGTGTTTTTTTGTGACCCAGTCAAAGGCCACGAGACGTAAGCACGAACATTAGAAAAGGCGAGCACCTGTAAACAAAGCCATCCGAAACATAGCGTACACCATTTTGTATTTCTGTGTGGCCGTTTACGTTATTGTAATAAAAAACTATTTTTTCCTGGTAGTTAAAAAAAAAATTCAAGAAAATAAATCCATGGGGAAAATAAGCCACAGAAAAAAGACAAGTTAAAGTATTATATTTTTTTTCTTAAAATTTTAAAGACAAATTCTAACTCAGAAGATAGATGTGTGAGACTGAAAATGGTTTATAATATAGTTCTATCCAAGAACCCAAAAAAGGTTTTAAGGAAATTTCCCTCGGTAGATGCCAATAAATGTCATAAATTGAACAAAAATAACATGGTATTTTATGGATAAGTAACATATAATCTTAAAATCAATTGATTTATGTCTTATACGTGTATAATAATACTAATCAATATTGAAAAACTGTTCTGTACGGCATCTGTAAATAATAATAATACTTTCATTACTATAAAAGTATAAAATGCTATTGCTATTATAAAATTAATAATATAATTAACAGTACTTAATATAACTAATTATAATATAATAAATAAATTTACTTTTTTTTCCTGCTTATAGCGATCATCATAACATGCATTGCTTTCTGTGTGGCCACAAAACACTCATCTCGGATAATATTGACTTTTTCGAAAATGTTAATTACTATTTTTTTTTATCACTCCTCTTTTAGAGAGTAAAACTACTACATACTATTGATTTTCAAATGACAACCTAAATTAAAAATTACACAAATTGATGGAATATTAGTTTAAATAATTCTTGATGTAGATATTTCAAATTTCCGTCAACCCATTGATGAGATATTCCACTTTTAAATTTCGCGGAGGGAAAAGTGGTAAGTACCTCATTTGTGTGGTGACACGGTGCACAGCGTTTTAATACTTTTGTATCACACCTAAACAAATTTCAATTTTTTTAACAATTTAAGAAATGCAGTGTTTGAAAATTGTAAAATAACCAAAAAATATACCTACATACCTATAAAAATGAATTTAATTTAATTAGGTTCTACAGGTCTAAAATGGCATTATACTCCTTGAAGTTGCATTTGTGATATCATTGCCACTCCCCAATTTAGATGAACAATAATCACAATGACACTTATGAACAAATAATAAAAAACACCAAAATAAATATTTGGTGCGCACTTTGCAAATATTCCTATTTTTTTCCCAGTGAAAATAAAACTAAAGCGCTAGAACTTGAAAATACTGTGGTTTGCCAGACAATTTTTTATTAATTGGGTATTTGTTACCATGACTGTGATTAGATTAGATACTTGAGTCATATTTCTTGGTCAAAGCAATCAGCAAAAGATCTTTTAACATAATTATCTACCACAGATATGGTACAAGCCGATTTATAACACGTCTTTTAATTTTTATCAATTTTGTTTTATAATCTGTTCCTTTGTGTATTTATGTTTTATTTTGACATCAAAAGAATATTATCTACATAAATGTTATACTCCAAAAACATATAAAACCATTTTTTAGTTTTTTATTTTGATGTTTGTAGCACGGCCACAAGCCTGGCGAAATGTTGAATGTTGAAATAGAGTTGGCGCGAGTCACTCAAGAATCCTATCCAGCTGACCAACTACTTCAGAGACCTCTGCCTGACGGTGTAGATCCCACCAGACTAGAACTGTACTTGTCACCCGCCTCATTTGAAGTAAGTACCTTAATACAATAATTCAGTATCTGAAATAATAACCATGATTAAAGATTTATATATAACAAAAGATATAATAACAGAAATGTAGGTGACCTGATATTCAAATTAAAAATGTTGAACCGATGATTATTCAATTCCTCACTCACTCATTTACCTTCCATATTTTACTTGAAAATTACTATTTTATTCTAAATTGTTGCTGTTGTAAACTGAGCTCAAATTACAGATACCTACAAATTATTACCTATTGATTCATTGTTATAATGGCCTTACGAAGATTATTTTATGTGTTGGCAAAACATTAATCCATTTCTCTAGTAAAATAATACATAAAGACCATATTTAGTAATCTTAAATGAATGTATTTTATTAACTTTTCAATATAAAGTAAAGCATTATTTTATTACGCCCGAAGTATGTCAAATATCAGAAGTGAGAGCGCATATATTATTGGTTGGACAAGTATTTAGCGAAATTGTATTTTAGATGATTAGCTATCAGAAATTTTGACAGAACAGTATGCAGTATGCTTGATAACAATTATATCAAATTTAACATATATTCTTTTATAGTATCTATAATCCATAGAGTAATGAAAGGCTGTAATGAAATAAAATTAAAACGCAAAAGGGTGATATTTAACAGAGTGACCACCAATAAAACTCCAAATTTTGTTGTTGGTTCCATATATTATATTGTATTATGATTGTACAAATTTAGTAAAATAATAGGTATCTATTATTTTTTTTTTTTTTTTTTTTTGATTTTATGAAGAACCTATTAGTTCTAGACGTATTGTATTTCCAATCTACCAATTGGTTTAGTGAAGCGATACAAATTCTTAAAATAGATTTAAATTTATCGTCAAGATCTTATACTATTAAAAGTACATATTTTTGATTTGGAAAAAAGAAAAAGGATCATCATACAATAACAACATAACAGAAAAAGACAAATTACACATTATAATACCTGTTAGATAGACTGTGAAGTACTGGTTGAAACATCCATTGTTTTTTTTCTTTTTTCTGATGTACAGTTGTAATGTTTTAAAGTTTCAGGATACATTTTTTTTGCCTAAAATAATTTACATTTTATTACAATACAAACATATTATAATAAGTTACATAGTATAATAATGTACTTTTTCAATACTATAAAAGTACACTTACACATTTTATGCGACCAACAACAATAAATGGTAATGCACGACTGCAATAATAAGTGTCTCCACAAGAGGGTGGGTTGTTGGACTTGGAGTACAGGGGCCTGTGGGCCTATTGAAATGAATTTGTAATTTTTGAAATTTCAATAGGAATACTTATTTTTATATTTTATTCATTTTGATACTTTTAAGATGCATGTTAACCATTGATTACCTAGAAATTATCATATTTGGGTCTTCCGTGTCGTTTGTAATGGATTATATTATTGTAAGATGTAACAATTTTTGATAAGAATGCTTAGATATTTATTCCATTAAGCTAGATTTAATCAGTATTGTGCATACACCGCATTATTTATTCATAACAGGCAACCAGTTTTACAATTTTTGTATACTGTATTTTTATCATTAAATATACACCATTTGCATTCAATTTGTGAACATTAGCGAGATACAGAACGGCCCCTCTATATTACTCTATTGTATAATCATTGCAAATTACTGTAATATATTTATCTGCCAAAATACAATGTCTGCTTGAAAACTAAAATTTTATTAAAAATGATGACAAGATTGTAGTTTTATTTAGTTTGTATCATAAGTTCAGACAAATTATAAAACAACTGTTTTTAATAATTATCTAAAATTTTCATCCAACACAAATAATATGGCTTTAAAAATAATTATAATAATTGTAACTAAAAAGGTATTAAGAGATTGAATCTACCACTTTTATAGTGAATAAGAGGAATTTTAAATTGTAAGACTTTATAATAGTGAATTTATTATTTATGTATAGTTATTATACTTTGTTTTTTTTTTTTTTTTTTTTTTTTTTTTTTGCATAGGGCTTATTGGATATGAGCAAAAATGAATTCCTACAACTGCCCAAATGGAAGCGTACAAAAATTAAACAGTCCGTTGGCCTATTCTAAAATATTCATTATTATTTATATTATATAATAAACTGACTATTTTTTAATATGGCGTTATCGTTATTTTAATTATATAATATAATCATCAATTATATTTTTGTGTGAATTAAAAAAAAATGTATTGTGTGCATATCTTGTATTTTTTTACTATACATTTTGTATTATAATTACTATTAATTTGTATACATTTTAAAGATACAATATATTTTTTTTACATATACATATTATATAATGAGATGGTGTAACAAGTTACTAAAATAACATTATTTATATAGATATAATATTTTTCCTCAGTGTTTGGTTTGCTGACATTTTTTTAATAACTTGTAACACTTTTTGTATAACATATTTTTAAAAACTTGAGTTTTGTGATTTTTTTTACTATACATTATGCTCTGTTTTTTTATGTATAAATTTGTTTTTTTTTTTTTTAGGCTGTGATTCTTTTTGATAACACTAATATTCATTCATTTTTAAGGTTTCAATATATTTTCATATTTTTTCTATTAATTTGTAAATCTTAAACAACAAACTCAACTGAATTTCTTATGTACATTAAATTATTTTAATGTATTCTTGATGTTCAAAATTTGACCTATTGATCAGTTTGTTTCTGAATTCTCATGTTCCTAATTCTTAAATAAATCAGTCCTAGTTCCTTCCATACTCTATATTATCTATACAAAAATAATATTTTGATTATTAAGTTATTTATTGCTCTCTTCAATCAATTGGTAACAATTTACTTAATGTACTTAATGTATTTTATTGAACTATTATTATTATTGCAATGTTTTATTTTTTTCTACAAAACTTTTGTTAATGTATTACAAGCACATTCAAGTCTTGTCCTTTTATACAATTTAATCATTTAACAAATTTTTCGTCTGACTACATCTGTTTGAATTATTTCTATAACTCAAATAATTTGTTCATCATTAACAAATGAGCACTGAATAAATTTTTAAATAAACAAAAATAATCAGAAAACATATTTGTTTTTTTATTTTACTTATACAAAATAAATCGTTGTTAAGTAAAACCAAACGCTCAAATTTACTAATTACATATTTAACCTATGTAAACATATAAATACACATTTTTTCAAGGAACTTAATTTTTATTTTACGAATAGGTACCTACCATTAGTGTTGGCAGTATGTATTTGTAAAATACAATAGTGGAGTACAAAATTATTTTTACAAATACAGTTTGGTATATGATAGTTTTACAAGAAAAAAAACAAGGAAAATAATAAAAAGCAATGTTTTGAGCTGTTAAGAAAAAAAATGAAATTTTAACATCAATATATTTTAGATTTTTTTTTTTTTGAAGTAATATAATTTATAATAAGTGTTTTAAGGATAAACGACTAGAATTAAAACAAAACACCTTCAACCACCGAATATAGCCTCTTTTATAGAGTCTACATACTGTGCTGGTACCCAATATACCCAGTAACGAGATGCTTCCGTTGTGCCTAACTGGAAACCCTATAAAAAAAATAAAATAAAAAAATATTAGAATATTTTGAGCTAAACTAAAAATATTAAAAAACATCTTTTTATTAGACTATTTCACTAGTTTTTTCTAAAAAAGTTTTAATAGTTAATTATAATTTCCAAACACAATGGTTTGTTTAAATGTAAAATGCCTTAGTACTTACAAAATTCAGATCATGGAAAGGCCACTAGAATAGGTGGGAAGTTTGAAAAGTATATCATATATAGGATAATTTAATTTATAAACTAAAAGCAACGATTCTGAGCAAAGCAATATTAGTTGTGTTTTTTCATGCATTTATTTATTTATCAAACTTAAGTTTATAAATTATAAATTGTATAATAATAATTATATATTGCCCTTGATTTCATCTACTATTATAATAATTAATAATACTTAATAGTCTTAAAAGGATGTACAATTTGCCAATGCACTCTAAATCTTTTTAACTCAAAAAAAATGTAGTTTTTTTTCTAAATAATTCAGAAATTAGTCATTTTAGAACAGTTTTTGACATATCAAATAATAATTTACTAGAATATAAAATATTTATATTGTTATTATTTTTATTACCAGTATATGATACTCAGCGTGGCCTTCAATTGGTTCACTTAACACGTGTCTAATGGTACTCATTGCTATTTTCTGCGTTCTTTCTTTGGTGCCTATCCAAAGTTGATCCATTTCTAATTTAAATGTCAGTCTTACTTTTCCCCCGTATTTATTGAGCATTCCACTTAACGGGTATGGTGGTAATGGATCCTGCAATACAAAATAATAATATTATTATAAGACAAAAATGCATGCAGAATATATTAGTATATTATGCATATATACTTTATTAGAATATAGAATGCCATATAAATTTGATAGATGGTACAATTTTCTACAAAATAGGTAAGAATATTTTACAATAAAAATTGATATAAAATATCAAACTTTTTAAAACTATAAAAATAAAAAAGAGCTGATACTGTTAATGAGTGTACCACTGTTGTATGTGAAAAGTTAAGAAGGTATAATATATAAAGTTAGTTAATTTATATCCTTAAACGATTAACTGTTTCTAACAAAAAACAATCTTGAGTGGATTTTGTTTATAAATGATTTGAAAGGCCAGAGTATTTACGATTTTTATCAAAATTTGATCTTAAAACCATTAAAGAAAAATTACTACACAACAATAATTTTTTTTACAACTTGTGATGAACATCCTATTAAATTTTTAAGCATTTATGTTTGGTCTAACAATTATATTCACTTAGTACCTACTAAATAAACTCTCAAATCATAATCATATATAGATAGCTCAAAAATTTCAAAAATGATTTAAAATTTTTACCAAATCTAGAAAAGGCAAATATACATTTTGCATCAAAATTTAAAATTTCTAAAAATATTTTGAAATGAAATACAATCAAAAAACAAAATTGAAAATAATAAAATTGGTAACACCATAAATATTCATTATTCTATTTTTTTGGTTTCCCCAATTTTGAAAACACCTCGAAAATTAAAAGATAACCTCTCTAATGCACCAACTAAAAATCAACAAAAAGTTTTCTAGCTATTTTTCGAGTGAAACAAGTTTTCTAGTCAAAAAGTGGTTTACAGACAGAAAAAAAAAACCTAGTCAAATTAATAGATCCCATACTATATTCCAAATCTAACAGTTTAAAAATAAAACATGTCATACTTGTAAAAAAAATAATTTCTAAGTTATAATAATACTATATTGTTTGACATAAACAATTCATTTTTCAAAAAATTTAAATAATATATTGTTAACTGGATAACCTTATCATTAAAACATATTATATTATTAACTTAACAAACCTTAATATTTAAAATTCCAATCATTGCATCTTCCGGTACACCTCGCTCCAACACTTTCATATGCAATTTCTTCTTGCATAACGGCTCTTTAGCGGAACCTGATTTGCTTGAGCTTGAATCCTAAAGATAAAATTGAAATACCATTAGACATTTTAATAATGATGATAGTTAAAATTAATTATTTCTCAAACCTCGTCAACATTTGCTATAGATGCAGCTACTATGTCTTGTAACTTGGCACCTACCACCATGATCTTGGATGAGGAATTTACGTTCAACGATTCTAGTGTTTGGTCGTCTTTCGCTAGACCCTTGATCATGATTTTTTGCATCTGGCTGGACACGCCAATCATATCAACCAGTTTATTTTTGAGTTGCCCGATCGTAGATGATAGCGGCATTGATACTGTATATTTATCTTTATTGTGTATTATGGTAAATTCAACAGACGAAAAATCGTTGACAGCATCGCCATCTTCATCCTTGATTGGAACCTCAGCTTCTTTTATATCACAGTCGGCCACGTTTAATTCAGAAGCTGCCTCTTCTATTTCACAGTCTGCCTCTTTCTTTTCACAAACGGCAGATTCTTTTATTTCACCATCATTTATAACTTCTTTTTTTGTTTCGTCATCGACTTCTTTACTGTGACCGTTTATTTTCTCTAAAATATATCAAATAAATACGCAAATATAAAATTTTGTTAACTGCTTTAAATGAACAGTAAAGTTATTAATCTCTTTGCTTTATAGTTTAATATAATATATTCATGTAACTTACCGGGTGACTCCATAATTATTGGTTTATTTATCTACGAATATTAGAGAAAAATAAAACAATGTAAACCGTTATTGAACCGCACAGTAAAATCCCTTCATGAATCGTTTGTCAGTCAATCGGTTTTGCAGGGTCCTAGCGATATTTTCTTAGCAATCAATGAAAAATGAATTATTTCCGTTCTATGTTCTCTTCAATAAATGCAATGAAAAGACAAAACGATAAAATAATTACGCTCCAGTGGAAACTGATAAAGATCAACATCTACTTTGTCATGAACCATGATGAGCATGATTATACAAAATACTGTTTATTTATACGAACGAACCGAACATTATTTTTTGATTCTCTGTTATCTTTGTTTATAATTATCAACATCGCATCCAGTGCGGCCGTTTGAAGAGAATGTTTTTGAAAAAGTATAAATTGCGTACTTTCCTAAATTTCTTATTTAAACAAAGGAAACCAATACGATTTGAATTTGAATTAAAGGAAAAACACTTGTCAGTGCCGACGCGTGTGGTATTGCGAGATTTTGGATAAAATACTCTTGCGTGCCCAGTGGGGGCATACGTCACCCGGATTTTCGGAAATCAGTAAATACCTATTAAATATTTAAAGGCTGAAAGTGATCATATGAAAAGAACGTTACCATTATAAACCTGTTATTCCCTATACAAATTCTACGAAGTGCTTATGCCTAAATGTCTTGTACCTTGTTTTTATAATACAATGAAAGAAAGGAACATACCATGCGACAGTTCATCGCCCGATCGCTGACACTTCATCGTATATCACTTTGTCGACTAAAAATTGCATTGTACAATACTACAGCGGCCATTTTATTCGCGAGACAATTCATCGTGTAATTATTTCATCGCATGAAATATTATCAATTTGGAGAGATACTATTTATTCAGAATGAACACATAAGGTACTAAGTACTAAGTACCCATGTATTTATTTTTATTACCAATTTATAAAATGTATAATTTTATCTCTCGCGAGTATACTGCAATATGTGAAACTGTTACAACATTATAGTGCAATTTACAATAGTACTCAAGAATTCTAAAAAAATGTAATAAAATGATGGTCATACGCAGGTGCACCCACTGTTGTAGATGGGAAATTGGGTAGGTAAGATACAGAAAATAATTTAATGTATATCTGTAAGCAACGATTACCCATTGCTAACAAAAACGATTTTAAGGGGAGTTCAGTTGATAATGATGCTTTGTCAACAATATACGTTATATGGTAAAATAATTAAATAGACATTATATATTTTCTTTAATAATATTTAATAAAGGGCCGTTTTAATTGGTTGATTCTGAAAAAAAAAAACGTTTTTAATAATTTTCGGGTGACCTTCTTTTCAAATCAATTTTAATACCTGTGGAAATATTACAAAATTAAAAATTAACGTCCAATCTAAATCATCAAAACATCAATTATACCATACAAATATCTTCGAATTTCTCAAACAGATTTGATATTGTTATTTTAAATTACCTAATTAATACTCTGGTCATTGACAATCTTTAATTTTTGTGGTCATTGGAATGTATCCAAGATCAGGGTATGCTCTTTCTATGTCCCTCATAAACCTACAAAATTGCATTTGTATGCCATCTTCACGGTTCAAGAAATTGGTGTGGTACATCCATTCACCAATATAAGATGTGCATTGTGGACACTCTAGGGCAATTACACTTGGTTAAAAAATGTTTGAGTTCACGTCATGAACGCTCAATGTGTTGGGTGCGGTATCAAACGAGTTCCATGTTGGCTGGTCGTGCATCTTCCTACTGTTTGTCTAAGCATTGGGGACTGAATCTACCTTTTAGTATCCAAATGGGAGGCAAATTTGTTTAAGCGGTTCTACAAAGTTAACCAAATGATTAACCACACCATGTCCACTAAATACATATAATAACATTGTTTATTTCAAAAATATATACATTTAATTAGTGGCTTATTTAATTACCTAAATATTGTATGCCCTTCACATATCACTATAAATAAACTTTCGTGATCAATACATTATTGGGCAATTGTCCTCTTATCCATCGGGAAAATTTTCATCAAATACATTCTTTGTAGTAAGACTTGATTCCACCTAAAATATAGGATTATGATATTTATATACATACCTGTATATATGTATAATTATATTTTAAATTATATTACAATAAAACAACACAAATCATATCAAACTCCATGTCATTTGTCGGCCAACATTGTATTTTGCTGAAAAAAATGGGTTTCATTGATTTCGACCACATTATTTATCACCATCATCATTATCTATTTGCTCGTAATAGTGATATGCTATTTTCAAAGCAATATCTCAAAAGTATTTCTTATAGACTACTACCATTTCTGTAGACACTTATACCTAATATTAACATTTTTTATGAAATATAGGTAGGCTAGGTAAACTACAACATAAAGATATAATAAGATATAGATATTAAAATAATAAAGGTTTATGTGAATTTGAAAGTTACCCGGTTTACTTTTCAGATGATTTGGAGTGAATTTTGAGTATAATAATGGTGTTTGACATGTCGTATATCTTTCGATGGTACACCTCTACCTATTTTTGGGAACTCAAACGACCATAAATTAATCGGTTACAGATCAGACTCGGGGTAAGGCTACGTATTGTGGCTACTCAAAACTAAACGATATTTCGCACTAGCTATTCAAAACCTCTCGAAAACAATACAAAACAAAACGTATACACTATACACGCATATGTGTTTCAAAATCCGCATTGCCCCGTTACCGCGGTGCTCGCGTTCTTAAATATCATTTACAATGTGCTACCTCAGCTCATTAGCTTCATTGGCCTGGACAACGGACAATATGCTTTGCAAAACCAATACGACTTTGGTCTTTTGTTTTTTAATTCGGTACATTTAATGTCGTATTTATACACGTTTTATTGTTATAATGTTATAATTGAGTAATTAACAATTATTTACATGTAGGCTAAAATGATAATATTGCAGTAAGTACAATCACTTGGACACAACTTACAGATCGGATTGGACAACAACACGACCTAGGTGTATTTAATATATTGACGACCTAGGTCATGTATTTGATATATTATACACGTCTGTATGCAATATACACAGCGTTATTTTTAAATATATTATCCCAAGAATTGGAATATTCGATTATCATTATAATTTAAATTTAGAATGTTATAACTTATGAGTAGAACGAATTGTTGTAAACTGTTTCATTGCTATAATAATTATTATTTTTTATTTGTTTTTATTTGAAAATATGAATATAATATAAAAAAACCAGAACTTATTAATACTTCATTTTGACTTAATTATCATAAGTTTAACACAGATGTTGTGCTAAATATAGCAATAACCATGATTCATAAAGACTAAATAGTATAATTTAATTTAATTAATACATATTTCTAGTATAATAAAAATATGTATGAATTATACACAAATATATGCACATGTATAAATGCGTAATTTTACGAGCTATACAATTTATAATGGGCCATGATTCGAAATAATGCAAATAATTTACAAAAAAACATTAATAATTGCTATACTACGCGGGTTTAAGTAGCGTACGCAGCGCAGCCTGTAGCCGTTTAATCATGCGACTCATTTCGGGACATTATCAGAAGCGGAGTTTGGTCTCCTTGTTCTTCATGATAAGTACGATAACAATAACATTGATTAAGATATATTATCAGCTATGTAGTTATTAATTTTGATAAAGACATGAGGTAAAATCACGGTTTATGGGTAATAAGCAAACTCAAATTAATTTTCTATTTGTACAATCACGATTATTTTATCCAAATTAATTCAAAACTTTAAATAAAATTATGTCTCGTCCTGAACATTTAGCTCCACCGGAAATTGTAAGTACTCAATTATCAGCTTTATCGAAGAATGTCTAGCAAGAAAAGACTTAATAAAAAATAAAATGTTCTTCATTTGTCGTATAATAACATTTTTGTGATTACTTTTTTTTTTTTATGTATAATATAGTTTTATAATGATACTGAAGCCCGGAAGTACACCCAAAAGTATGTATTGTCTATAATACTCAGTTTGTTAATTCTACAAAAAAAAAATTGTCTACAATAGAATGTCACTATTATTTAATATTTTAGTTCTCGAATGATCAACATTCAGTTAGAAATGGCTGAAAGATGTTTGGAATTGTTGATGTTGCCAGAAAATGAAACATGTTTACTATTGGATTTAGGTTGTGGTTCTGGTCTAAGTGGCAGTGTTGCTGAAGAATCTGGCCACATATGGTTTGGAATGGATATTTCAGAATCAATGTTGAGTATGTAATTTAGTCAGTTTTTTTTTTAACAGTTATATAATTAGTTATCTTTAAAATATAGGTATGTATGTAATGGGGTAAAATATTTTTATAACTATAGATATAGTCATTAGTACAATTTTTACGTTTTGTTATAAAAAGAGCTATATTGGTCAATCTAAGTATAACAATGATATTACAATAAGAATCCAAAATTGAAACATTCTCTATGATGTAATTATAATTTTGTTTTAAATATTTAAATGTTAAAATATATTGGATATTATTTATAATTAAAGAATTTATATAGTTTTTTTACCAACATTAAAAAATTATCTCAAATTTAAACTTTAAAAATGACTATTATTTATATAAATGACTTCTATTATCACAAATATTTAATATTGCACATTGAAAAAGACCCAGCCCTTATAAATAAAATAATTTATTTATATACTAGTCAGAATAACACATTAGTCCAATATTTAATTTAGTCTTGATAAATAAATAATTTAATTCTAATAACATATACATATTTGCCTGGTTTTATGTATGACGAAAATAATAATTAATTGATTTTAAAATCCTCAAAATAGATAAATGTTTGATAATGAATTTATTTATTTTCATTAGCAATAGCCAAAGAAAGAGAGGTTGAAGGTGATTTGTTATTGAGTGATATTGGTAATGGTGTTCCATTTCAACCTGGTGCTTTTGATGGTGCCTATAGTGTTAGCACATTACAGTGGTTATGTAATGCAGATAAATCATCACATAAACCTGCAAAAAGATTATACTGTTTATTTTCATCACTGTTAGCTTGTTTGGTAATTAATACATTAGTGTATACGTAAAATATAAAATGAAAGTACTTATTTGAATTTGAATTTTTTTAGACACGAAATGCGAGAGCAGTATTTCAATTTTATCCAGAAAATGTACATCAAACTGATTTGGTTGTAACACAAGCGAGAAAAGCTGGATTTTTTGGAGGGTTACTGGTCGATTTTCCAGACAGCACTAAAGCAAAAAAATATTTTCTAGTTTTGATGACTGGTGGTGCTATGCCTATGCCTACAGCACTGGGTACAGATAACTCGCAAATAAACTATACATCAAAAAGGTAATATTATGTTAAATAAAAGAGTAACATATATTATATTTTATTATTTCAAACAGAGAAAGAATGATAAAAGGACATTCATCAAAACTTGTAAAAAAAAGTAAGGAATGGATTTTAGAAAAGAAAGAAAGAAGAAGGCGTCAAGGGAAAACCACTCGGGAGGATACCAAATATACAGGACGATCAAGAAGTGGACGGTTTTGATTTGAATTATTATTAACAATTATATTTATTGAAGAAATTGTACTGCTTTTTTTATTTTGTAATAATATATTTTATCACTACCTGTATAGTTTATAAATTACATATTAAGCAATTTCAGTTTTTTAATATTCCTCAAGAGTTGTGATCTACCTCAAAGTGGGTTTATTTTTTAATTTTTTATGGGGAGCACCAATTTTTTGAATTTCAACATATGATATAGGTAATGATATTGAAAATTCCTATCGTTTTAAAAATTTAAAAGTTAATTAATTATAAAAAAATAGTATTTTACATCCAATCATCTCGTGTCTAAACTGTTAAACTAATCAAATTAAAATATTTGGTTTTACCCAATTGTCACAAAAATTACTTTGGATATCGAAAAATGACTTACTCTTTCGATTTATTTATTTATTTATCGTATGACATATTTTGACACATAATATACATAAAAAGTTGTAACATGGAATAAAAAACAAAAAATAAAAATAAAAATAATAGAATAAAATAAAATAACCCATATAAAAATGATAATAATATAACAATATCTATTGTGTAGTTCAATATTTTCTCTACAGTATAATGTCCAAGCTATCCAATCAAGAGCTTCACTTGTTAATCTAAAGAAATCACTCATTTTACCTTCGAATTTTCTTTTAGGACAGCCTGACACAATGTGTTATATTGTCTGAGCCGCATTTCCACANTAAAAAATAGTCCATATAAAAATGATAATAATATAACAATATCTATTGTGTAGTTCAATATTTTCTCTACAGTCTGATGTCCAAGGTAGCTATCCAATCAAGAGCTTCACTTGTTAATCTAAAGAAATCACTCATTTTACCTTCGAATTTTCTTTTAGGACAGCCTGACATAATGTGTTGTATTGTCTGAGCCGCATTTCCACAATCATAAGCAGGATTATCTCGAAGCTTCCACTGGTGCATAGAATAACCACACCTTCCATGACCGGTTTTGATACGGTTTAAAGATACCCATTCTTGACGGGGTAGTTTGAAACCCTCCAGAGGTTGTGTAGGGTCAACGTCTAAGTCAACATTCTCGAGTGTAAGATTATTCCATGCAGTACGCTATTCCGTGGTTGAATTAAAGTTGGTCAGAATAAGGTGTTGAGCAGTGATCCAAGGGGGTTTTCTAGATNCCACTAATAACTCGCATGACACTATTTAATTGCACATCGATCTTTTTGACGTGTTTGCTATTAAGCCAAGCACCTGAACAGTATTCAGCCGTAGAATACACTAGTGCTAGGGATGAAATTCTCAATGTATGTGCATCTGACCTCCATCCTGTCCCAGCTAATTTATGTAAAAGATTTATCCTTGATCTCACCTTATTCTGTAAATTTTCTAAATGCTTCTTAAAAGTTAGAGAGCGATCCAAGGTCACTCCTAGGTACTTAGGAGAGAGGTTGTGTTTTATTATCGTGTTGTTAAGCTGTACCTGAAGCTCACGATCCGCTTGTCTGTTATAGAGATGGAAAGCACATACTTTTGTCTTGGACGGGTTGGGATTTAATCTCCANGCACTCATGTCCTTGCACTGGGGAGGATGGTGGTAGCCTGCACGTGGCCCTCCCTGCATGCGCTTGTAGATTTCCTGAAGACCCTTGTGTACGAAGACAGACTACGAGCGTATCTAATACCACCACCAAGGCGCTGATACCCAGCAACAGACACAGTAATATGCAGCCTTTAAACGGCCCTTTTCAGGGCCATTCAACTCTTTCGATAGCAAAATATTAATAGGAACAAAAATTTTAATCATCTTAAAATACACATCTCAATCTTTATATTTGTGATTGTAAACGGATTGCCTTGAAGTTCTTTCTATTTCTAAACGTGTCTCATAGTCGACCACTTTATTCGGATTCCTTTCGGTACGAGGTGACATACATTTTTTTAATTGCATTCAAATGACTTCATAGTAGAGGTGGGTAGTGAGTGAGTCAGTTGATTCAAAGAGTTGACTTTTCTAGGTGAACAAAATGAATTGATTCTGTGAGGTATAGTTCAGTAACTCGATGATTCAGTGCTACCACTGGTTCATTAGAGTTCACAAATCACAGATGTGTGTTATCAGTTCCTGAATTATTTGTGATTTAAAGATTTACAATTAATTGGTTTTAACTGATGAGTACCTATTGGTTAATTTACTCATTTGTTTATACTAATAGACGAATTATTCGACGAATAAATGTGATTGAAAACCGCGCCTTAATGAACTCAGAACTTGGGAGTTGACCCACCGAGTCAATTCTTTTAGAGTGAACTGAGTCAAGTGAACTGATTTATGGCATTGAGTATAAAATCCCATCACTACTTCATATAGTGCAAATCCGTCCATTTATTGCCTATTTATCGCCTTTGTAGCGATTTTTACGCAGGTTGGGAACCACTGCCCACTGGGCTCTTATTATCAAATATTGCTAACGTATGTAAATTATCTCTTAACCAAAAAGTTATCAGATTTTCATATTATTCGGCCGGTATTTGTTGGTAATGATTAAAGATAGTTTATATTTAATCGTGGTTATGGGTATCTATAACTTATAGTTTTCTGAATCTAAAAAAGACTGAAATTGATTTTGAGAGATCCGTAGTTTTGCTATGGTTTAAACGATACACGCGTTGTAAATTGCTAAAAATGGCCCTTCACGTGATTAGATTAGGATTACGGAGAATTTGTTCGTCAGGGTCACCAATTCAACTGCGTACACAGGCTCTATGCTTTTTAGAACTTCGACTAACAGTGGCAAATGTCTCGAACAATTTTCAAAATGTGAGTACAATGTAGACAAAATATAATAATCCTTTGGAATTAAATTAAAGAATATGTTTAGGTTTTTTTTGAATATACGTAGATATCCAACTGTATGAAATACAAAATTATAATTTACCTATTCTATAAGTAAAATAGTTTACATTTTTAAAAATTTATTTTGTGTACCTAAGTACCTAGAACATTATCATTTTAATTAAATTTATTATTCATTTTTAAATTTAATATGTATATTTTATTTTTTAGGGACGTTGCTTAAGCACTACAAATGATAATGTTGATAAAGTTATTGATCTTAGTTATTCAGACATTGAGCCAGTATACATTCCAATTAAGAAGAAATCATGTGATGTACAAGATGAATATGATGAAAAACGTTTGGTCGATTCGGTTTGTCATCCATAATTTCCTTGGACATTACTTTAGGCACAAAATACCACCTATTTTATTAATTATAACTGTAGATATTTGTTAATATTTAGGATGTCGTAATAAAATGTAAGCAAAAAAAATTAAATCACGAAAGAAATAAAAAATATGATCAGTTTAAAGAAATTCCCTTGGCATCAAAAGGATGGAAGAATAAAAAGGCCAAAGGTGATTATTTTACAATTCATATTTATAATGATGTAAGTTTGGTTTTTATTTAATTTATATTACATAAATATAATATAAATACATTGCATTTTTTATTTAAGTATTAAATTTTACCAAAATTAGGATTATTTACCTCAGAGCAGAAAGCCACAACACATGTTTGAAAATACTGGTCTATCAAAATCTATTCTAAATATTTTAAAAAATCGTAAAATCACTGTTCCTTCTCAAATACAGGTGAAAATTCCTAAAAACTTTTCCCAACGTTTATTTGATATTCAGCTACATTTTTTTTTTTCAATTTTAGGCTCTTGGAATCCCTGCAATACTTGAAGGAAAGAACACTTTGCTTGCTGCTGAAACAGGTTGTGGTAAAACATTAGCTTACTTGACGCCAATAATTCAACAAATATTAGCACATAAAGAAAAAGTAAAACTTAATAATCAATTTAATTCTCCTTTGGCTTTGGTTATTGTACCCGGCAGAGAATTGGCTGATCAAATTGGAGTAGGTTGTAAATTGTTGTAAATTGAATTAATAATTATAAAATCGTTTCCATAAATAAAATGTACAAACTTCCAAAAATGTAAAATTTATAATTTTAAATTATTTTTATTAGGAGGTTGTTCAATGGTTTACTGAAGATTTACCATTGAATGTAAAAGTAATTACTGGAGGGCATACTAAAAGGCTGATGACAAATCCGGTTTTTGAGGAAAATGATATAGTTGTTGCAACAATCGGAGCAATGAGCAAATTAACAAATACTGGTATATAAAGTTTATAAAATAATAATGTATTATATTTTTATGTGAACTCAACCAAACTATGTTTTTAACTGGTTTAGTTATTTTATATTAGATAACAATGTATAAAATAGTACTGTATTTTAGGCATTTATTCAATGCGGTATGTACGTCATGTTGTACTAGATGAAGCTGACACTTTAATGGATGATAGTTTTAACGAACTCATGACCCATTTCTTAAAAAGATTCCATGTACGTTTTATATTCCTAAATAGTCCAACATCTTTTGTTTGATATTATTTTCTGCAGTGGTAATAAATGATTAAAACAATCCGTTCATGGACATTTTGATTAATTATACAGCACAATTTGTATTTATATTTATATGTGTATAGATTCATAGAGCATTAATTTGCACATTTGTGATTACAGTTTAAGAGCTGTTCTGTAAGGCAATCTTCAAACCTAACACAGTTGCTGTTGGTTAGTGCCACAATGCCAACTAGTTTGTCTGAAATATTGGCTGATATAATTGATGTATAAATATTAAATGTGTAAAAGAAATTAAATATGTCATTAATTTAACAATAATTTTCAGATTGACAGTATACATAGAATAACAACTGACAAATTACACACCATACTACCTCATGTTCAACAAAAGTTCATTAAAACAAATTTAGGTGAAAAACCATCAAATTTATTATTGCTTGCAAAGAAACTTTCTAAAAGCAAGACTCCAACAATAATATTTTGGTATTTATATGAAAATTAATTATTATTATTTACTAATTATTATATTACTGCAAATAAAACCATCTTAATAATTTTAATTTTTAAATACTAACAAGATATGCTGATGAAAATATTTGTTCAGTATTTTTAATAAAATAAATATTGATTATCTACTTAAGAGTAGAAGTTGATGTGTGGTATATTTTTTGTAATTTTGGTACATTATTGTTGATATTAATAATTTCTTTCCATTGGTGTGTTACGCTAGCGTTAATGTTTGCGTAAATACCAAAAAAAATTGTAATTATATACTGACAGTTGATCACAATAGGAATATAATGTGTTCAAACTTTCGTTAAGAAAACTAAAACTTACATATAATTAATAAATAAACAATGCTCTATTAAAAAATTATCATACATTTATATTATTTGTGTTTTTAAATTGAATAGTAACAAATCAAGTACTTGTGATTGGGCGACTATGTTCCTTAATGAAAATGGTATTGAAGCAGAAAATTTACATGGTGATATGCCATATGAAATTAGGGTTGGAAAATTCAAAAAGTATCAAAACGGCATAGTTGATATTATGGTTAGCACTGATGTTGGATCCAGAGGGTTAAATACTATTAGAGTAAGTGATAAATACTAATTATTTAATAAACGTATTTCTAGGGCTGAATAAATTATGCACTTAAAACCTTTAATGCATTAATAGATGGTCAACAATGCTACAAATAAATGCATTTATTATTGAAAATCTGAATTAAATATACAATTTTGTTCATGATAAGCTATATGAAGAGTACTATGAAAAACAAATGCAAATACTACAAATTCCTAGCCAACTTATTACACTTGTATGGCTATTTTATTATAATTTTGTTTTCAGACTAAACATATTATAAACTATGATTTCCCATACTATATTGCTGACTACATTCATCGATGTGGTCGTACTGGACGTTTAAATGCTGGTACAGATGGTAAAGTCTCAAATTATATCTGTACAGATAATGAAGTTAATTTAGTCCAAAAAATTGAAGTAATTATAACAAAAACAAATTATTATTAAAACAAAATTACAAGCTATTTATCATTTAAATGATTATGTTTTATAATCTTGAAAGTACAGGTTTTGTCACCAGATTTTTTTTTGTGCATTATTTTTTCATAACATTAATAAATTACATTGGAATAATCAGGTGCAATTTACCTTAGTAAATTCTACTAAAATTAATTTTTCATTATCAATAATAATTTAATTAATTCAATAAAAAAAAAAATTCATGAGTATTGTTAAACAAAGTTTTTTAAGGAAATATTTTTGTTTATGTTGAATAGTTAGCTGCTCGCACAATGAAATCTCTACCAAATGTCAATGGAAACATTACTAAAATACGAAGATTCCATTTATTGAATGAATTAGAAAAGAAAGTAGCTAAAACCGAATGAAATAATTATGTATATTATATTTAAAATCAAGTTATTTGAAATATTTGCAATAAAATGTTTTTAGTTACTAACTAATGTTGTATTTATATGTTAAAGAAAACTTTTTTCTATAGTTCTTACTAAAAGACCATTCTGAGTAGTGATGTTTCCGAGAAAAGTTACTATTCCTGGGAATGTTCTTCAAAACTACTTTCCCGTCTTGATCCTAAATTAAATTATTATGTTACATATCAAATTGTATTATTAGGAGACCATTTTAAATATCTTGAAAAAATGTTGTCTTGAAAAAGATTTTTCAATAATCTAGTTGTACTTCAGATAATAACTATTGGATAAATTTATTAGGCGGATCATTTTAGTATCTAGATAAAATGGTAAGGTAATCTTAAATATTTAGGTATGAAATTTATATGGGTAAAGTAAATATATATTTCAAGTTTTTGCTATTTTGAAGTATGTGTCATTATGTGTAATTATAAAGCTAAACAACGATTATAAAATATACTTTCCCCATTTGAAGAACATTCCTGGTAACTTCTCAGAAAAGTGCCCATCAGTAATTTTGAGTACCAGTGATGAGAAAGTTATTTTTAAAAATGAACTAATTCAAGCTCATACAATTTAAATAAAGGTAAACTATTTATAATATTGTTATTAATTTTAATAACTTTGTAATAATATCAATATTACCACCACAGAAACAAAATATATGAATTATAAAATCAGAAATATTTGTTTTATAGCAGAACAATTTTAAAAACATTGTGTTTAGCATTTGGTACTATGGTGTCTATAATAAAATTGAAAATAGGTACTTACATGTGGGTTTTGAACAATTGGTATATGAATATAATATGTATAAATACTATATACAATAGTAAATAACTGCATTTAAAAAAAAAAATGTATAAATTAACTATTATTTTAAATCTGGATTCCGAAATCACGGATCAGCTCGCTACATCATGTTCCTATTCTATCCCTTCTCCAATTAAAATCTCTTATCCCGACTTATTCCCACCCCTTAAGGCTCTTGCTTCCAGGTCTTGGAATCATAAATGGGAAATTTACCCTTATCCTTTGACACCTGTTTTCGTGTTGTCTCCCTTTCTATCCCTCCCTTCCCATGGTTTCCAATTACTTGGTGTACTATTGTTTCTTTTTCCTGCCTTAGGTTCGGGCATAGCTACCTTCCTAATCATTCCTACTACCTATCTCTCAATAATTTATCTTTTTGTCCTTGTCACGACGGCTCCGCTATTATATACAACGCTTCCCATATCCTCTTTAAATGTCCTGCCCTTTCCAATAAGCGTCATCTTCTCTCTTTATGTTCTTCTAATAATATTCCTTTTTATTTCCTTCATATTTTCCAATCTTCCAATGTTCCCCTTTCCCATTCAATAATTAATCTCTTTTCCTCTAAAGGCTTTATTTTATAATTGTTTTTATTAGGTACTTTGTATTATTATTTTTTTAATCGCTGAGGTATGTTTATTACACCTCTTAATAAAAAAAATCTGTATTCATATCATTATCTTTTATCTATTCATAGTTAAAAAAACTATAAATTAATGAGAATACATAAATAGTGTCTACTGGCTATTTTAGGTATTTTTTTAAAATTTCTGATGTGGAATGTATAAGTAACAAAATTTAAAAAGACATATTTTACAAAGGTCTTGATGATATCCGTTTTTATTATTTAGAAAAACTGAGTCTATATACCCCCTCTTCCACCACCAAAACAAAATCAGTTTTGCCACTGCATACGTCATTGTGTACCTACTGCATAACATTATTATAAATTATAATATTTCATCTGTATACAATTTAATCTTATATTTGCAGACTGTCAACGAGCTAGAATTAAATAGGCATCACAAAATTGAAACGTCCTGTTTGACAGTGCATTATTTATACAGATGAATGTTATTGGTAAATAATACACCACACGACGAAGTGGTAGTTTACCATTTTGACTTAGTGTACCGATTTGCTGCACTTTGAATTTGGAACTTTTGCAGTTATTATTTTTAAACATTTTATATAATATAATGAATTAACACATTAATAAATGAATCAATGAATCATGAATCATCATTATCAGATATTTACATTATGTGTCTTCGTGTTTACGAAGTATCAAATCGTAAGTTGACAAATTTACCTAGATTAATAAATTTGGAAATAATTATTTAATTTAACTTGATTTAATATAGAATGTGCTTAGAATTTAAACTATAATCTATACATAGAAATTTGAAATGGAAATCTTTGTCATGCATGTTCTCAGTTAAAACTACTACACCAATTTGTACGCGATTTTTCGCAAAAAGATCCGCATTGTGCGGAGAAGGTTTTAAACTATTTAAATCTTCGATTAAACCAGTAGAAGTAGTAAACCTAAACCGCAGTAAGTTGGGCCTGATACAAAATAATACTTTAAAGGTCTCTATTTAAGAAGAATTCGGTACGACGTTTATTATAGGTACTTAAGAGGCATTGAGAACTTGGGGTATTTTCGGATGAGATTTTCATCCTCCCCAGAGACATATGACTAGTGCAGGATGAATCTATAAGTAAATTAAGCACTGCTTAAGGCCTCGTACAAATTCAGCCCGCACAATTTTTTTTTCTATTGTTAAAATTGTCATCGACTGAATTATGACAATGCCAGCAACATGAACAATAATCTGATAAGCAAGCAGGAATAAAAAAGTGCAATTAATTTATTGATTACATCCCATGTATTGTGCATTCGCTAAATCTCGTTGGACGTTGGACAATTTGCTGTAGATTGTTGCATTGTTGTTTTATTTTTTTTCTCTTTATGGCCATTGAAGCCTGTCTGACTTATTTGCTTATAGCCAGCGAAGCACTTAATCCGGCACTACATAATACGAATTTTATAATATTCGTAGACTTGGTGTGATTTAGGTGGACTTGGCCATCTTAATTATGTTTAAATGATTTCACATTTTGTTAGGTACCAGAATTAGTAACATAATGAAACACTCCAAGTATACTTGGTTAATGTTTGAAAAAAAAACCTTCTTTTTGGGGTTAGGTTTTATCACTAATATTAATAATATTAATATATTATATTATGTTCTTTTTTTTATTTTTTATTTTACTCGTGTCTATAGGTTCAAGGATGGTTTTTCAACAATCCATACGGCGACATCGCCAGCGCGAACATTTATAACCAGCAATCACCGCCCGGTTATCATTTTGAATCATTAGCCGAGATAGAGCAAAACTATGATCCGAATACGTATTCGATAGTACCTTTAGACCAAGCGTTGAGTATGTACACGTACGGTACCACTGCTAATGCTTTGGGTAGTAGAAGTCAAGATGGTACTGGAGGGAATCATAATGGAGGAGTTGATAAGAGAAAGAAACGTGGCTATTTCCCTTCGTTAAGCTTACCGTACTTTACAAACAACAACACACCTACAAGTACCTCGACTATTACCACTACCGCCAATATAGCTGAAGACGCTTCCACTAAGAATGTCAATGGCGTTCCCGTCAACACTAACAAGGCTGATAATACGTTCGTTTCCGAAACTACGGCCATCGATGGTGCCAAAAACCAGGGCTTCAACGCCAAAGCCGAAACGGAAGCTATGCACTTCCTCGATTTCGGCGAAGGCATAAAAAACTACGTTTCAACTGGCACAGAGGCCACTATTACGGACACCGCGGCCGTTACCAAAAATACCATAGACACAGTGAGCGCTAAAACTCAGGGAGTCATCGCCAATACCGAATCGGCAGTGTCGACTGCCATAAGCATAGGCGAAGATATAGAACACGGATTGGTGATTATCGGCCCATACTTGCCCCTGGTGTACAAAGTGGCCATGTACATTATACCGAGTTTGACGCCGTACCAAACAATCCAGTTGTCGTGGGAAGTCTCGCAAATCATGGTCGAAGCGATGAAGAATTACGAGGAAGGAGAGAGCTTGACAAGAGTGACCGCCGTAGCTGCGGCCAAAATAGCCTACGACGCTTATTTGGTACGTACCTGTATACGCATAACTTATATTTCGATTTTATTATGACCGGTTTCGACTGGAAGCCATAAGTAATTCGCAGAAAATAACGGAAAATTTCTTATAATATACCATCGTTTTTTAAAATTTATAAAATATCGCCAACTTTTGAAATTAATAAAATCAAATTATTGACCTTGGATAATATTTTGATAAAAAAAAATAATGATTTTAGCTAACTCTTCGACGTTTCTCATCATTTCACATTGCTATGAATGAGGTTTTATATAATGTATACATACTTATAAAATAATAACATTCATGACAAGTTAACTGGCTTGAGCATTATAGGTAATAAACTCTCACTGAATTCGCTTTATACGCCATGAGTGTTAAATTTAATTTAGATTCTGAGCGGAGCGATGAATGTATTGGTTTTAGAATGATGTTTTAAAATGATAACACTTTTTCTAAGAGGAAATCTGACTGGGAAGGTCATTTTTTTATTCTCCTAGGAGTTTTCCTAATAAATAGAAAAAACCGGAAAAAACGAAAAAATAGGTACAATATTAAATAAATATTATTAAAGAAAATATATCATGCATATATAATTGTTTAACCATTATATAATATATATATATATATATTACATAGTTAAATATTATATATTAACTATATATATATACATATATATATATTGTTGACGAAGCAACACTTTCAACCGAATTCCGCTCAGAATCATTTTTTCGTTCGCAATCGTTACTCACAGATATACATTAAATTATTTATAACAGTGGCTATATCCATCCCCATTATCCTTGGACAGCTTTTTATTAGTTAATTTATTCAGGTTTTTAATTCTTGAAAGTTAAAATAAGAGTTAAAAACAACTCTCATTTTATTACACATCTGAGTAGAAAATCTATTTTCATTAAAAATTTTACTAACGCTGACAGAAATATAGATGAGTTTCAAATTTAACCAGTGGCGCCAAAACTTATTTTAAGGTTTAGTATCATATTATGTCGGTAAAAAGCTTCGGTACAAATAATACATTTTTCAAAGTCATCGCTACTTGGATTTAATTTAATTATAAAACCCTTAAATTTTTATTAAACACGGATTCAACGTAAATTTATCAATACAAAATTTGATATAGTATAAATAGTAAACAAAAAATTAACATTGTTTAATGAAATAACGACACGGCTATAATATTATTCTGTTGTCGTGCACCGCAAACATTCAAAACTTGCATCGACGAAACCTGGAAACATAATAAATTGGATGTCATAACAATGTTCATCACGTAAAATCGGACTTTAATACTAAATCTAGTATAAAATAATATGGAGTACGAAATACCTACAATAGTCCAACAAAATAATATTTTTTTCTTATGAAAAACAAAGATGTACCGAGTACTTCGTCATAAATGATCATTGTTCCATAAGTGCGATATTTATTCGTGGTGAATATTGTTTTAATGTATCCTAAAGTGAAAAGGAAAACAAAAACGAATTTAATTATAATGGTAATAATGATTACAATAATAATAATTATATTATTATGTAGTAAACAGTGGCCTGCCCAGATGGGGTGAGATTGGGGGCCGTACTCTCTTCCCCACAAGGTGTCTTTCGAATACAACAACTATGCGTAACAAAGTTATTTGTTTAGTATACCTAATTACTGCATAACTATTTTTTTTTTTCGGCAAAGTTAAAAGGGAAAATCGGATATCGGAATTCGGTTATTTGTAGATCCGGCTTTGAAATTCATATCGTAAATTCAGAACAGAGAAAAAGAAATCTGTAAGATTTGTTTGAAGATTACAAAGGATTACATCCTCTATCGTAGGAAATACCTGGACACGCCACTGGTTGTATACAAGTTTATTACCACATAACTACGTCACGATAAGATTTGGAATTAGCTTCTTCCGTGGGCTGATCGTTTTTGATGATGCTAGTTCTAAATACCCTCGTTTGGGTGCCCGGGAAACGGTGTCAAAAGAACACGATCGTTTCCTTTTTATAGTCGCAGGCGTTACTATGACGCCACCTTCCAATTTTAGACGTTTTGTTCTATTTTCAACTTGGTTTGTGAACTCATTCGGTAATTCCCGTTTGAACGGACGCCGTCCCGTCAATGACAATGTACTGTTCATTAAATCGATAATGGCCCCTTCGTAGTCAATTTTTTCAACCGTATCGTTCGATAATTCAACATCAACATTTCCTAATAATACAACGGAATGTTTAATTTTTGTAAATAAAACCGATTGGAACTTGCCAGTTTACACAAATTGTTTACTAATCAGCGATGGTTTTTTAGAATTAATTCGTGATTATACGATTTAACGATATCCTATTCTGTAGAAGTTTCATTCGTAAAATCATCTATGCATTCATCAATAAACTCACCGTTTACATTTAGCGAACCGTTTTCTTCCATTGCAACAACAGATTCTATATAGTTAACACTATTTATTAGTCTTTTTATGTAGTCATTCGCATTTTTTACTGCGTTCCAAGCTTTCAGGATTTTAATAGTTATCTTTCCAACTTCTTTACACTTCTTAATTAATTCTAAATATATTATAAAGAAAATCAATTATAGGTTATGAATAAAATGGCTATTAAACACTTTATGAAATATAATTCATTTTTCACTTTGAGTATCGGGCACTTTACTGGAAACTGCAAGACTCATGAACAGAATGATATTATGGGTGAATCCTATAATATCAATCGGTTCAGATGAAATGGTGTTTATAATATTTCCTTTAAATGAAGATACACGTTCTTGAAAAAAGAAAAATATTTATTAGAAACCAAATAGAGTTAAAATTTAATTAAATGGCATACCGGGTGATCAACTAATTGATTAGAACTGTGGATAGTTCAGCATAGTATGTGCGTCTTTTACAATTTTAAGACAGGATTCTTAAAAAAAAAATTCCATTATAGCCACTTAAATTTTAAATTTTTAAGAATAATAAAAAATATTTATTCTTATACACTGACCAAACCATGGAGCATTTTCCAAAACACGTATTTCATCAGAATGAAATGCTAATTCTAAACAATTTTTTACCGATTCGACTTCCGTTAAACTCTTTTTTAGGTACTGAACTTCTCTTCCAAGCTCCTGTTTAAGAAAATCGTATATTATTTGTTATTGATTGTAAAGTACATAATATTATATAAATTAATCCAATTTAATTATAAATTTACATTATTATGGCAACTGACAAAATCCACTATAGTTTGAAGTCTTTTTATTTCTGCCTCAAACGTCACACTACTAGAGACCGTGTATAATTCACCATTAACCGTCATGTTCGACATGATGTTCAACGTTAGATTTCTACAAAAATGATTATAATATGTTTTATTAAAATAGACAGAAAACTATTATTTTATTATTAGCTTTCTTTCTGAGCTTTGCTCAGAATCTAAAAAATATACACAATAGTTAAACTAATATGTTTCTCACTTCACTGATTTCAAGAAAATGCAAATTTTTTAAATTATACATTTGACGGAGGCGAGTGAAACACCACAATATATGGGAACACATAATATTATCACGTTCTCTTAAAAGTTCTTTATTGATAAAAAAAAAAAATAAATACTTACGACGGTGGAAAATCTGTAACTATGAAAATTGTCAATTGACACACAGAAAAAAATATTAAATTATATGAAAATGTTTTATAAATATTAGAAACTTGAGAAACACCTCTGAATTATAAATAGTAAACAAATTGTAATGATTAACATAAATTAATGATCAACGTATAAGAAAGTACGCAAAAACAAATTTTGTGTATAGAAAAAACTATATGTGCCAAGAAATCGTATAAGCATACAATGAATAATATCAAGATTTGCAAATCGCTGTATACAAATTTTTCGCGTTAGGTACCCGTGACGACCGAATAAATAATATTGTTATAAATATCGAATGTTTGATCGGCGTGCCGTAATAAAATATTTGATTTTTATGTACGCATAATAATATGAATTACCGTCTTACCGTTATATTGGACTTTTTCGAAATCCAAAAGAGAAATTGTAAACTTTTGTCCGTTAAACGATACAGAATAAACGTTATGAAATAATTCTGGGTTTACCATTTTTTTTTCACTCGACCGAGATAAAATACTAGATAGGGTCAAACTGTATTCCGATCAAACCCAAGTAATCGCCGAACTGCACTCGGGTCAAATAGGGGATTTCGACAAAATACTCTTAATTCGAAAGTTTTTTACCTACTAAACACACTTCCTACTAAACATATTTGCAATTTTGATTACATTTCAGTCGGAAATGTTATTCAAAATCAAGTATTGTCTGTATGAACGTGTAATGTGAACATGAAAACGGTTAGAGAGGAATTCAATGTTAAAAACCTCGAAAAGCACATTCTTGATACTTATACTATTGATGTATACAAAATTATATCCCCTGGTTTTATTTTGGGTTTCATCTGTACACATTTTCTATTAGACATTTCGAATCGATCATCAACTTTAGGGTTGGTTTATAAAAGCAAATGTTTTCTAGTTATTGGTGAATTAGAGAGGACTTGTTTAAAATATTTGTTATACACAATCTAAACGTACATAATGATATTTTTATTTTAATTAGAATACTTCACAGTACAAAATATATAACAATGTATAGAAAGTTTGTATTACACACTATAATTTTAATGCAAAAGAAAAATGGTTCAATACAGTTTTAAAGCAAAGTTAACCTTGTGTGGTAATTTAGAAAATATATTAATTATTTTTTCAATATTTATTGGGATACATCGGCGGACTTACAATAAAGTTAAACCTGTTATACGATCTTTACCATAACTATTCCTCCAATATAGGTTTTTATTTGTCTTAGAGTTGAAAACGAACATTCTGCTGAAAATGTATACTGCCTCATGTTGACACTAGGAGTATTGCAAGTATGCAAGTGACTTTTTTTAATAATTAAATAAATAATTTGAATCAAAGTTTGGTTGCCAAACCTAATGAATACTTCATTACAGAAACAAAATCTTACTTTAACCACAATTTCAGATATAAAATGGGTTATATTTAATTACTGGAGCCTCTTGAAATGTGTTTCGCCCGACTACATTTTGAGGATTTCGGCGCCACTGAATTTAACTCTTAAAGCGTACATGGATAAATTTCACTGAAAATAGCTTGCTGATTAACTTGTAAATTTTAACATTTATTAAAACAATGTTACCGCACAAGATTTGTATGCAATATCTTTAAAAATATAATTACTTACTTCCTAAAAATCCCAGTTTAGTATAAATTATAATACAATTATAAAGTAAGTAATAGTAATAATAATAATAATAATAATAATAATAATAATAATAATATTTAAAACAAAATAAACCACTAGCTAACGATGGTCTAGCTATCGAGGCTTCAACTTTAATTTAAATAAAATAATAATATATTGTTGTATTTTGTTTTTAGCGTAAACGCGATACAGGTGCTACAATCATTAACAATGATTTTACGGCTACTACAGGCCCTGCTACGATTACTGAGTATGCTACTGATATTTACGAAAAGTTAAAAGACATGTTTAATGATAAAAGTGGAACCAGTCCGTTGTCGATATTTTCCGGTATGAATCCGTCGCCGGATAACAACAACATAGTTTACGACGCAAACGGTGAAATTGCGCATATCGTCGCACCCAATAGGCAACATAAATAATTTTTAATAATTTTGAAACTATAGGAAAATCAGTCGAAACGAAAACGTTCGATAATGGCGCTGAAATATTGCATTCGTCAGACAATAAAATACTATTACGCGAACCCAGTTGGAAATTAAACAAGGTTAGAGAGCTCGACAGTCAGATCCCGAAACTTCAAAACAATTATGAAAAGCCATCCGATGATGATGATGATAATGATAATGATGACGAAAGTGAGGGAAAGGTCGTCCGTAGTGTAAAAACCAACAATGACAACCTGAGCACAAATGCCAATATAGATAAAACCCGCTTTGACGAATTGCTAAATGAATCTATGAAATATCAAGTAAGTTGTGATATATAAACGGTTAGTATTTTCAAAATTTGTGTATGCTTTATCCCTACACCGTTCAAAATTATAATTATTATCATTTTAAATATATTATGGATAATTTACGATTCCAAGAATGTTCGAGTGGTGAAAATGCTATTAATTACTTATTTCGGTTCAAATGGTTTAGGATTGGACATGCTATGTCTTGGCTGAATGATTTTTTTAAATTTAATATTTTAATTTTTTCCATGAAATATGTGTGTTTCAATCTAAGTAACTTATTTTCTCTTAATTTCGACCAATAATAATACTTATTAACAAATTAAAATATCATAAAAATGATTCGGTTAATGCACAGGAAATACTGTTCTTTATAATTGTATTAGTTTATTTATTGTCTTAAACTCAACCAGAGAATCGCAATCGTTGCAGCGCGAAACGTATTTTGTTGATATATTACGCGGGAGATAGACGGAGAAAACAAACTACGCACCTATGTGCAAATAGGCCCGTAACGCTGAAATGTATTACTTATTATTACCTATATATTCGCCTGTTTAATTATTTTTAGCCCAGCTTCATACGAAACACCGACGGCGAAGTGTTGGTGGAACAACTAAGTAATAAGAAATCGAAAATACCGGCGTCGGTCAACGTGGACAGCGGCGCAAGATTCGCCGCTTTAACAAGCACGATGGAATTCACCAAAGACGTGACCGACGATCAAATTAACGAATTAGTTAACCTTATGTCTAAAGCCACGGATTATTTCATACTCAAAGCTATTCGCGATAAAAAATCAGCGAACCGTGTTAAAAGCTAATTGTTTTTGCATTCATTTTTACTGTCAATCGAATTTATCCATATCTATTTATTATTATATTATAATAATATAAAAACAAAAACAAGACCCTCTGCGAATAATACATAATATACTGTGTGTATTGTCGCACACACAAACGCATTTCCCCAATTTGTCAGTAGGTGTTGTACTTGTATTGCGTATAGGCATATTGTAATAATAATATCGATCAGCCGGATAGTTAATATAATTAAAATTTTACTTGAATAATTGACCATGGTTAAAATAATAATGTTTTAATTTATTCAGTAAACAGTAAACACCTTAAAGAATGTTATAATAGTAAAATTGTTTAAATTAAGCGACTTATAAAAACCATGATTTTCAGTTAATGCATTTTTTTTTTTTTTTAATTTGGTTTTACCATATATTTTTCTGTATATTATACAAGGTCCGATTATTTAATTTGTTTATTCGAATGAAAGTTCTCGTACGGACAAACCAATTCAAAACTTGAAGTTGTAAATTTTGAAACTATAACTGTAATTTAGTTGGTAAGTCTGAGACCACAGGGGGGGCGATCGCCTCCATCGGCCCCCCCTGAACCTTTTTTTTTCTTTTATCTTACATAAGCACGAAAAAACGATTCCGAGCGGATTTCAGTTGATAGTGATACTTTGTCAACACTATATATGTCATATTATGGTAAAATAATTAAATATGCATTATATATTTTCTTTAATAATATTTGTTCAATATTGTACCGATTTTCCTGTTTTTCCTCGGTTTTTCACATTTGCCTGGAAAACTCTTGGGATAATCGAAAAATGATCACCCTAAAGTACCTCCCCGCCAAAATTTCCATTCAAAAAAGTTACTTTATCGTATACATCGGAGCAAGGTCTCTGGTAAAAAAACTGTCCACAGATAAAACAGTTGTAAAACTATAATAGCTTCTTCGCTCCAATCAGAATCTAAAATGAAAATTATGTGTAATTTATGACAGGACCATAAACAAATTTTATCCTTTATTTGATATATGTCATTATGGTATGAGGCCTAACAAACTTAAAATCGCCCCCTCCTCTTGATGTTTTATCAAAACTGCCACTGGGTACGCTCAAATTCACAATTTAAAGTTACAATTAAAACGTTCAGTGTTGCAATCATGCAGTTCTAATAAATAAATATTTCCAATAAATATGTTATTCGTCATAATTCGTGCCTCGTGCGTATAGGTAAATATATACATGAGGTATTCACTCAATCAACGAATTAAACGCACCGTACATAGTACAACAAGTTTTTATTTGCAATGCATACAGTTATATTTAATGAGGTTCGATATAATTGAGTGCAGGATAATAAAACGACGTATTCGTGTCATAAAATAGATCATACATGCGATTATTGTTACTTTATTATTTACACAAATGAATTTTAAAGACTGTATCAACGCCTCTGCCGTTGGTATGTACCTGTTATTTAGTGATGCATTCAACAGACTAGGTAAGTATCACTCTGAAAAGTATGCATACACCTTTTAATTAATATGTTAATGCAATCAAAATAAAATTCACTATGATTAATCAATACAACTAATAATAATATGACCTGTCAACTGCAGCAGCAGCTGACTTCGGCATGCGTCTTAATGACTTCGTGTCAAATCGTGAGTAGAAACTAATATAATAATAGCTATCGACAATAATTTTCAATTCACGCGCATTCACTTCCATTTCCAGTTTCAGATTATTTTAAATTTTTGAAAATCCGGACATTTTTTTTTTCACGTTTTTATAAAAATAAATAATATTGCAACTTTACGTGGATATTGATAATAGACTATAACGAAATACTATTGTTAATAGTATTTCGTTTTTTATAAAACCATAATCATACAGTTGTTATTCGCGATTTCGTCCGCTTAGAATTTCATAATAATGCCTCTAAGGGTGTCTGAAAGGAAAATATAGGTTATTGATACAGGCAAATAATATGTGATAATCTTCCCAACAGTCAGAAATAGTAACGATATTTTATAGTATTTTTATTAGCCAGCGATATGATTTTTCCTCGAAATTATACTTCGTCTACGCTTCCCCAAAAATAACCTATCTATAGGCTACATTCTACGTGGCATTATGGTTCTATAAAGAGTTATTTTTTCGTGATAACTTTGACACCCCTTTTCATTCCCTATAAGGAGTTGCATTTCTGAAATCTATCAAAACCATGGTCCTTTTTAACCATTTAGAGTTTGAACTATGAACAATTCTTTATTAGCGGTTGCCTGCGTTATTTGTAAGGAATTTCTGTGAAAAATATCAAGTTTTTTGACCCATCAGTTCGGTACATGCGTTTATATGCCAGCCATTCGGTCACTTCTTTTATATAATATAACAATGATAATACATATTATATAGGCAACATTTTGTATCTTCGTTGTAGGTGTTGATATTTTAAACACAAACATTTATTTTTTCCCTAGTTTTCTCATTTTACACAGATTTCCGGCCGCAGTGAAAACAGCATAATTCTGTCTATGATGTACGCGCACGCCATAATAATAGCCGGGTGTCGCTGTACTTGTTGCGGATTGAGTTGGCCGGGGCAACCGCCTGCGGGCTACCATTACGAGACCATGGCGCAGATTCAGAGGAAGTATCCACGGAACTCGTATACGATAATGCCGTACTGGATGGCGGCGGCCAGTGGAAAATTGTTGGGCAACAATCAAGGCAATAAACACGTTGCCAGGAACTTGCCACAGAAAGGCGGTGCGCCGAAGAAAAATAACGCGCCCAAAAAAAACAAGGCTAACAAGAAAACTCCCAATAAGGAGAAAAAGCCGCCAATATCCAAAAAATCCGACGAAGATCCCTCGGAAAATGAATCGCCAGCAGCAAACCATGCGCCACCGTTCCCCACCAATCCAAATGCTGCACCCTCCAAAACTCCGGCGACATCCTCCGAAACGCCGACCGGTCCTGCCGAAACGCCGGCCCAACCCGCCGCAACGCCGGCCCAACCCGCCGCAACGCCGGCCGTTCTCGTTAAAAAGAGAAAAAAACGTGACTTTTTCGGTATGGATCCGCCGATCCTGCACGAAAACGCCGCCGCAGTAGTAGCACTAATAGTGGACGCGGGTCTTGACGAACGTGCCCGCATGTTTGTGAAAAACGGCGGTGCTATTAACGACGACGGAACCGCCGCGGTAGATGCAACCAAAGTGGGTGATAACAATGACGGCACGGGGGACTGCGAAACGAACGACGCTTCCGCGGCGGCCAAAAGTGACGAGGGGCCGCAAACCGAAACGGGAGGGCTCACGGCCGAGTGGCGCGGGAGAATGATAATCGACGTTTCGACCGACGTGGAGAACAGCATGGCGACCGCGGCCCCGTACTTGCCCGTTATAAACACGCTGGCCGAACACATCGTGCCCGGGGTAACGCCGTATCAGGTGCTCCTGATAGCCGCGAACGTGGCTTACATAACGTCAGAAGCGACCTGCAAGAATCGTCATCGAAACCACGTCAACTTGTTGATCGACGTGGTGCCTCAAACTACGGCGTTAAACCCGCACGTACCGGCGCGAGTAAATATTATATTGATAAATATACAAAGTAAATTCAAACCTAACGTATTCGTGCGTACTACCGTCGCTTGAAAATTGACTAAAGAACCTGCAAATGTAAAAACCGTGCAATTCGTATAAAAAACATAGAAATCTTTGTTTTCCCATAGACGTAAAATCCATTATAAACCGACTGCTACTATAGAGATGAATCCAGCAGGTTTAAAATACTGCGTAGAGTTACAAATAATCCTAAAACGAAAATTATCGTTGTTTTCCAGAATCTAAAAAGAGCTGCTGACGGATGTGTCACTATTTTAGGTGATGATAAGTTGGCAAGCAGTATGAATCGCTAAATGCAGAAAGGGCATATGATCAAATTTTAAAAATGTTTAAGACAGACAAAATCACTTAATATCTTTGAAAAAAATTGAAAAATTGTATGTTAAAAACTAAAATTATAATGTTAGATATCCGTAATTTTTTTCCGTCAGTATATGAAATATTATAAGATATAAGAGAGTACGAGCGAATTTAAATTTTCTTAATAATTTACACTCAGATAAAATTGTCTCCCCAAATCTCCTCCCTTGCATTAACTTCAAAATCCCAATTTTGGCCACACGTAATAACTATCCGTTTTATATTCCTGTTTGTAACACAAACTATGCTACTAATAGGCCTCTTTGTAAGAATGATAAGGATTTCCAATACTGAACCGCCTCGCTCATCTAATTAACTTACTGTATCTTATTAGATACACATATATACATTTTTTCTCTTTGTTGTTCATTAAAAAAGAAATATTCTTGCTGTTTCTATTTATTTGTTTACATTTCATAATGTAAATATTAAACTATGTACTTAAAAGTGTCTTTTAATGTAACCATGGGGCTACTAGTCCATTACAGGGGTGGGTTTAGATATGTGGTGGCCCGTGAGCGGAATATATTGTGGGGCCCAAAAATAAATAAACATTTGTTGATTTTTTGTTTATTTAATTTGCTTGGTAATAAATATAAAAGCATTTAAATTGGGTACGTCAAGATACGGAGTTTACGAGTTTTCGTATAAATAAAAATTGTCCAAACATTAGTAAAAGAAAAACAATATGATTGAATTAAATAGCAGAAACTCTTCTTGATATAATATTAGCGGAGTTCGGTTATACATGTTTTCAAAGGCCGTATACTTACGATTTTCGTCGAAATTTAGTATTCAAATTCTTATTAAAAAAAAAACTACATTAAACGCATTATTTTCTTGTTGGTCACTAAATTATCAAGCATTTTTAATTTAACCCAACCGAATAAAAACTTCGTACAAATTTAAATGTCTGAAAATAGTTCAAAAATGGTTTAAATATTTTGAAAATTTTATCATGGCTATAAAAGGCAATTATAAGTATTCTGTCCTAATACCAAGTCTCTACGAATAACTAACTGAATTACAACAATAAAACAAAATTAAAATAATACAATTTTCGTAAATTTTACCGTTTTTCCTACGGTTTTGTACAGTTTTTCGTAATCATTATGAAAACCGTTTGGAAATTCAAAAAATGACCTCGCTAAAGTACCAACTGGATATTATCCTCTTTTAGAAAAAGTGCTACGCTTAAAACATTGGAACACAATTTTCGAATTTTTGTACACGGTACAATAATAAATAATACATTTCATATGTAAAAAAAAAAATAAACATCATTGTAAAACCAATAAACCACTTCACTCAAAATCTAAAATAAATGAAGTTAATATAATTTTAAAATAAGATTATATTAAATTCTTTACATTGCGTATTCTTAAAAACTTATTCACCACTTAAACGATAGTATCGATGTTTTTATAATTTTTATATTAATTTCTAAATAATATTTAAACATTTTTAACTTTTTACGAAACTACAGAGGACAAAATTTGTGAGGGGTTACAGCTGGGTTACAGCTCACTCAGCCCCCCTTAAATTTGGCTCTGCAGCCTATACTTTCAAATAAAATAAAAAATATATTAAAAAAACTCTATAGGTAGTTAAGAGTAGGTATTTAAAAAGTTTTTGTCGTTCTTAAAAATTTTGAAATTTGAATGGGTAACCTTTTTGCATTTAGTGATTCGTGTAATATATAGAGAGTAATTTAATTTATATCTATGCGCAACGAAAAATGATTTTGTGTTAATTTTGGTGAAACATAATTGTTTTAAAAGTCCGGGATTTGAAGATTTTATAAAAAAAAATTTAATTTTAAACGCTTATAAAAAAAAATACTATATATTATGCTAAACATTTTTTTTTGCGCTATAACTGAGTAAGTAAATAAAACTAGTAAACTATAATGAACCTCGTGTTAAGTTTTCGACCATTTTTGCTGGGCTAAAGCGATTTCATTCACATAAAATAAAATAAAAACAAAAAAAACTAAACAATTTCAAATGGCTATAAATAGCTTATCAATTACCAGATTGTTTTAAACATTTTATGACGTCTAAAGAGAGCTAATATAAGTATTCTGTACTAAAATCAGGTGTCTATGAATATTTTCAACTGAGCAATAACAAAAAAAAAAAAAAAATAGAAAATAACAGAAATCCAACGATGCTTAAATGTTCTGATTTTTTCCAAATTATTATAAAAACAAGGAAAATCAAAAAATAACCTCTTTAATACACAAACTAGACAGAATTTTTTTTTTTTTTTTAAATAATACACTTGAAGTTTGGAGCAAGATTTCTGATGAAAATGTTAAAATCTAAAAAACATACAAATACCAAGAATTATTTCAATAAATTAAAACGTGACCTACTTTAGCTTAAAATTATTATGAACTATAGTAATAAAGTCGTACTAATTAAAAATGCTAGTGTATTTTTTTTTCTATAGATTAACGGTCATTGTGGAATCGATAATGCTTCAAATAGTAGTTGCAATAAGTTTAAAAATATTTTCCAATACCTTTACGAACGCGTCCGCAATCTTCTCAACAGTACAGAAGTTTCCATAACAGAAAGTAACGTCACAGAAATTGACGACACCAATAATCTAAATGATAACTATTGTAAATATATTATTGAACATAAAGAAACTGAAAATGATGATGATGATATTAGTAAAACTGTAGGTATTAACGAAAATTTTGATTATTATCACGTTGACAATGGTAAATCCTTTGAAAGAATCGAAAAAGCTGAATTGTCTACAATCGACGAAGTCCGATTTAAACAACTTTTGCTGGATTCTAACGACGTTCAAGTGAGTTAACGGTATATTATCAAGTTATGGGCAATATCTTTGGCAGTATAATACTGCCGTAGCAACGTGAACCGTACAATTAAACGTAAAATATGTGACCGTATGTTTAACAATTTATTTAAATTTGTTTTATTTTGTGTGAATTATTAAGTATTTTAAAAATAAAAAAGACATCCTAGGATAATGGAAGGCAGCCACTGTTATAGGTAATTTAATGTATATCTGTAAGCAACGATCAACCATTGCTAACGAAAAAACGTTTCTGAGCGCAGTTCAGTTGATAATGACGCTTTGTCACCAATAGATACGTCCATATTAGGGTAAAATAATTAAATAGACATTATATGTTTTCTTTAATAATATTTGTGTGTTAGTATCGTACCGATTAACCCGTGTTTTTTCCCGATTTTTCTCATTTATTGAGAAAACACCTTGGAAAATCGAAAATATATACCAATATTTTTAACTGAATTACAACAAATAACAAAATTGAAAAATAATAAAAGCATTATTTTCGTAAATTTCTCGTTTTTCTTACGTTTTACCCTGGTTTTTCCCAGATATTATGAAAACCGCTTGAAAAATCAAAAAATGACCTCCCGTAAATACCATCTGAACAACATTCCCTTTCAGAAATGGTGCCGCGCGTATATATCCGAGCAAGATTTATAGTCGAATTTGTACAAAGTATAGAAAAAAAAAAAAAATAATAGTAAAATCGTAGTAATACCAATACGTTCTTCGCTACGCTCAAAATCTAAAATGTTCACATTATTAATAATTACAATAATAATTTACTTGGAAAAATGGTGTTAAATTTGTTCACTTTAATAATTTTATTTAGATTATCAAAAAATTTAGATTTCATTTTAAATTCTGGAAGTAGCAAAAGGTATAATTGTATTAAATTTATATTTTTAGATAGCATAAGTTTAGGTAATTATTGTTATCAACTATTGACGTATAATACTGTTATGAATATTAAAATGAATTATAGGTATATCGAAATGGATGTTCGAGATCTAAACGGTTTATAAAAACTCAAATAAACGTTTTGAAAACCAAATTATTTACAATGTTGCTACGTCACCTTAACATTATAATCGAATATGTATAAATAAATTTATTTTACAGCCAATCTTTACGAAAATGTCGGGCAACCAGTTGGTGCAGTATTTTAACGGTCTTGATTTACAACTACAACAGCCGTCAATTGACACACGAAAATTTTTCCAAATGTTGGTTACTACCATGATGAATTTCGATAAAAACGTTGCCGACGAAGATATTCAGACGTTAATCGCCACCCTGAGCAACGTTACGAATTTTTTCATAATCGATGCTATTCTCCAATGAACAAATAATATTGATCGCGTAAACGTATTATGAATACCATCAAGATTCAACAACCCCAGGCTCAAAATAATCACTATCCAAAAATCCTAGCAATAGATTTTAATTTTTACGTTCAATTTTTAATATTGTGTTTTCCGTTATTATTGTTAAGGTTCGTTATTTTAGCGTTTATATTTTGAAATGTTTTATTTTAGATTCGTATAGTAAAATGATGTTTTCAGGTTTGGTTAATAATGACTAAAATAAAATATTATCAATTGCACCATGATTGATTACATTGGTGATTTAAAGTCATAATCGCTACAGCTTTCATCTATCATTTCCACTGTTTATAACCGATTGCAATGAAATGCATAACCGCGTCGAATAAAAACTAATTTAAAATATCAAATGTAATATACAGAATTATAGAGACATAATATTTACGGACACTTAAATAACATCAAATATCAAAATAATAATAAACATAAAAACCTTTATCTTATCGCATTCCGTATCGTATCGGTTCCGATTAGCCTCATGTGGCCACAACGGCACGTGTAGTCGTTTTTTGGTATTAGGTACTCGACTTTATTATTGTGCGTGCACGCAAAAGTTATACTCGTAAATATCATAATATGTCCGAGAATAAAAAGTTTAGAAAATATCGCATTGAATATTTTAAATTTGGTTTTATCGTATCTCCGACAAATGAAAAATTGCCCTTGTGTACTCATTCGTGGAAAAACATTCAGTAATGGAGCTACGAAGGCAGGAAACCATCAACATCTGGGCAGTCATTAGTCACACAAGTATTTTTTGTGCTATTTTACATTAGCGAATTCGAAATCGAATTATATAATTTATATTATCAGTAGGTATTTATATTTGAAATTAACCGAATTGTAGCGTTAAATTATATATTTTCTTTAATTAAATAGCGTGTTGAAAATAAAACGTTTTTTTTTTCTAGAAATGTTGATAATATGTATAACACTAGTATCAAAATTACTCTTTATGAGTAGTTATAACAGTTTAAATTTTAGACCGGAGGAGTAGAGAAGAGTTACAATTTAAAAATAGGTTTGCATTTTATAATTCCCTTCCAAAACCCTACGGTTTAAATTTTAAACTATTATGGCTTATAAGTTATAACTCATAAACGGTAAATCTGATATTAGTGTTAATGCATAGAAAACTATTCTCTATTTGAATCTGTGATTGAAAGGGAAAGTTACTATTTAAAAATCTAAAATGAATACTCATTTCAAGCAAGTATAAGGATTAAGAGTAAAATAGTGTTAAAATAAAGCTTATAAATTAAATGATTAAAAAACAGAAATCAAACTCACTTGGAATATTTCAAGAAAACCACCGTTGGGTACATGGTAAAAGGATCAACAGTAAATTAGTCCCCTATATTCAATGATTCAAATTCGAGTATTGGTTACACTTGAAATTATATAAAACTTACCTAAAAGATAAAAGATTTGAAAAGAAAAAAAGTGCAAAAAATGTAAAAAGGTCCCACCGAGATTTGAACTCGGATCGCTGGATTCAGAGTCCAAAGTGCTAACCATTACACCATGGGACCGCCATATTACAATATAATTTATTAGTTTTCTTAAGTTTATACTTAAATTTTGTTATTTATAATTTTCAAGTAAATTTAATTTAAATATAATTTCAAAAAAATATAAATAAAATCGAATAAATTACTTGAATCGCTAGATTAAGAGCATATAAATAACGCATTTATATATGTGGCAGTAAATTGGGTTTGGAATTTGGTATTGCCATACTTGGGTTAAATATCCCAGAGTTCATATCTGGGTTGGACTTTGGAAATTTTTGCTCTTTTGACTACTGTTATTTCAATCTTTTTTATTATATTGCCATAAATTTACCATAATGTTGAATACCCAGTGTTGAATCCAGTTAATTTTTCTGGGAATGGCGGGGCATCACTAAAATTATAGTCAAATTTTTTTAATTAATAATAAATTTACCTGCATTTAACGAGGGGAGGGGGCTATGGCTCCCTCTGTCATATATACCTGGATTCAACACTGGTTCTACCTAGTTTGGAAAATTATTTTTTGATTTTCTTAATATTTGGGTGAAATCGGTAATGTGTATTACGTACTATTTTCAATTTTGTTGTAATTTTGCCGTAATTAAATCTAAAATAATCGTAGATACCTGAAATTTTCAAAAACAGTTGGCCACTTTTGGGCTATTTATATAACCGTTTGAAATTTTTGTTTAGTTTTGAGTGTGCAAAATAATCGTTGTTTTAACAGTGTATTATTGAATTACTGTAATTCTGAAAAAACCTATTGAAAATGTATGGGGTAGTGCGTAAAATAAGAAAATTAATTTAAATAATTATTAGTAAAAAGTGCAAAAACTTCCAAGGTCCCACCGAGATTTGAACTCGGATCGCTGGATTCAGAGTCCAGAGTGCTAACCATTACACCATGGGACCGCCACAGCTTGTTATTGTTATTTGTTTATATATAAACTGACTTTTGTACAAATATTTAATAATTTTTTTTTTTGATCTTAATTGATAAAAAAATAATTATTTTTTAATACAACTAAAACTATTTTTGACCAAATTTGTAACATTTTTTTTTTTCTGTAAAATATTTGTCGTTTGTCGTTACATTTACTAATATTATTAAAAATATTATCTTTACTACCTAGGTATTATAATTTGATAATTTTTGTCTAAAATCTAAATTATTAACAATAAACCTACTTATATAATATATTATGAGCATGAGAAATTGACAAATCATAAGTAGATTTTAGTGTGGATAAGTATTAAGTAGGTACATTATTATTAGCAACTGTAAGCAACAAAAAAACAATGCAAACAAAAATAATTCTGAGAAGAGGTTATCAGATAGACAGGAAATCATTTTTTCTTAAATATTTTAGATTCGGAGCGTAGCAATAGGTATATTACTTTTATTATGACGTGTTTTTTTTTTTGTGTGTGTGTTTTTTGTCCGTGAGCAAATTTTCTACGAGAAATCTTGCTCCAATGAATTATGTTTAGCACCTTTTTTGAAAGAAAACTTTATTTTGTTGGTGCTATAATGAAGTCATTTTTGAATATTCGAAGTTTCATAATAATTTGGAAAAATAATCGGAAAACCGAGAACTATTTACAGCACGCCATAACGTTCTTTTTAATTTTTACAAACTATATTTTCTACCAGAAATATTACTCCAAGAGATCTTTTCTGTTACATTCTTAATGTAGTTCGAGAGTTGTTTTTTGATTTTCCATGTAGTTCTTTTTTAATAATAGAGCCAAACCGAAAAAAACTGGGAAATTTATTAAAATAATCTTTTTGTTTTTTATTACTCAGTTAAAAGAGACTTGAAATTTGGATAAAAAATAACTTATATTTACCTTTTCTAGGTGTGGTAAAATATTCAAAATATTTAAGCTATTTATTGACATTTTAATTTTGCAAATTTTGTACACAATGTTTATTTGATAGGTACTCCGTGCATAAATTATTAAGACTAAACAGAAATACTTTAATTCATTAAGAGCCATACTTTATAGCGAAAAAAAAATTGAATGTAATGTATTATTTTTTTTTATGAGTTTTAAAATCAGATTTTGACAAAAATCATAAATATTCCATTCTTTCAAACATGTATAATACAACTTTACTCAAAATTGTTATTTTTTAGTAATAGTTTATAGTTGGTTACTGATATAAATTAAATTATTGTGTATATCCTACCTTTCCAATTTCCCACTTATAACAGTGACATCCATCTTCTGAATCAGCTTTTTTTTTTTATCTATAGAGGCATAGACAATATAATAGGGAACACATACACACATTCTGTATTATTTCTAGTCAAAATAATATTTTCAACATGCAGCTTTATGCCTAATACAATTATACATTTATTTTAATTTTGTTTGTGTCAAATCATAAATCAATAAAACTATAACAAAATGTTTTTATTAATAGTTTATAAATGTTTTTATAAATAAAATGTATGTAATGGAATTAATATAATGTAATATATTTATGCTAACAAATACAAAATAAAAAACAAAATATTTAAAATAATCATACACATAACAGAACACAAATGTTTTAGTCATTACTAATAATGTTTTATTAAATAAATTGTTTTAAACCAACATATTTATTAAACTTCTCTGAAGACATATTAGATCCTGGATCAGTTTTTGTTTGGGCCTGATTTTGATTAATTAAATTATCGGGTTTGAATAAATATACTGCATTTGGTAATAATGTCAGTTTCATCGGCTTAACTTCATAGTCTTCATTATCAATTGACAGCCATTTATCTTCCTAAATTTAATATATATATAATTAGTTATAAATACATGTTTAGTAACATATTATTTTACTTCTTCATTTTGGGGCATTAAAGTTATTTCTTTAGCTTCTATAAAGGAATTTTGAATTTCACTAGGTTTGTTCGTAAATTTTGTATAACCTTCTTTTATAAAATCTGCATAAGAAATATGTTGAGGACCAACATTTATTTTTAAAACAGGAGTTTGTCCAATATCTAAATTAATATTAACATTTAACGTTTTAATGGGCATCTTTGAATAATTACTACATTCTGGATTGACTATTTTTGAATAATCTATGTAACCTAAATCAAATGAATACAATTTAAAATTTAAAATTTAAAATATGTATTATTGTATATTTAATACTAACCAGGATTTTTTTTAAACGAGAAAATTTTACTTATCCAAGAAAAGAAACTTGATGACTTATTGATTGAATCAATTTGTTTTTTGTAACAATTACTACAACCGGAACATGGCGGACTGTATTCCAACTCAGCATCTACTGTATAGTTAAGCCAACTATTTCCAAACACAAAAGCAGCCAAATCCCTGAATTTTCCAAAATACCAATATTGATCACGTGCCACTTTAACTTCTCTCATTGCACCCCATTCAATATTATTTAAAGCATAAACACATTTTTCTGGATTCTGGCTCTATACACAAAATTTAAAAATTCTAATTATTTTCAATTATTAATAAATATCTTTACTTTCATCTTAAAAAAAAAAAAAATTAAAAATATGGTTTTTAATTTCATTTAATTTAAAAAAATTTAAAAAATTTCCAATCAAATTGTACAATTGAAGGAGTAAATTAAATAATTATTTTCGAATATTAAATAATTTATCAATGTGCATACAATTTTAAAAAATATTAAAATAAACAAATGTACACATACAAATATTACATTTTAATTTGTTATATTCTGAATATTATTTCTATTTTATTTTGCTATGCTTTTTTATAGATAACATGTTAATTGAACTCTGACACCAATTGATGTCATTCAGCTCATACAGTGACACTAATTACTGTCTGATATAAATTTAAAGTAAATGGTTTATTGTTTTACATGTCTGCTGAAAGCTGTTTGATTATTATATTATTAGAGTGGTTTTCCTTTTATATGATGCGGTATGAAATGGGAAAAGAACCACAAAACATATGCAGCAAATGTGTTAATATTATACAAAAGTATTTATTAACTATTTAATAATATACCTTTCAACATCTTAAATTTAAATTGTATAATCAGTATTAATTATTTATTTATTAAATGACCTTTAAATTTTCAATTTTTACTACAGGGTATGGAGAATTAACTTCTTTTATTATAGCCATTGTTGCATTAGTAAGAAAATGCACTTGATTATCGTCCTGAGGTTGTAGTAAACGTCGTGCAATATTGTTTGTGCGTCCCAGAGGTAAAATTCCAATTGGCAAATGTTCTGTGTGAGATGTATCTCCTTTTAAACGTCTTAACAAACCAGTTACTACCTGAAAATAAAAATAAAATAATTTTAATCTATGTATTATAATTATTGTATATAATTACAATTAATAAGTGTTTTATAACACTTTAACAAAAATCTAAATGAATTTATCCAAACCTCTAATTTAGTAGAATAATCATTCAAAATTACATTCAGTAAAAATTAAAAAATATTTATAATAATTATTAATATATAGATATTCCAAAATGGGTTTTATACAAATTACTCATAAAGAGTCATAAATATTTGCCTTTTTAAATTCTCTTTTTGGTTTTTCCCAATTATTTTGAAAACCCCTTGAAAAATCAAAAAATGATCTCTCTAATGCACCAACTAGAGAAAATTTTGTTTTAGAAAAGTTACTACATTGTATACACATCATAATAAAACCAATAGATTTTTTGCTATGTTCAAATTCTAAGTCATTGATAATTAATTACTTTTTATTTATATTATGACATTTTCTTTCTATTAATTGTAGGAGCATGACATAGGATATAAATGGAAATTATCAAATACATTTCTTTGAGGTAAGAATAAATTATACAAATTTTGTGCTTTATGAAATTGAAATAAAAACCTCTGATAGAGTGCCATCGCCTCCAGCTACAATTAGAGCATCCGTTTCACTAATTAGATTTTCCACTAAACTTCTGGCTCCACCTTCTCGTTCAGTTGTAAGAACTGTAACAGAATATCCAGCTAAATGTAATAATGGAGCACAGTATTTTTCAAAATCTGATTTAGCATTTCTAAATAAAACAAAATTAAATATAGTTATTATATGTTAAATTAATAAAGAATAATCACGTGACAAAAATACCTTTTGTTAGCGGCAGGATTCAGTATAACTGTGACTCTTTTGGGTTTTTTGTCAATTGATAATGGCTCGTTTCCATATAATGATACTGTTCTACAGCATTCTGACATAAACATATGTGTTCTAAATTACAGTAAAAACAAAAAATAAATATATTACAAAAATTATTAATTAATGAACAGTAAAATAAATGTTATAGGTAATATTTTATTTTATACAATTGTAAAACAGTTTAGATTAGTACAATATAATTATTGCTATATAAAAACAATCTGAATCTAACTGGCAGACATATTTATAATTGTCAGCACACAATAAAAAAAACTAGGTACATAGGTTGATAGTTACATTTCTCTAAACAATTTTCAAATACTTGTACATTATAATAATATTCATTTCTAATTGCATTAGTAAAATGAAAAATATAAATAAATAAACTTCAGCTTACTCATATTTCCCGTTGACATAATTTACACCATACGAAAAAACCGCAGAAAAGAACAAGGACTTTTTCCAGTTATTTCTTATGGTTTTGAGAACTCCCAAGACTTTTGCCATATTGCATGAGGCTAGAGATTTCAAAAATTACGATTTATAATAATTTATAAATAAAAGTTTGTGTTAAAATTTAAATAAATTTAATATTTTCAAAATTAAATATCTGTTATCAAATATGTGATAACATGTTTTTCGTATACAAATGATACAAAATCACGTATTCACCATAGGACATAGATAACACTAGTTCACACTGTTCACAGTGGTTTTCCCGGGGGGGGGGGAGGGGTCACAAAAGATCATAACCATAATCATACCTTCCCAATTGTTTTTACCTCAGGCCCTGATTTACAGGGCCCCCAAATTCTGAGAGCACCTTTTCACTCTATAAAAAAAAAAATAGTACACTTTTATATTTTTGGTAGGTATACAATTGATAAGTGTTTAATGAGTAATAACAGTCGAATCCGCTTTATTGGGACACATCGGTTGCATTTTATTTTATCCCAATAAAGCGGTTGTCCCAATAATCCGAAATACAAAAATGACATACACATTTTTTGAAATTGTTTTACTATTGACTTTATTTAAATTTTTTATTACATTACAAAAAGAAAAACACGGTATTATAACTTAGTTATTTATAAAAATACATACATACATAATTAATATAAAGTACATATATACACATATATAATGTACATTGTATTTTATGTTATTTAAAAAAACTATGAATATTACTTTGTTTCTTGCGTATTATTGATTGTTGACGAATGTAGTCCGAACAAGCATCCAAAGCATTTATGGGGCATTCAACGAANAATTTAATCTAATAAACGATTACGCGAGTCTGTCGCGATTTTCGAATTACTGATCTATTAATATACTCGATAAAAATGTCCCAATTATCCGAATTCGTGGCCCAGATAAGCGGTGAACGTTTACCCTACAAGTATACATTTGTTTTCGTAATTGAAGAATTGTCCCTATTAAGCGGTTGTCCTTATTAACCGGTGTCTCTATTAAGCGGATTCGACTGTATTATAATTTCTTCACATTTTGTATCTATTATATTTTGCACTTAAACTTATTAAAACTAGAATATGTTTTTTTTTAATTAAAGGAAACTGGATAAATATTTTAGCATTATGGGCAATCAATCGCCTGAAAACATTATTGCTGAATTTGCAAAAAAAAATTATAAAAAACAAAATGTTTATAAAAATTAACGTAATTTAAAAATAAAAAATTTTGATTCACATATATAAATTTGATATAATTTTAGGCATTTGATATTGTAATCTACCTCTTAAATATAATATGTATAATGTATATATTTTTATATTATATCATTCTTTTTAAATATAATGATATAATATATAGTCATATTATTTGGGTTGCATGGTATGATTTATTAAGAAAAAGATTTCTAGTTGAATGATACCTTTTGCTAGTTGTAGCCAATACAAAATTCTGGTATTCATTGTTTTGGGTCATAAAATATTTCTGAATAGTACAACCAAAGTTGTTATTAGTTAACAGTATGTACCTACTCATAATGCAACTATAGTCACAAGCACAAAAAATGAGACGTGTACTAGTTGCCCTCAAAGTATCTTTTCTTATATCAAATCCCCCCCAACTACCTAGAGTAAAATCTGCCAGTTGATCTCAACACATGATAATATTGTACATAGCCACAATATAACACTTGGTGTATAATAACAGTAAAGGTAAAAATCTGACGGCATGACATAGTGGATGCAGTTATAGTATTAGTATTAAATACCTAGTGAAATAGTTACGTGCCATAGGGACCATGGCCTCTATAGACATCAAACTACCTATAAATAATAATTTCTTCTAGAAATCTGTATAGGAGTTCAAAGTGTTAATAAATAATTATAATCACGGCCTTTGAAGATAGTTCTGGTATTACATTAATAAAAATAATCACACAGTGAGTTACATTATAGTCGTGGGCACAAAAAATGAATGCTGACGGAATGTTATTTTTTTATAATTGTTAAGCTTTGATGCCCAGGTACTCAATATTTTACATTGTTAGTCTTTTGTGCTCCTTAAATATTAGAGGGTAGATATTATAGGGGGAACGAACCATTGTACTACTTTAAATTTTTTTTGTCTACTCTATTGTTTGTACACTGTAGTATAGGTACATATATTTTGTGCGTGCAGTGTTTCTACCAATTTGTTATTTTTTTTTGTGTTTAATATACTGATTTACTGATTTATTCATATAAAATGTTGATTAAAGATTGTGACACTTATAGCCAAAGCAAGAAAATTATTTTTATAATTTTATTAAAATGCTATCAGATTTTTTCAAAAGGGCCCAAAAAATCACTGCTGAAGCTTGTGGTGTTTCATATATAACAATAAGGTGTATCTGTGTCGAAGCCAAGTCTCTTCAGTAGATATTGAGGAAGGACCATCGTTTAAATTGCCACGTAAATTGTATAGCTGTCAAAAGAAACACAATAAACTGGTTTACTTTTAAGCTGATGTAGTTTGTCAAACAGTACATCAGTTTTATGATAAAGGTGGATATTCAATTGCTCTTTCAATTTGAAACGAAATTTCAAAAAAAATTGCCAAATTATGAGGGGTTCTGTTTGATCTGTTAGGAGATTACTAAAAAACTTAATATTTTCTTCTAAGTGTAATAAATGGCCGAAAATGCTTATGGAGTGAAATGATATTGTTGCTTTGCATTGTAAATTTTATATTTAAATGATGTATTATATTAATATACTATATTTAAAAAAAAAACCTGCCTTTTAGTTTGATGATAACCATTTTAGAAAAACTGTCGTTTAGCGCATGCCGGACAGCGATAATTTTTTGTGCCCCATTACTATAGCTAAATAATACAGAAAAATAAAATTACAAAGTTATCGTTTGATAACAAACCTATATAATTTCATTGACTATTTAAAGTATACAAATGAACAAAAAAAATGTACACCATTTTTAATGTTGTAAGCAAATAATACTTGACAACTCAATAATATATTGTACATTTTGAACGAACACATACAGTTCAGTTAAAACAATATTAAGTATCATTGTTCTATGATCATGTGCTTATGTGCATAAAATTGACAAAATAATAATTATATAATTGCTAAAATTACAAAAAAAAAAATTAAATGTTACATAAATAATTACTACAATGTGAACGGTTTTATTTGCTTAACAATATTAAATTCAATAACAATATAATTTCATTTATAATAGTAATACAATAATATGATAAATTACCTACACTTGGTGTTTTTTTGAAAGGCACAACAATAGAGACAATAAAAATATTATTATTGTTCGTTTTAAAAATAAATAAATCAATATATTGAACTTAAGTATTAATAAATTAATGATACTGTTATCTGTAACAAAATAATAATAATAATAATAATACAAATAATACATTTTAAAAGTAGTAATTTATATATATATATATATATAATATTTGTGTATATAATATGTACGAAAAAGATACAAACAAATTTATTATAACAACATACTATAAGTTAAATATTACCTCCTAAATTTAAGTAGTTATGTATGTAGGTACTGAATTAATACATTTGTCTTTTACCAATAGTTGATTTTTTTTACGCTACGAGTTAAAACAAAAATTATAAGTAACTTTAATGATAATACTGTTAGCCATTAACTCGCAAAGTAAAAACATAAAATATTTGAGTTTATGTTCTTTATTAAATAATAAATGACAAACATTAAAATATATACGATTTTGATTATTTGGGCCGATAATTTTGGTAAAACATATTAACTTTGAATATATCGACAAACAAATTTACAAAATACATAATATAATAATAATAATAATAATAATAATAATAATAACTATGTATAGGTAGTTAATCTAAAATAACATAAAAGACAGTCTTTTGGCAATGTAATGTGTTAGTAAAAAATAAATAGCAATTACTTTGAACATAATAACTTAAAAAAATAAATTCAACTATTCAAAAATATACAAGAAGTTCAATATTGTAACAATTGTGACTGATTAGTACACATTATTTTTTTTAGTAAAACACTTAATATTTATATAAAAACATAATATAATAAAAACAAAAAATATAAACCACTGCATATTCAGTCTGGGTGTTTGTCGATGTTTTGAAAGAACCAATGGGTGAAGTGTTTGAGTTGCTGTGCGGCACTGTTTGATTCGTCTTGTAACCGGCGGTTTTCTTCTCGTAAGTGTTTGACCTCATTTTGCAATTCCATACGCATTTCCATTTCATTTCTCAACATCATTTCCAAATCTTCAGGACTCATATTTGTTCTGGTAAATGTAAAGATATGGTTTAAATTAACAACTTACTGTGGTATTTGTCAACAAATTAAAAGAAATACTTACTTGTTTGTGACAGACGAATTTAATATAGTACTACCATTCATGCCACTCCAATTATGATCTCTATTCTCATTGCTAGTATTTTCTGGAGATTCTTTGACCTGAGCACCAGCTGATACTTTCCGTAACGCTTCAGTAGCTGTATCCACAAGAATTTTCCAATTCATTCGATCAATCGGCGTATCTGGTAGTGGTAAATCAGCAACACTGGAAAAATAAATACAAATAAAATGAGTAAAATGCTAATTTGTTCATTCGAGAATGTATTTCTTAAAAATATGTTTTCAATATTATTCTTATTGATTAACAAAATAGGTTGAGTTAATAACCATTGAATAATGAGTATGTAATATGTTTAAAAATTAAATTATTTAGTTAATGTTGGATATTTTAATATACCTTTCAACTTGATTCATTGGTTTCATTTCACTCAAAGCTGGACTTGGAGCACTAGATATCACAGTGGCAGGGCGAGCTTTAGTCAAAATAACTTGTCCTTGTTCTACATTTGATATATTTTCTCTTGAAGGGTTCTTATTTATTGCCGTGTTTGTATCCTGATTGTAATAATAATTTATAATGTTTTTGAGCAATTTTTTATGATTAAGCTGTAAAACTTACAATGAATGATGAATCTAAATTATAATCAGGATCTATTAGTTTCATCAAATCTTCTTGTAGTGTGCTCATGTTACCACTGAGTCTACTACTCGCATTAGAATTTCGCCCAGAAATACCTGGCCTGAGTCTCGGTTCACCTCGATCTAAACCAGAACGAGGACTTTGGTTACGGCTGCCATTATTTTTTAAACTTTTACGGTGACTGTGAGGAGAGCCGGTACTACTGCTTCCAATCGTAGACACATCGTCTTCAAAAAGAAAAGGTAAAAAAATAAGTTAAAATAGTTCAAGATAAAAATAATTTGTTTGTAACAAACAATAATATTACCTTCACTAGCAACGTGCATTCTTTCATTTAGAGTTTCCGGTATGTTTCCGTTGCTTAAGTTCTTTTTAAAATGGTTACCATCGATCAAAGTGTTTGTTTTTTCTAGTTCTGGGCCACTCGTAGCCTATAAAGAACATAACAGTATCTCACAATAAGGATATAGTACATTACAATTATTGTATTAATTTTGTTTATAAGCATTACTAACCTTAACCAATCGTTTTGTTGACCTTCTGGGTGTTTCTAAGCGTTCTTCAAATTGCCTGTTGAGATCATGGTTATGGTCAGGAGTCTTGTTAATATAATCAAACTGTTGAGCAGGAACGTTTTTACTACTACGTGGATCCGAATATACAGAAAACGAATTGTTCATTGTGGACAATGGTAATGAATTGCTTGTGTGCACTTTGGAATGAGTTTTAGTTGAAGTCGGTGTCAATCTGGTTGGTACAGGAGGTGGATCTTCTAATGGTACCTCTAATAAATCATACCAACGATCGTCAGATGAATGGCCACTCGATGAACTCGTCAATGTACCCTACGTCAAAAAATAAAAAAATAATAGTAGTTTAAACTTCACATTCAAAAACGTGTAGAGTTTATGGAAATTACCTCAGGATTTTGGGGAAAACGAGAATCTATGGGTGTTGTGTAGGATTTGTTACTACCCATAGTACCGTAACCAGAACTGTTGCTGGATCTAGGCGGTGATAGGCTCCGTTCATACCTAAAAATAATTAAAACCTATAGTTATTAAATATGTAAAATTCATCAAGAGATATTGACAACCAATATCAATATGCGTACATTTTTCGATGATTGCCAGTTACAGGTTGTTGTAACGCCGTTTGTTTTCTAGGACTAGTTGTGGCTGATATTCCAGCAACATTTTCATACTCACTCTCGTATCCCTTTGGTGAACTGCTGCTCTCAGCACGATAGGAACAATTTTCAATATGGCAACCTCTGATATATATAAATAAATACATATATAAAAATAATATACAATAATTACAATATCCTATGTAATAAAATATGAGGCATTGCAAACCTTCGGGGTGAGCCGTCCGAGAAAGGTGGAATTACGGTAACTGTAACAAGAACACTAGTTTTCAATAAATCCACCATTTGATCATGAGTGAGCGTAGCAACAGCTACTTTGCATATCTATAGAGATCAAAAACAACTTAAACATTTTTGTTTTCGAGAGGCAAATAATATTATAATAAAATTTTACCTCAATAAGTCTAGAGTTTTGCCGGAGACCAGCTTCCCAAGCAAGTCCAGATTTTTCCACTTGTGTGACTAGACCATCAGGTTGAACATGAAAACCGAGTTGTCCCAACGAGTTACGATGTAATGACAATTCCTGAGCAACAGAACCTTGGGTCACTGCTCGTAATCTGACCACAACTTCCATCAACTCGTCTCTATCGCCGTCGCTACAACCTTCATGCATGTGTAAAGTAACACATTCTCCCTCATGGTAATATATTCTTAAGCTACAAATATGTATACATTGTACTAAAAGAACAATAATATTAATAAATATTTGAAGATAAAGAACAAACCTGTTGGTTTGTGTTGTCCAACCCAATATAGATTTACAAGGTATAACAAGTAATATGTCATGGTTATTTTCTTCAACAAGCACCATGGAATCAGAAGATATGGCCAGAAGACAGTGTCCACCAATTACTCCATTGCCTTCTTCTAACACTACTTGCCAACAAATAGCACCTCTTTGTGATGCATCAGGTTGAAATCTAGGACGCCATCTTTCTTTTTTTTTACTGCTAAAAGATAACATTGCTGGAAAAATAAATAAAAAGAGTTGATACTGCTGATAGAGGCGCATTGTAGATGAAAAGTTGAGACTATAGGATGTATTAGGTTATTTTAACTTGCAAATATAAAATGTCTATAAATAGCTCAAAAATGATTTAAACATTTTACCATATCTAGAAAAGACAAATATACATTTTTTGTCAAGTCTTTACAAATATTTTTAACTGAATAACAACAAAAAATAAAATTGAAAATAATGAAACCATTCTTTCTGTAAATTTTCCAGTTTTTTAGATGTGTATTTTCCAATTTTGTTTAAATGTTATTTTTCTAATTTTTTGCCAATAATTTTGAAAACTCCTTAGAAAATTAAAAAATGACCTTAAAACATCAACTAAATTCAAAATGCAGCCAAAAATGTCATTCGATATTTTTCGATTGAAGTAAGATTTCTGGTAAAAAAGTTGCTCGAACACAAAAAAAAAAATCATATCATAGTAAAACCAATATATTCCTCGCTATGCTCCAAATCTAAAATTAATCTTAAAAATTAGCTAAAGAATAAAATAACTTACAAAATTTTTGAACAGGTTCAATGGTAGTATTTGTTGAATGGTTTGATGTTAGGTCTTTTAAATATGCTTGTCTTGTGCGTGTTGCCATTGTAGCAAATTTTTCAGATCGATGAGCAGCATTCTCTGCGTTTATAACTGAAGCACAAATATAATTATAAAAATAAAATTCACGGAAAAATAAATAAATCAATCAATATTACTTTTGGCCAATAAGAAGTCACTAAATTCTTTGGATTTTTTGAACACTGCTTCTGTGGGAATTGGAGGTCCAAACATTTCAACTTCTTTAGACCGTGTAACCGCAACACTAAAATTATTGTAATTGACAAATATTACGAAAAAAGTTATTTTGTTTATTTAAAAACAATATTATTACCTATACTGAGTGTTTTCTGTACAAGGATTTATGACTCTAACAACAATGAACACGTGTTGGAACTGAGAACGTATATTTTTTGGAGAAAATGGCTGAGCTCCAGGTTCTTGAAATACAATTGTAACAATATCGTTTCCTATGTGCCGCTTTCGAAGAAGCTATATAATTTAAAATACAAATTGTTAGTGTGAATTTTATAAAAAAAAAAATAATAATAATAATAAAAAAAATTGATTACCTGTTGCCTGTTGTTTGGAGTAAAAGGCAACATGGTAGACACATGGAACATGATTTCACAATTTTGAAATTGACTGTAGAATGAATAAAGTCCAGTAGAATCAGCTAAAAACATGAAACATGATTAATAAAAAAACATCCTAATATTATAATTAAAATTCCCTTACTCTTATTATCTAATCCTGCTCTGTATTTGTTAAAGCCTTTAAGACGTACTCTTTGAGCAATACTGTCCATAAACTGATAAAACGCTAGACCGGCTTCTTCATTATTATACATATGTTCTTCAGTAAATTGTCCAGCCCGACAATACATTACTCCAACTTTGTATGTATGGGAAATGCCTTGTTCGTCAAGACCTAGTAATAATTCTTCTACTCGAGTACTTTGAACACCCAATCTTAAACTATTGATTCATATTTTATTATATTTAGAAAAACTATTTGATGATTAACTTATATTTTACCATAAAAGAGGGATTTCTGGAACAATATATTCTAGAACATCTTTTGTATTTATGTGTTTAGAACTACTGGATGGTTTGATATTTGGAATGGCATCTTCGAGAATAGAACCACGAAGTGTTTGCAACTATAATGAAAAAACAAAATTAATTAATGGCCGAAATAACCACACTTCCCAATATTAATAATATAATAGAAACAAATTAATATTACTACATTTTTATTTACCTCACTTGTTCGTATGATAATTCGGTATCTAAACATAACTGATGGATTAGAACTACAACCGTTGGTTGGTGAATCTGTTTCCACTCTTTCTCTTTTTAAACTGATAGCAACAGGTCCTAACGTTTCATCTGTTCCAAACCAGTTTTGGTGATCTAAGAAATCAATATTATTGTTTTAAGTTTTTTTTATAGTTGATTGATTGAAATAAATTTTGTTTTTAAGTATTAAAAGTAGCAATAGTTACTGGATATTTAAAGTTAAAACTGAGGGTAAACCCTCAAAAAAATCCAACATTCTTCATTTTATATTTAAATAATAAAGAATATACATTTTAGATTCTGAGTGGAGCAAAGAAGCTTATAATTTTACAAAGATTTTTTTTTTCTGTGGACAACTTTTCTACCAGCAATTTTGCTCTAACTTTTAATGATAGCAATGATTTTGAAAGGAAATTTTAATGGGGAGGTACTTTAAACAGGTAATTTTTCCATTTTCTCCGGAGTTTTCTTAGCAAATTTGTTCTCTTTTTTTTTTTTCTCTTACCTATAATAGAGAAAATTGTTGTGGGGTGTAGTGTGCTGTTCAATCTGATTACTCTAAATGTTCAATAATAACAAATCTATGGCCTAAACACATTATTCTCACACATTACTTTGTATTGTGATTTTTTTTTTTCTAGGCTAAATCTATTAGTTAATAGGTTTACAAGTTTTTACTAAAATTCAAAATTTACAAATATATGCTAATGAAATTCAAAATTCACGAGATAATAATAAAAATTCAAACAAAAACACAGTTAATAAAAATAAGAACTTTTTTCTTTAAAAATCTCACTGTTTACAATCAATAATAAATATGTTTTCTTACCTTGACCAAAGAAAAACGCTCGATAATATAAATCACCCTCGTCAACAGTCTCAATCAATTTGGAATAGTTTTCAGGGCAGATACCTTCATTCCAATGCGTTTTTCCCGATTTAAATTCAAGAACTGAAATACCGTATGCCATACGCGGTCTATGGTATAATTTTCCGTTATTTAGAGTAGATATTTGTCCGGCCTGGGTTCTTTGCGTTAGGCTTACTTCTCGTTCACTTTCGCCGCCAAGTTCATTTCGGAAAAATGGACAACTATAGTGAAAAAAACATTTTAACATAATATACATTATACATATTATTACACAAAGGAATTTTGAATTTTTTGTCACCTGTCTAGTAAATTGTTGTGTTTCCCGTCGCCGAGGTCTTCGTTACCACTGTCCGGTGTGGACGACCGAGCAGCCAACATGGAAGCGGCAGAAGCGCCGGTGGCCGTATTTCGTCTTCTGGACAACATGTTCTGGAGTTTCGTGGCCAATCCTACGGTGGCTGTTAATGATTGGACGTCGTAATGCGCGAAGCCTCTTCGCTTTTGACGCTCATCGCCCGCAAAATCAGTACAATTTACGGCTGCCATATTAGAAGCAGTGGAAGTAACGGACAATCCGGCGGCGTCGTCCGTGGTCCTGGAGAACTTATTATTGGCTCCCCAAAACTTGTGGAACTTCAGTCTAAGTTTCGGACTATTGGAGTTGGGTCCTTGGGGTGAGGTTGTCGATGATTTGTCCGCAGCCGCACCACTGCAGCTGTTGTTCGAGGTAACGGCAGTCGCTATACGATCGTCCGGTGGAGTGTCAACAGGCATTTCTCGATACCCGAATTCTCGTCCGTTACTGGCTGTATATACGTAAAACGAGAAATTTAACATAGTATTGTAAAAACTAAACATAAATAATAAAATGTACTCTCGCCACACAATCGTGTAGTTGCAACTCACTATTTCCGTCGATCATGTCCAACACAGTCGGCCGGTAGTCTTGGAGTAGGGCGAAGAAGTTCTCGCCGGCGGACGCTCGGCCGGTTGAGTTCCTGTCCGAAGATATGACGTCTATGGAACCGTGGCTGCCGTATTCGCGTTTCAACAGCGGGCTGATGAGAGGACGGTCGGTCCGCGGGGAATCAACGTAAACCACGGTGCTGCCGCCAAAATGACCTGTGCTACCGCCGCCGTGATGGTTGCCGTGAAGATGATGATGCTGCTGCTGCTGCTGCTGCTGGTGATGGTGGTGATAGTCCGCTGTGTGATGGGTGAGCTCCAAGCTGGAGTTGCTCCGGTACAACGGGTCTTGGGTGGACCTCTGCTGTCGTGTCGACGATAGACCGGCATTGGTGCGAGCTCGCAACACGTTGCTGTTGTAATATTCCATCGCTTGAGCCGCATGTTGACGCGCTGAACTAGTGGTGGTGGCACCGCCGTTTCTGGTGCCTCCTTCTAGGCCTATCATCACAATCCACTGCGGAAAAACATTGCATAATAATAAGTACAGAACGGCGTAAAAAGGACGGTTTCGAAAAAATAATTGTTGCAGGGGAAGAAAGAAAAAAAATGAAGTGTGTCTTACATTGTCGAAATAGTCGTAACTATATAACGGCCGGTATACAGCGGAGAAAAAAGACAAATTAACATTTTGTTTTCTCCCTAAATAATGCGCATACTTTTATCATTTTTAAAGTATTATTAGAACCATAGGTACGTACTATAGGGTTGAGTGATAATTGAACAAATATGCGCAGATATAAAATAAATTATAATAATTATAATATAGAAAACTCGACAGTTTTTCGAACACTAGTATAGGAACTAGTATGGACACTGGTCCACTGAAATACTCAATTAAGGTCTGTTCTCACCAACGTAAACGTTTTTATAAGATAATCGATCAATCGTGGTCGGTCATCAGCTACAAACTCAGTTTAAGAATAAACAAATATTGAAAAAAAAAACGGTTATTGTTTGACAAAATTATTTGAAAACACTTAAAATCAGGGTTGGTAATATACACATATAAAACTTTATAACGACTGACATTTTTATTTGTTTGAAGTTTATTATAATAGTGATAATACTGTACATTTTAAATTTTAAGTACTTAAACTTATAAACTAACAAATCTCATCAACTTTGTGGATTTACTCAATTTAGAATAAAATAAAAACAAAACAAATTATTTTTCGGTATTATAAATACTAATGTAGTTAAAGATGTAATTAGGTAATATAACAAATTATCACATATATCTTAGGTAATTAGTATAAAATACATAAAACGGCGATTAAATTCAATTGCGGTCAAAAAAAAAAAAAAAAAATTGTATACAATATAAAACGTACACAACTGATAGTTTCATATTGTATGTTTATACTTTACTGTATTATACGTTTCAACCCTGCTTTTAATCAAATACCTATCTATCGGTTTTATACTACTCAAATATATTTCACAGGCTTATCGTAATAATACGGTGTCAATCTCGTATTTTATTTTCCGCCCTGTCCGATATAATATAAAATACGACGTACATTTTATTGTCATTTTTGTTTGCAATCATTTTCGTTTTTTTTTTTTTTTAATTTATGTATCGCACGTTTTTTGCGCGCGCAGATAAAAGTATATGAGTTTATGTACGACTACTAATTGTACGAGTGTCCCGCGATCGCATCAATGAATAATGCATATTTGTTTCTCCCGTGCGAAATATTATTCGACTTCAATAGCGTTATCGCGGAAACGCCGCTGATTTGTGAATAATACATTTTCGAAAATTCTTCGGGAGACTTAAATTCGCAGCAGCGAAAAAAATATTTAAAAAAAACACCGTCGCCGGAAAAGTATAATATTATGGTATACATTATATTAGCACGCGCCAGAACCGCACACAGTTACGTAAGAATGCGTTGAGAAATCGCCTACCTGTACCAGATACTTGGTACCTGCGCAATAGTACGTACGCAATACGCTTTTTTCTTCTTCAAATTACGAATTAAAATATGTAAAAATATGTAAAGGTCCGATATTATTTAAAGTACGGCGTATAGAGTATCGGCCGGCCATATAGCCGTGCACAGCTCTTATAATATTCAGTATAATAATTTAAAAATTTAAATAATCATTCGAGCATAGTATTACGCATAATATTTCGCGAACTTTATCGGAGGGGAAATTATGCGAGACTCCGCGCGCATACGGGGGAAAAAACAAAATACATATAACATATACATACTAATATCGACGGATTTTCAAATGACAACGATTCGGAGCTAGAAAAAAAAAAACCCACCCACGTCATTTCCGTTTATAACGAAATACATTATAGTATAGCCGAAAGTATATTTTGAAATACAAGAACGTAATATCATATTTGTATCGGATATAAAATTTTAATTAGAAATAAAATGTTACTGTAGCAACTAGTAGGTATAATTTATAATATTATATTATATTTATTTATTGTACAAATATTATATGGGATATCATTTAATACGAATACTATATTATACATGGGATATTTGTTTAACATTTGAAGGGGACCTGTTTTAAATGGACGGTGACAATTTAAATTTACACAATACAAATATTGGTTATAAGTATACATACTATTATATGAATAAACAGATAAATAAATATTATAATCGGAAACGTAGATATAGAACTTCGTTTGTATAGACATAACCTTTGCTCGTTTTATCGTGCGGTATCGAAACATTGTCTATTTACTTTGATTTCTAAACCGTCAGCATGATATTAAGAAAAGACCCGGCAAAATATCAATTTCCGAATGTTCGAATTCACACGCTGAAAAACTACGGTCGACAATTCAATGTGGGACATCAACGAATAGTAATAATTTTCTAAGAGTAACAAGTTTTGGAATACGATAAGCGGGAACGTGCCTATTGCCAAGGGGGGTGCGCGAGAAGCCCACGTATACCGGGCGCTGTGACTTTATAGGGGCGCCAATGAAAATTCGTAAAGTTCTGTGATTGACTATTTTTACAATACACGTATGTCAGTGAACTTACAAAGGACTGCTTATTAGGCTTTTTCTTTTCCTCGTCGTTCAATTTTTCTTTCTCCGGGTGCCGAGTTTACTAGACACGGTACTGTATAAAAGTATACTCAATCACTGCGAGCCCCTTATTTACTATAAAGTTACTAAATCACCAAAACCGCGGGTGTACTACAATATTTTTTTGATAGTTGCTGCAGGTTACTGGTGGTCCAGTAATCATATGTATTGAAATAAATTAATGAATTGACATTACGGTTAATATTGTTGTATAGTAAGTTACATTTTCTTCAAACTTTTTTCTATTGAAAACTCGGTAATGTTATAAGTTTTGAAGTTTTATAACGTACACGAATAATATTAAAATATAGTATAATAATACGCGTTCGCTGAAAATACAGATTCAAATTCAAATTTTTTTTTAAAAAAAAATAAAAGTTATTTTCCAAAAAAATTACTACCTATAAATTATAAATAATGTTTAAAGTTTAAACATAAAACTTTCGCAGAGATAGGGGAAGGAGGGGGGGGGGGGAAATGAAAAATTATTTTCACGAACACATTCCTACCAGCAAGTGCCCACGAAACATTGAAATTCAATAAAAATATTTGCAAAACAAAGGGGGAGAGACCTCCTATGAAATATTTCATAATCCTCCCGCGAGAATCCATTATAAGTTCAAATATTGTTCCGTTCTAGTGAACGAACCTTGAAACTTTTACTACGCGTAGATTCTACACTATGCAGCTAAATATATATATTATAGCTATGGGTAGATTATATACAGCGAATAATGGAAAATTCAAAATTCCAAGTATAAAAAATACAACGTAAAACAACAACACGGATGATTGACACAATAAAACGCTTTTTCAGCGGGCACTGTATCGGAGATGCAGACGTTATAAACCTATAATACCATAATTAACTTTATCCGCAGAACGAATAATATTCGTTATTGCGATTAGTATTTTAGACGGCCCCAATAGAACAATATAAGCGCATAGGTATATATATATTTATAGTTATGTATTGTACAGTGAAGTGAAAATTAAAAAGCAAAAAAAGTTGTTGAATATAACCGCAGAAAACAGACTACGATGACGACGAAAATCGATCGTCACGAGTCAGCAGGCGGTCTCGGATGTATATAATATATATATATATATATATATAATATATTGCTTACGCAGTAAGTAGAGTGCATAATTATATACATAAATAATATATTATATATTTATGTCGAAGAAAATATATAAGTAGATAAAAAAATAAATCACGAATCCTGCCAGACATCGACACAATAATAGTACAGTGGTCTTTTTTTATTATTATTTTTTTTTTAATCACGATCCAACGATTATATATACTTGTTCTCGGGGGGGGGGGGAAGGGCTTAAATCAATTTTCGCAATTTTTCGTGTACTTTTTCCCTAAGTGACAGAAGTGTGTGTATTTTTAAAATTTAATTTGTTTGTATTGAATACTATTTAATATACAAAAGTGACTCAAGCTTTTCTAGCCTGCCAACAAAGATATATATCTATACCGAAGATTTTGAACAAAATTAATTTTGGGTTTTTTAAGTCGTTTTATCCAATGATCATATTTATAACAGATTCAATGTTTTACCCTTTTCATTCAGTATTACACACGTATCGACTTTTGATGTTCAAACAACAAATCTTCCTTTTCAAACAATCGGATTAGAAAAAATTATTTGTAGATATCAACTATTATAACTCATAGATGGTACTAATTTAATATTATTGTTATGCGAATCAAAATTGTTGGTAAAATATTCTTTTTTCGAATTTGTGTCGAAAAGGGGGAGAAAGTTGTCATTTAAAAATCAACTGTCAATCCTCATACCTTTAGATTAGAGTAAAAATTTGTTCAAATAAAACTTAAACGACATCATAATAATTAGAAAAAAAAATCGAATTTATTTCAAACCTTCCAGAAAAAAATAAAAATCGCTACATCGCGATAAAACAATCACCCCGTATGTCTTGGCGCACACTCCGGTTTTTAAATTGCAAATACAATTATTATTATATTACAATATTCCAGTGTGGTGTATATTTAATAAGAATCGTGACAAAAATTGTTTTTTTTCTCATTTTAAATCTGACTAGGTCACATTTTTATTTCTCGTATATATAAATGGCAAGTAGTCATTTCATTATTATTATTATTATTATTGTGTTCACGGCCGTTTCGTGTTCCATATGACACACCGACGGTTCACAAAACGGTCATAAGAATTTCCGGCTAGACATCATATTATAACGGAACATAATATTATATATGTGTGTATAATACATCGTGGACAGAAAAAAAAATAATAACATTATACTCTTATAATATTATGTATTATGAACAATTTGACCGATCGGATTTCATCGTGTCGTCTTTATACACACACTATACACACACAAACCGAAATTTGTTTTGTTTCAGTTTTCACTATACGTAGAAGGAAAAAATACATACGGACGTTGCACGATAGAGTCCGAGTTCTACACCGTCGGAGAGCATATTTATAACGTTTTGCTAACCGAAAAACTGTTTTTCGAGAACATAGAAAACTATGCATCACCTCGGTAATAGCCTATATTTCACTAAATTCAAAATCTATATAAGATTCTATGATAGAGAAAAAAAAAAACAATAAACAAAATGGCCTACAAAATATGTAATAAATAAAATATTACATGATATACACAACCTTTAGTAAAATAACGGATTAAACCGAACATTTTCCATACTTGAGTTTACGGCATCAATATGGCAATAACCATCATACACCATAAAATTCAACTCATAACAGACTACCTAAGTCTAATATTAAATATTCACTAGACGACGGCACCTAATAAATATTGTTTTGAGCGAGAATGGACGTGAAGAATATTGTGAAATGGTGGGATAGGTCCGTTATTATACACTGGAGAGCCTCGTTATTGTATAACAATATGTAATATTTTATACATCGTTAGACTCGACATTATGTGCACCGTATACGAGTACTTAACATGCTTATCGACTTACAGCTTATAACAATAGTAATAATAATAATAGATAAAAATGACGATATCTGAATAACTATCAACAACCTTGTACCTCCGTTGATCACATCAATATTCGCCTCGTTGAAATTTGTAGACGACGCGACGACTATAAAGTATAAATATTGAAGATTATCCAAATAGTGTTGTACAAAAAAAGTTTTATAAGAGGTACTTATGATTGCATCTGATTTATCGATTACATATTTAATATGTAGTGTGTTAATTTTACACGATGCCTATCATTTCGGTATGAATAGCAGTTCTGTTTGTATTCTCACCGACTACGGTGGTAAATGTTTCGATTTTTTCCACTTATTAATCACTTATTAATTTTTCCACCCCAATAGGTTAAATTTAAAAAATCGTTTAAAAATATTGATTTCGAACCTATCTTTGCTCGTCTAAAATGATATAAAATTGCATATACATTATAATATGTAAACATAAACTAAATCACCCTATATATATTTTTTTCTACCTTCAGAGGCGGATTCAGGACAACAGGGGAGGGACGATTTTTAAAACCTACATTTTTGACGAAAATCAAGCTAAGAGTATAATCGTTAGTACTAACAGTATTAGGAAGTGAACGTGGGGGGAGAGGAGGGTGTAATCATTTTTATCGTTCCCCTGGATCCGTCACTGCCTGTCTTTCAATAATCTCTATGATATTTGAACGGGACACGGATTTGTACACAGAACTTAAGACTAAAGTTATAATTACTCAAGTATTTGGTAATCGTATACAATACGAATATTTAGGACTCGGAATATTGCCTGCAGACTATAAATAAAAATATACTCATAGACCGCAATTTTGATATTATATTGTTCGCATAATATAACGTGCAGTCTGTTAAATAGAGAGAAAAAAAAAAACAAAACGAATCGCGCACGGGACAAATTATAATTATTTCGAAGTCACATGCGACGGTCCTCCGCCATCGGTATCGTCTCGACACGCGAACGTCAAACACGTGAAACGAAAAATAAAACCCATTGCGGTTTCGTCCGCTGTACTGCGCGGGGACGAGAGGAGACGCGTGCGTTATTATAGTTTGTTTTCGCGTATATTTAAGTCCACCCACACACGTGCGATAATAACGCACCCGGGATCGTTTACCGCTCGTCGGCAACACGATACCCGGCTCGCTGCAGCGGATCTGTTTCGATCTCCTCGGTAAAAACCACGCGCGCCGACAACGACGACGACGACCACGGTCACGTCACGCGATCGTCGTCGCATCCGTCGCTCTGCTCCCCTACTCCGGACGCGCCGCGGCTACGTCGGAATGTCGTCGCGGAATTTTCGAGGGTCGACGGCACAGCAACCAACCCCCGCACTGCACACAACACACACACACATACGCGCGCGCGCGCTACTGCTCTGGGGTAACAAGTCGGAATTCCGAGACGAGCGCACACAACAGACTACAATAATATAATACAAATGTATAAAGGGCCGGGGCGATGCTGTGCGCTTCAGAGAACGGAGAGAAGACACGGCACCGGGTCTCGCGTCCTTGTGCAGCCAGTGGAACATCTGTCGTCCTCTCCTGTATACTTACGTTTTTATACTAATACATACAGGATGATTCTTTTATGACGATCTGACGATTTCTCATTTCAAGTCAATTTAATTGACACGATTATCGAAATTGATCAAGCCCCTATATTTTAACACTATTCTCACATTTTTACCCTTATTATTGTGTTTGACTTGATTTTCAAATGGCATCCTATCGTTTGGACCGGAGTACTCGGAGGAATTAGATAAGGGTTGTAATCTAAAAATAAAAATATAAGTGGTTTGTATTTGAAAAGCCAGTGTCGATATCCGTTGCTCGGTGGTCTACAGAATGTGATGGTAAAAATATTGAAAAATCAATTTTACTCAAATCTTCGTGTATAGATAACGCTGAACCATAAAAAAATAAACACCCTGTATACGCGTGCAGCGGAGGAAGACCATTGTGGTGCGTTTTGACCCGCCGGGTGCGGTGCGTATGTGCACCATGGGAACAGGACGGGACCGATCTAATTGATCGGAATGTTGCGGGGTTACGACAACGACGACAGACGGTGCTCGGGGTGATAACTGCGGGCGCGAGAACGATTTTTTTCTTTTTCGATACATTAAACTCTAGAGAACAGGAAATCGAAAACACAGAATAACGAATGGAACGCCGCTGCGCACAGACGACGAATGGGCGGTGTAGAGCGGAAACGCAATCTTTTTTTCGTGATGAAATAGACGGACTTTTTTTTATGTACAAAATATGTACTCTGTATGTAGCAAAGAAGCTATTATAGACTTATCAAAACGTATTTTCGTTTTGTTTTTTCTCGGAAAACACATTTTCGATTAGAAAAATTGTTCCGAATAGTTCACTATATTGTATACGCCATAAATTACGCGCAGATTTTTTTTGCCCGCCGGTACTTTTTTTTCAAACATGTTTTAATATTTCAACAATTTCAAAAACTTACAACAAATCATATCGATACATCGGTCTTCGGAAAAATCGATAGCATCACACGAGAAGATTCGAAATTTTCGATCTCAAGTCCTGCGTTTTTCTTTTTTCTATATTATGGCCTATTTTTTATGTCCTCGTATCTCGTATTACACATCATGCACCGTACGCAGAGTATACATATTATGGGAGACGAGACGAATTGAATTAAACGAATAAATAAATTGAAGTGTTGTTGCTGCGTACAGCTATATGTACTGCAGCAGCGACCAAGTCTGTTTAGAAAATGCGTATATATATATATTATATATTTCGTGCGCGCGCGAAGAGGTTTCTTCGGAAACGTAGAGAGACATCATCGTATATAGACTACAATATACTTAATAATAGTATAATATTATATAGATGATAAAAAAAAAAACGAAACGACAAGACCAGAGCGAAGACCAGAGATCCTACATAATTTGGAACGGACCGAAACGACCGCGCGTACGTTGACACCGACGACGTCGACTCTGCTGTGCATAGTGCTGTTATTGTCACGGGAAATTCAACAATAATTAATTAAAAAAATATTTACGAGAGTGTAACGCGATGATATTATTAAGGCTTTTTTAAAGCGCACGCGAGAAGAACATTCTTTTGAAACGTCAACATTAATATTTTTAAAAATAGTAAACTGAACGCACCTGCAGTCACCGCGGGTTTAGGTCACTTTTATACGTGTTAAATTGAAAAGGTATACAGGATATTTTATAGTTTAAATCTCGAACGTAACGATGAAAAATCATTGCGAACAAAATACGATGTCGAATGAAGACGTGACAACAACCATTAATGTCGTTTTTTATCCTAAAAAGAAAAAACTGATGCATCAACTTTGTATTATAATATTATAGATCCAAAATATCCAAAAGCTTTTCTGTACAATTGAGTTTTCTGATTGGAGCACGTCTAATAACAGTTCGATTTTACTGCAAATTGAAAAAAAATAAAATCCTGCATAATATTTGCTTATTGTAAAACAGTAGTAAATTTTATCGTCGACTCGTAAAAATGCGTGTAGTTTCGTTTTCTCGAACCTGCAATCGTATTTTCGTCCGCAAGAAATAAACAACATGATGAAAAAAATGGTTTATGTTTTGTCATCGGCTATTATGCTTCCTCTCTTGTTCTCTGTGTATTCATCACGATCAAATCGCATTAGACGCATGTTGTCGTCCCGCATTTTATTCTCATCCCGTCAATATAAAATAGATGTCTATTTTACTTAGACGCGATGACGGTTGTTGAATATTTAATATAATATTGTCTCTTCTAAAATTACGTAACTTCACCATGCTTAATATAATAATATCGTGTAGGTCGTATTCGTATTATAATATTATATGCTTTACGCACGTTAACCCGATTTCAATTCAACAATTATTATAATATAAGTATACAACTCTAATCGAACTACAAATCATATAATGTTATATCGTTTGTAAAAGTACAGAAACGTGTATCTTATGATGATAATATAATATTGTATAACACATACACACATACACACACACACTGCAAACGGGTAAATGTAATATTTCTGATGAAAAACATAACCTCGGAAAAAAAATGACCGATTAGTAAAATTTGAATTTATAGTATCGGTACGAATTTATAATCGTAGATAATATTATGTACATGTGTAGGATATGCTATTGTTTTCAGTGTTTATACAAGAGTATATTTGTTACCAAAGCGGTTACGTGCATATGGTAACCTTTTTTTTGTTACCATCCGAAGAAAAATCAGTATATCACATTCATAGCTGTGCAGGTGGAAACCATAAACATATTATAATATTATATATGGTGCGATAATAATAATATTAATTTTACGAGAAAAAAAGCTCGGAATATTAGAATATTAGTTAATTCATACTCTAATATATTACCTACAATATTATAAGTTTATTCGAATTAAAACAAAAATAAATCGAATTTATTGTCGCTGGTTAAGAAACCTGGGAGTTTTTTGAGAAATCGACTCAAGTTAACTCTAAACTCTATAGCTACTCGAGTTAAGTCTGGTATCGTTAAAAATTGGTAAGTTGTAACACAAAATTGTTAACTTAGGGTTAACTCTAGTAACCCAAGATAAATAAGTAGGTCCTTTTAACTCTATCACATAGAGATAAGCTCAGTATCATTTGAAAAAATGAATTTTAATATTGTAAATATTTAACATAAAATTATTATCATTTACTAATAAGACACTGTTGACAACCGTTTGAGTATTTGGAGTACATATGCGACTAGCATAATTAGACTGATAAAAGTAAATTCAACTCGAATAAACTTAGCCTACGCGTTTTCGAACACACCGTTCTAGGTATATAAGATAAATTTAACCCGAAATTAATTAAATTGATATTGTTCATAAACGCAATAATTATAAAATACTGATGGAACGCGTCATTTGTATTAATACTGTTTAAACAAAAGAGAAGAAAAAACAGAGGAAAAATCGTTTTATTATATCTTTCAAACCTAACCTATATGCAATTAATAATAACTTTCGCCAAAAACAGTTGAACATTTTGAACTACTGCAGCGTTTGCTGCGGATAAGCAATAAGCACTTAATAATTTGTTTCGAGATCGTGACAGAGTGTACGAATATACGAGTCACAGACTATAGACAATGTTCCTTACGCGGAAAACCGATTGGAAATCACACAGTACTATAATATGCAGCGCATTGTAAATTAAAAAAAAAATAATAATAATATAATAAAACAATAAACCGGGAGAAAAAACTTTTTTTTTTTTATGCGAACCGTAGAGAACACAGATAACGTAATATATTTGCTTCTTGCCGTATATACATAATAATATAGAAGTCCAATTATATATATATATATTATTGTTATATCTACTTAAGCGAGTGAGTAAATATAACCACGCAAAGTGGTTGTCCCCAAGGACACTCCGTAGGTATACACGTACGCACACACGCTTTACCTAGTAGCGGTAATATGAAAAAAAAAATATATATGACAATAAGTTGGCTAATTATAGCTCGGCTATATAAATATAATAGGCAAGTTCGTTTTTTTTTTTTTTTGTTCTCTTGTTCACAATAAACGCACGGTCGCGTGCAATATTTATTATTAGGTAGGTATTACGCATAGATGTATACCTAGGATAAAATAGAAATTTATAACAATAACGTTATAATGTACGTTAATTATTATCTTTTATTTTGTTTTTAACGAATCGTCGCCCCTATATTCGTAATATTGTAAATAAACTATTATACGTATTATAGGTATGTAATAAAACAAATACGACCGGACTACTGCGACGGATTGAACACTGCAACAGTCGAGACATTTCTATTCAGAGTATACTGTTTGTGTTTTTTTTTACTTTTACGAATTTTTAACCAATTATAAACGTTTTCAAATTAACAGTTCTTAACGAATTAATCAACCGGTTTTAATTTTTGTATCAATAAGGGGCTTGCGCGCAATTGTATGTTTTATAAGAAAAATTACACTTCATCCCAGATTTAGACATTTTTTTTAACTATATTAAAAAGAAAAAAAAACCGAAAAACTTCTTACGCATCGGATTATTGATAATGTAACGAACAACTATATATGTATATATATATAAAAAAAAAATTAAAATTGATCATATTGATATCATAATTATAGCGTTTAACAATTATATTTAAACAAACAATATGTTATATTTATAAATCTAAGTCATTTAAATATAAAACCAACCCTCATAATCTCAGGATACAACATATTGACATTCCTTTAATCAATACCAAAAAAGCTTCCAATACATACATATAAGTTGGTTTCAAGTCTCTAGACTAGAAATAAGAAAGTGTTAAAATTTTTTAAATTATAAATACAAACTAAAAATAAATTTTTTTTCAGTTTATTATCATATTCCCCGGGTAATTGTATTTTTTTTTTTTTTTTTTTTTTTTTAATAATTATTAAAGATCTTGAGAAGTATTCTTGCTCTACGATAAGAGGTTTTACCTCTGTGTCGAGCAAAACTAGCAAATAAAGATGGTGATTATCATTATTAAAATCCAAGTTCGGTATACACGGATCGGATCGGATCTGAATCGGATCACTGTACAAACACTACCAGAGATTTTCCCGCGATAGAGAAAAACGAGAAACGACAAGGTTCGCGTAATTCGCGAACAAATTATAATATGCGCGTACGTACGCAATAAAAGGCGAACAAAAAATTATGCATTCTTAAATAAAAAAATGACGTGTTTTTAATGCAAGTAAAAATATTACGTCATCATAATATTATCATAAGAGTGTACGAGTACAATCGTATTATGTCATTTTTTCAAAACAACAAAATGTCATATATTCGCGTTTTATTCCGTCTACGCGGTCGAAATTGTCTACAAAATATTATTAACGAATGAAATTTTCGGATTCGTTATTATAATAACACGTAGACGGTACGCGTGATGTATTCTGAAACGAATTTTTATCGTATACGGCTGCAGATCATAACAGTATCTTCGGTAAATACCACACGGAGTTTTATACGATATTGCACGGCAAACGCGCCGATAATGTAATAAAACAATATTTTCACGGGGATAGGTATGCGCACCCGGGCCGACATTATAATAATGCGCATACAGTAAATTCGAGTGTGTGCCGTATATATTAATGATAACTACACGTCACTGCTGCTCCGACGATATTATAATATTGCGATCGCCGCCTACTGGTGCAGCGATCACGGGGGGGGGAGAGAATTATAATATAATCTATACACGAAAGAAAAAAAAAAAATTATACATAACGATATAATATATAATATCATTACATTATATTATACGTGTCGCGATTGTCCGTAATAAAGTTTTCGAAGGTTACACGCGCCGTCGTCGCGATACGGGGGCGATGGGGGGGGGGGGCGCAGTGTACATTTTCTCCGTCCGGCGTACAGACGAAAATTCGTAAAAATTCAACACGTCGGCTATTATATATATATATATATATATACGATAAAAAATAAAAAATACTTATACTTAATGTTTGTAAAAATTGTTCGCGTATAATACCACTAGGCGTATAGGTTTCCTCGGCGATTTCTCGCGTTTTATCATGTAGCGGCGGCGTCGACGGCGGTCCCCGGCTGCGGCACACACACGCACCGGACGACGATGACGGACGCGGTTCGATCGATCGTTTTGCGCCGAACCCGCAGAATTATCGCCATCGACTATACACACACGCGCGCATAATGAATACGCGCTGTGTATTTGTTCGGTTCTCGTTGTGCGCACTTACGCGTACATATCGAACATGTGCCACACACGTACCGCGTGCGCAATGTAGCCGGGGTGCCGCGGCGTTCGTTTTAACGGTAAGTATAATTGAAAACAACAGCAATAACAATAATAGTAATAATGAAACAACAGCGATAATAACCCGCGGGAAGAGGAGAAAAAAAAAAAATAAAATAAATAACCGCGCAGACAGCGAAAATGCCCCGGGGCCGGTGTCGGGTGGCGTTTACGCGAACCGTCTCGTTACACACCCTCCGCACAACGACTGCATTACAACAATAATAACAATAATAATAATTATTATTATTATTATTATTACGATGCAGCGGACAAATCACACAATAACACGTCGTTGTATTATACGCTTGTATTCGATTATTTGATTTTCGCGTTTCCCGACGAAATCGCACAAAATATATACGGCAGTCATAATTTAATATATGACCGTACTCTGTGCGGCAGAAAGTTTTTGCCGTCATCGCGACTTCGCTCCACTTTACTCGAACCCTAAACTTCTCAGCAACGCTCTTTTTTAGGTGCTCGATCCGTTCCATCACGGTCTTTTCCCGCGCGAAGTCTCTTGGTTTCCAATTCAGAAATACTGTTAATTGGCCATCAGTTGTTGCGACGAAGCATCTGATGCCTTACCAACTATCTTGTTTGGATTCTATGCTTTTCTCGTGACGCTGTTTGGGTAAGACAGATTATGAATTAGTCCTGGTGACGTACGTAAGCCTGAATTTTTGTGGAAGGAGTTAAAACTTGCAAACTATAGGTGAAATGTGTCTAGGTGGCCAAACAATTTATCACATCTCAAAAATGTCGTGCGAGGAATGTTGATTGTATCTCTACTACCCTTTATAAATAAGTCATTAATTGGGCCGGTTGGATGTTGAGCACGATTGGCCAAAATCACCCAATCCGGTATTGTTTGCGCCTCTATACGTAAGAGTAGATTCTTTTTATCGCCACATTAAGAATTGGTTTTTAACATTTCATAAGTACGCGCGTCACAATATATTTTTGAACGGTGAATCGTTACGAAATAGTAAATACAAAAAAGACGATGTAGAATGTGAGAATTTGGGAAGGTAGGATATAGAGAGAAATTTATTTATATATATATACGCAATGATAAACCATTGCTAAAGAAAAACAATTCAGAGCGGAGTCTCTTTTATAGATTTACGCAAATTTTCTAGTTTTTTCCCAATCACAAGGAAAACTGCTTGGAAAATCAAAAAATAGCCTCTTTAAAGTAACAAAGAGATAAACAAATTTATCAGAAAAAATGCTACAATTGATTCATCGAGACAAGATTTATGGTTGATAAGTTACTCAAAGAAAAAGAAAAAAAAAATCAAAATCATCGTAAAACCAACCGATTTATTCCTTGCTACGCTCCGATCTATAAAACTGCATAGGCGGGACAACGAATAAAGTAGATTTCAGTATATTGTCGATACATACTTTTAAATTTTTATTTCTATACAATTCACCACTACTACAATAACCATAAAAAATATTTCGGAAAAAAAATAGATACCTTTTTATATAACATTTAATATACAATATTAATTAGGTTGGCGTTAAACTACTGATGTAGGAAGCCTCTGGCAGCGGTTTAAAGTCGAATAATTATTCATTTTCACCACATAATAACACGCGGAAGCCGCCCCCGAGGTACTTATACGTACATATTAAAACAAAATTAGTGTAATATAAACATCTTAATAAAATATATCGATTAATAATAATGCGTAGTGTAATAATGGTTATAGTATAATATTATTATGACTGAGGTATGTTTTTTTAATCATCATTACATACTATACAATACTACAGCATTATAAAAAACAATCAACGAGAATGAAAATGGTACGTAAATAAATGATTATAATGTTACCCAGGGATTATTCGAATGTAAAACACCATGTTTTATATTAACTAATTACGTACCTACATTAATAATTATTATGGTTACCTATACCATTAGATCCATTATTTCGAGTAGGTATATAGAGTTAAAAAAAAAAAATTGTTATTCTAAAAGGGGCACTTCATGTATAAATAATTATAAATAATTTAAACCGATGATGGTAATGTATACAATTGAATCGCGAACAATGAATTATAAAATATATCAAATATTCCCACAATTCATTGTCGGAAACAATAAAACAAAAAAAAAAAAAAACACCGAAATAAGTTCCAAGAAATTTCTGAAGGTCTATAAAAAAAAAAAATAAAAAAATGATATTGGACAAAATAATAATAATAATTTCATATGCGCCATGGTATGCATGCGTAATCGAACTTGTAACTCATCACAAAATATTAAAAAATACTGTACTAGTCTAGCACTACTCCGATGATATTATAAACAATGTAATGAATGTACAAACTCAAATACAGAATCCTACGGTTAATCCGTTGTACAACTTAATTCGAGACGACCCACGAGCAGAATTTAAACGCGTATACTACCAATAATTATTCCTATATAGTATATTATATACCAGAATTTATATTAATAATATAGTGTACCAATCATAGATACAATATTATGTTAAAAAGATTGGTAGTCATACAGCTACTAAAAAGGTAAAGTGTAATACATCGATTAACCCATGAAATGTTCGAAAATTTTTCTTATTGTCGCGTGTATTTATCGCATAAACAATACAGATATTTATACGACATACACAAATATTTCACGGGTTAATCGATGAAATTTGCTTTCTTGGTAAAATATAGCCGCCAGGCTTCCTCCGCGTTTACTTGTATACATAGAACCGGATATAAATATACGAGTGTACCATTCGAAAAAAAAAAAATGTTTAAACGATTATTTCGAATACGAAATCGCCGTTAAGTAATAATTATTATGGTAAAAAAAAAAAAAAAAGAATATCGGAAAAATACGAGTCGTAAAAAAGAAAACATTAAATTTATGTACAAGTATTAGAGTACTGCACAAATACAACAGAAATCAATATTAGACGGTTTTGGACGGTTCGGGTGCGACGTCTAAATCGTATATAATACGCATAACAGCCCGGTGATAATAACACGTCGTTTATACATAGTGCAGTAAATCGATAATTTTGTGTGTATTGATAGATAATGCATCTACAAACTACGTTGCATGTAAACATCCGTTCTTGATGGATTTGAGATGGAAAAAAGAAGAACCGATACTGCTGATGGGTGTGCTACACTGCTGTAAGTGGGAAATTGAGAAATAACAATAGATAGTTACATAATTTATTGCTAAAGAAATACGATTCTGAGCGAAACTCGAATATAAACGACTGCAGCGCGTTTTCAAATACCGGGATTTCACGATCAAAATGTTAAATGTCTGTACTTCAATAGTTCATAAATTACCAAACAGTTTTACCACGTCTATATAAGGCTAATATAAGTATTCTGTGCAAATTTCAGGTTTCTAATTTAATTAAAAAAAAAAAAAAACGAAAATAATAAAACAGTTATATTTCAGTAAACTTTCCAGTTATTCTCAATCGTTAAAAAAAACTGAGAGGAAAATTTAAAAAATAACCTTCTCAACTCAGTGACGGCTGAAGGAGGTATATTTGAATTATGTAAGTCACAAAAAAACCGGGTGTATTGGTCGTGGGTCCTTAGGGGTGTTCAAAAATATTGATAACAAAAATTAAAAAAAGGCATTTAAACAAATTTTTGACTGCGGAAATTTAATAAATTTGATGAATTTTATTGAAATTTAATACATTTGTGGCAAATTAAATAAGCGATTAAATGTAAAAAATACTTCACATTACAGACACTGCATAAACTAGATACAATTTGATTTCAGAAAAGATACTACCTGAAAGTCCGAGTAATATTTCTGGTAGAAAAGTTATGTGCAGACAGAACAAAAAAAAAAAAAACACATACCATAGTTGTAAAACCTAGCACACTCCTCGGTGCGCTCGGAATTTAAACAGATACTTTTCGCTATATTGATACTGTTTTGTTATTATACATATTTTACAGCCACCCGTAGATTTTTTTATTATAAAATATTCGAATGCATGCGCGCACGGGGAGACATTTAGCTGCAAAACGAGTGCACCTGTCTTCCCGGCCGGCCGGCGCCGGTTCGAACGATGTTTTTACGGTCGATGTGTTGCCAATTTCGGCCGACCCCTCGGTAAGCGTTTGTGCGCTAAAAGTATTGGCATAAAACGTAAATAAAAATATATAAAAAAAAAAAAACACACATGACGACGACGGCGCGGCGGTGGTTGCTGTTGAACACGAGCCAAGAAATGCGCACGACGATTTTCCGGGTTGTGCGGCAACCCACCCATCCCATCCACCCACCGCCGCCGCCAATGGCCCATATACCGACGGCCTAACCCATAAATCTCATAGCCTTCGATGATTTCTAAAATAACCACAATCGACTCTATATATAGGTACCCGCGGATTATTATAATACAACACTATTGTACCTACGCACATACTGCAGGTAGATAAGCGGCGAGGTTGGTTTTATTTCACACGTTTTTTTTTTTATTTTTCGTCGTCGTCGGTCTCGGAACGGAATCAGTAATGAGAGTAAAAAAAAAAAAATCTAATCAAATAAGAAGGACGGAGTAAGCGGAGCGACTGTCGGCCGAGCACACCGAGCGTTGCGTGTGCCCGCGGGAGGACGGCCGCCGCGTCGCCGCAGCGAAATTTATAATTACGGGCCGATACTTCGGTCAATGGGCTTCGGATGATTCTCATCGACGGCGGCGTCACGGAAAATAATTTTCATCAAATACAGATTACGTGATATACCTATGTATAATCTGAATGCAGTATAGAACAACAGCAACTGCTGATAGAGCTCAATCGACCGGACATTTTTGACCTACTTCTCTATTGGCGGGCACGACGCAGTTTCGTCGTGTACACACGGACAGCACGCATTTATATTATACATCATGTACAAATAACAAACGGCGGCGACGACGATGACGATTCTTCTGTGTCCCTCGTTAGTCATCGCTGCAGCAATATTAGCTCAACTCAGGTAGGTAAGGGTATAACAAAGAGAGAGAGAGAGAGAGAGAGAGACCCTTTTTCGAAAACAAAAGACTCAGATAGTATGAAGACGCTAAAACAAATTTAAAAAAAAATACTCTATATACATATATACATATACGAGTACATGAGTACACAAATACTTACGTTTTAATGATTATTATAGAATTAAAAAATAATAATAATAATGAAGACCACAAGCGGATTCGCGTCACTGCAACAGTAACAATAATATGAATGTACGATACGAGAGCTTTACTGCAGACTGCAGTGTTTCAAATATGAAACAGTGATGAATATTATAATAATAATAATAATTATTATTATTATTACTACCTAACCCATTCTATAAAATATACAAATTCAAAAGCGAAAAACGGAATAAAATAAACCGTCATTATTCGTAACCATCACGGTGCATTGTGTTTAGTATGATTATGACAGTGTCGTTTTTTTTTTTTCACTGCAGTTACCGTCATCTTAAAGACTGCGCGCCTGTCGATTTCTATCGAAACGACGAGTATAATATTATTACACCGTTCTGAACGATAAAATAGATACCAATAAAATATTTTGTTTTTGTAAACAACACAATGCATATTGTATAACAATAATAATGCGAGGCAGGCATATACATTATTTATTTTTAATTTGAATCATTTTATTGTATATTATCTACCTAACGTATTTGTTATAACAATAATATATTTATTTTAATTTCTATACTATATTGTTATCGTCTATGACTTATTGTATTTGTACAAGAATCACTAAAAAGCGGTTTTCGAATAAATGTTTCAAGGGGAAAGGCCCACGTGGCAGGCCCAGAAAAGATGGATAGTGTAGAAAATTATTCAAGAGCGTTGTTGTAGTATACAAATTGGAAGCAAGTGTAACAAGACAGAGATAAGTGGCGTGATATTGTGTTATCGGCTAAACCACCAGATGAAAAAGATGACGATGACTTTAATAAAAAAAAAAAAAAAAAACCAGTAGCAAGCGTCACAATATAAACGATTTGTATTTGTATTTTTTTCCGATTCTGAGATACATATTGTAACACAATTATATTTAAAAAAAAAAAAAAGAATAATTGAAATATTTTACGAATTAAATAACATAATTCGAAAGAAAAACAAATAGATCAAATGAATTAAACGTTGAAGAAAGTTGCAGGTGAATATCGTAAAAATTATAAAACACCCGTGTGTATAGAAATTTAAATATGCCTACGTAATCTCAAAACGTCACTATGGGTATAATAATATATTTGACAAAAATAGGTGCAGTAGACGCATGACAATATATATATTCAAGATTTGACAAATCATAATACGACGTGTAAAATTGTTAAGACAAGTCATCTTTGTGTGACCATTAAACAAAGGTCCGTTAATAACTGTTTAATGTATTTTAAACAAAAAGTTTCTGAATGAAATTAACGATTCACATCTGTGTTTAGCGGGGGAGGGGGAAACAATAATACTATGAACGTGATTTTAAGGAAATACAAATGAAACAGAAATCGGCCGACCAATAATCCTAATGTTTAATTATAGAGTATATTATATAACCCACGGTTGTTTATTTAGACACAACGTCAGCAAATATATATTTTTACTGGTAAACAAATAAAATCCATTCATTTTATACGGTTGTTAATTTCATCGACAAATAATAATTTACCAACTATCAGAGGAATTTTCAATAAGCGACACAGCAAAATAAAATTGGGGGTTCACATTACTCTTCACATACTCTCAATTTCAAAGAAAATTTTAATTTAATAAATATTTTATTATAATATGTAATATAAATTTGAATTTTGAATTTTTGGTAATGTTAGGTACCATTAATAACATTTATCCGGGCCCTTTTAAATGTTAGTATCACAATTTCTTAATAAACCCGCATGAAAATATATAGAATAGTTTAATTTATATCTGTACGCAACGTTAAATCATTGGTTAAACATGTTTTGAAATATAAACACGATTTTAACTTAAATGACACGTACAAATAAACATTAAATATTAGACGATGGGGGGGAGGTATTAAAAATGTTATAAAATAAAAGTAAATTTTGGGAATTTATTATAATAATAATTATATTGTTTAATATACGAGGTGTGGCTATTAAATAACGAGACTTCTTGCCTAAAAGGCGCCCTAGATGGGTAGTGAAAAAAACGAGTAATGCGTTGGGTATCCAGATATCTTATCTATGCACGTACCAAAACACGTTTTCGTCACTATTATAGTATTTGTGCAGTAGTGGTTTGAAACGAACGTGTTTTTTTCTCGTGCCGGAAACCATGTGTGACGAAAAACATGAGCAACGGATAAATGTAAAATTTTCTCGTTAAACTAAAAAAAAAACTTCAACTGAGTGCTATAAGTTGTTAAAAGAAGCCTATAGTGAGGATTTCCTATCTCGGGCGCGTGTTTTTGAGTGGCATAAATTATTTTCTGAAGGTCGAGAGTGCACCGGAATCCAATTCAGTCGTAATCCAAATTCAAAACCGTTTTCTTCGATATCAACGGCATCGTGATGACTGAATGGGTTCCAGAGGGTCAAACTGTGAACCAACATTACTATTTGACAGTTTTGGCAACATTGCACGAATGAGTTCGTAAGAAACGGTCGATATTGTAGAAAAACAAGTCGTGGATCTTGCACCAGGATAAAGCGTGAAGCGTTATTTGGCCGCTTAAGGCACTCCAGTACTCGAACACGCGTCTTACTCACCCGACTTGACACCCTGCGACTTTTACTTGTTTCCGAAGATAAAGTCTGCCTTAAAAGGAATCCGGTTTGAGTCGATGGAAGAAGTGAAACAAAAATCGGCGGAACTCCTGAATGGTCTTACGAAAACAGATTTCCAGCACTGCCTCGAGCAATGGAAGAAACGAATGAAACGGTGTGTGGCGAGGGGAGGGGAGTATACTGAAAGGGAGCATTTGAATGTAGAATAACTTTTATAATAAAACACTTTTTCGTNCACTTTTCTCAGAATGTATTGATGCTACAATAATGTTTTTTTTTTTTTTTTTTGTTTTATACTGTCTACAAAATTTCTACCAGAAATCTTGCTCCAATTTTTAAATGCAGCACGTTTTCTGAAAGGAAATTTGTTCATGTTTTTTAAACATATCTGCCTGTTAAAATTGATTAAATATCTAAATGTCCACATATGTAAAATAAAATAGTTAACAAAACAATTCTCGCTCAACTATTTTGATTTCGTTAAACTATATATAAGTATAATATACTGAGTATAAGTACCCACAAGTCACGGTCATTGCGCGTATTATCTGATTCTGAAATTTTGTTTTCTCGAACTATAGGTAATAATGACGGCACTCGAATAATTTTATGTGAAAAAAAAAAAACAAAAAGAAATTATGAGAAAAAAAAAAATTAAACACTATAATTAATAATAATATTGTGCGCCCACAATCGAGAACATCACGACACGACTGTTCGGCGAATACTGAATCATGAATGAGATAACCAAACGCAGTGTGCTGTGCGCAGTGCCGCCGCGCTTTGTCAAGCTTCGACAGGTTTCGACCGTTTTTGTTCGGTCCAATCGTGTCGATACATTGAAATGTCTTGCGGCGAAACCCGAAATATAACGTCACTTATACTGTAACTATACCTCAAGTTTTTGTGTAGTACTGTTAACACAGGTACTATACTCACTTTACAACCGCGGACACATTTATATACCATTGTATTGTGTGGCTAAATATCATATTTAACCATGGTACGTATTCCTTATTACATTTTTTCGTAGAAACAGCAAAAGATCTAATATATTAAATACTCGACAGGATCGCAATTCAATAATTATCTAATAGGTAGATATTATAATATCGTGTATGTACAGATAATTCAAAATCTAAGGAAACAGGAATACGGTCGTTTATAATATCAAAATTTGGTTTCTCAAATCGCACGAATGATGATTTCTCGAAATCACGAATCGGAACGATAATAACAATAATATTATGGCCCCAAGACTGTGATAGTAGGTACGCGGTGTGTATACCGATAACGCGCACGGTTAAATTTAAAATTATTGTACAATCGCTTAGTTCTTGTGGACATATGCAGTGTACTATGATGCACTACCTTGATCAATGATCAGCGCACTCACGCATGGACGCTGGAACTACTACCATATTCTGGGCACAAGGTCTACGGCTGAAATACGTTGATAAAAGCTGTTATTATTTTCGCGATTTACAGTGTAACCGCGAGTTCGCTAATAGCAAATAAAACTCTGCGATTCTGCGCGTGGTTCGGTTGACTACGTTTTGAAATGCCGCGAATTTTACAATTCGCATACCAATTTGAACTCTAAACACGCTAATAGAAAAAATTTATTTTTTTTATTTTATTTTAACACACCAAGTACAAATTGTGGTGAATTCGTGTTAAATTTTCGAGCATATCATTAGTAACACAAATACATTTCTCGTTACGCTTAGAATCTGATATGACCGAGTAAATAATTTAACAAATCATTGAACTTGTGTTACTGCACAAATCATAAAAAAATTATTTCATATACATAGTTAACAATATACCACAATACAATATTATATTTGTTCAAAAAAGTTTTAAAAAAAAAAAAATGAAAGTTAAAAGAAAATGTTTTTTTTCGTAGACAATTAATAATAAGTGAATATTTTGGCAATTGTTTGGAGACACTCTTTTTACTAATTAAGCATAATAATATATTTTAAAACCGATATCGCCCAGTTATTAAAAATATTACTTACGAGATAAAAAAAAAAAATGTTTCGCGGCGCAACATTTGTACCGCTTAGTTTACTATAGGTTAAAATATCCACTGCCAACAACAATCGTTGCGGCATAAATGCTATTTTTATAATTTATTATAAATACTCGTCGTATTTATAAAATTCAACAATACATCGTAAACGAAAAATATCCTATAATTATGTATTTCCAACAAAATTGTATCGCGAACGAAAGAGAAAACGTCGAAGTATTTAGAAGAGAAAAAATAGACCCCGCAATTATACACTAATAGGTACAATACTTATTAATTATCATTTGTAATATACGAGATTTTCACGAAGATGCACACGCGGACGATGCGCGATAAAAGAGAAAACCGCATTTAAGGCAGTTAATAATAATTAACCGATACGAATCGCGGAGTCTACCATAATTGGGTAATAATGTTATAATTGAAATCACGTGCACGCGTCGACGACATTTTATCGACATTTTCATAATAACGAAACACTATCACAACTACAACAATAATGATATTATATTTAAATATCTTCGGGGTGTACGTGACCGTAAATCGGTACGCGCGTACTACGGTAGAGCGTAGGTACACGTAATAATATTACGATATCTGTAATATGGAGTGTAGATAAATGAATTTTTCTAACGCGGCAGGCAGTGCAGTCGTACAGAAAACGGCGATATTATTACGGTCCACGGGGTATGATGAAGTCGAGTCTTATCATTTATTGCAGCAACGGCGATTCGTATCTCGGAGACACGTGTGCGCGGGTATTGCGTTATCGTCGTCGTCGTCGTCGTCCGGGAAGACAAAACAAAAAAAAAAAACAAAACAAAAAACGACGTTTTCTCCGTTAACGATAAAACGCTCGCGGGTTTATTTCCGTCGTACGAAAAATACACGTACTCACGCACATAATCGTTAAAACGCACGTACGCGCGAAAAAACAATGAACGACGACGACGTTTAATAAGAACGCGATATCGAGCGGTGAAGACGCGGCGTTTCCGACGGACGTAACGTTACATTACACGTTACGGGTAAAATCCTACTGCAGGTACAACGGGGCAAACGGGTAAATTATTCAACGAATAACCGAGGGAAGCATTACGGGCAAAATCCCATTCGGAAGGCCCGGAACAAGACGCGAGGATCTCGTGGAGAAATATTTAGCGCTGATCCGTACGAAAATGGGCTACAAGTAGAGGATTCGTACGACAGAGACACCCTGTCCCTCAGCCGTCTGTAAATAACGCTGCCCGGATTTTCAAGTGGGCAAAACGAATTGAATACACCGCACACTCATATCGAATGGCATTCAATCCGTACCCGCGTATCTCGATTGTTTGAAACTACCGCTTTTACAAGCATAAACGGATCGGCTCACCGGGAATTCGGGAGTTTTCCCGACAGACCGGACAGCTCGTCTCATTCGGTCTGACACTATCTGATTTTTTGAGTTCATGAGATACATTTTTTTTTCTTCAGTTCATTTTTTTTTTTTTTAACTTAAAATAACTCGGGAATTCTCGAGTTATTTATGCAAAAAAAATCCACCCCCTAGTATAACGCTATTTGCGCCTATACGATGCCGGCGACATAGAAAAAGCCATCAATAAAATATAATAATATATTATACGGTCGACCGGAAATCCGATCGTATATACGAAAACCGAGAACCGTAAACGGGCGTTCTTCGCGGAAGTCGTTTAAATGTTTCCGGATACGCACTCGTCTCGTCGAATCCCTGTTTATTTATTCGTTTTTTTTTTTGTTTTTTTTTATCACCGTCAATGCAATTATCTTTCATTTTATTTTAACGCTACACTACTCTCGGGTAAATCAACTGGAAAATTTTAAGCGGGACAGAGTGCAGTATTATAAAACAAAATGTGTATTAAGTACAGACGTTTTTTTTATGATTGAGAAAAATTGAATATGATTTAAAAATGTTTAGCTCTTGAGAATATTAATTTGAAAGTTTATTTATAAAAGCTGGCAATTTGTCGAATAATTTATGTTAATTTTTGTATTATTTTCTCAACAAGGAAAAAGAATGATTAATAATACACTCTGTTCTGAATTGTTTTCGTTAGCAATAGTCTATATCGTTAGGCACAGATATAAATTAAATTATTCTATACGTTCAAGTTTCCAACTTTTCTCCTGAAACGGCTGTAACGGCTTTTTTTTTTTTTTACGGATTTACCTCGAAATTATATAATACATATACAATTTTTTTTTTAGACTCATGTTTTTACTTAAGGGAGGGGCAATACTCGTAGTGCAGTTTTATAAAATCTTCTTAGCGCGAGGCTGGTCGCCGAGGCAAATGGTTTTTTTTATTCTGGAGGGACTGGATAATAATAATTATGCAAATACGTCAATTATACATTTTCGCGTGGGAGGAAAACCGTGATGATGCCGGTGCAGCTATAACGCGGTAAAAACGCGTTGTCCGTGTCCGTTCTGCACTGCGTTCGGACGGTGACGACGACCAACACTATAAAATACACAGGCTACACTATTATATAGGTGTACGAGAAGACGACGAGCGGGTGAACGACCTACGTACGTATACTACTACTATGCGTACTACTACTACTACTACTGGTATACAGGGTGATTTTTTTTTTTAAATCATGATTCAATGTTTAACTATAAAGATTTCGAGTACATACGATTGATTTTCGTTTCGTTTTTTTTTTTTTCGGCCATTAGATACCTTTGGTTCCAGAGAAGAAGACCTCAAGTCAATTTTGTATAGTTTTTAAATACGAGTAAATTAAATTTTGAAAGTATACATCATACTCCTGCAATTTAAACAGGAAAAAAAAAAGTAACAAATTAAGTACATAAGAAAAAATTATGAAAAAAAATGTCAAAAATTTACTTAAACCCTTCTTCGTGGCGATCTAAAATCAAGAATCGTTAACTGATATTTTATACCATAGGTACGTAATTTTAAAATTTCACTCTTATTCCGTATACGCTCAACTAAATATACATTATCAAATTTCAATTAAAAGGTATACGTCTGACAGTAGTGTTATGCATATAGACATTTTTAGAAAAATCTTTAATATTTTTTCCAAATCTGGTGAAGAAGAAGGGTGCTGGGGTTGCCATTTGAAGATCAAAATTAGGAATATAGAATGTGTAATTACAGTAAAAAGCTTAGTCAATTCCGCAACAATTTGAACAAATTAAAAATCAAATTTAAGGTACTTGGAACCCTCCGGGAAAATCGCTGTACCATGTTAAAAGAATCACCCTGTATACTGCTGTTACATTAATACTATTGTACATACTATAGTGGGTATAGTATAATACTACTACGAGCGTTTATAACACTTCTCGACTATAGGCGACACACTGTACCTCTATATACAACGGACTCGATCCTCCATGGTAACCGTGGTGGTTGGTACCGATATATACCTAATGCCGCACTACGGTATAGTTGTATGGACAGGCGCGCGCGCGCGCACACACACACATACACACACGCGCGTTGGGTGCTTACACGCTCTGCTGCAGCACCAACGACGACGAAGTTTCTATTTATTTATCCTTGCGTACACGTTTTGTTTTTTTTTTTTTTTTTTTATATATCTGTCTATTCGTCTCGTCGGAAAAGCAGAGCCGTACGAAATAATATAATATTATTAAAAACCAGACTATATACACTACGACACACACGTGCAGTGCTGGATGACGCGAACGCATTATCTCTGTCGCCACTTGCCACGCCGCCGGCCGCCGGTGTACCTACCAGCAAAATTGAACACACGACGTTAATTGAACTTCACTGCGGTTTTTCGGACACGCGATTCACACGTGTGCGCAGCTCACAACGACGTCACGTTATTTTCGCATTCGTTTCAATAGACCGATATTTTATTAGCGTGTACGCGACATTGACATTGAAGAAAAACCCCGCGCACGCCGTTGTGGCGTATATTAATATTAATATATATATAGATATAGATATATAACATATAATAGTAATTGTGGAAATTCGAGTCGACCATGCATAATGTCTATAATACTATACTTAATATTAGTGTTAGAGATTATAACGACAATAATGGTAATACGACATTTAACCGACGAGAGAAACGCGTTCGTCGTTTGGAAACCTCGACCGACGTGTATAAAGAAATAAAAAATTATATACTCGTAAAATACGAAAATATCGTATAATAGTGTTCATCTGCACGGCGTGCGTCACCGGCCCGACAGTCTAGACTAATTAATGTCAATAACGACTCCTACGGTTCGCCATAATGTAAATATATTACACTAATATAAATATAATACACGAGCGTACGAGTACATTAATGTCTCCGCGAACTCCGAGGAAAAACAATATTCGGGCATTGTTCGTATAACAATACCGTTACGATCGATCAACGGGAGGCGACCGCCGGACAAGCGACGTGCGAATTCTCAATGGCGCTGCCGGAGAATGATTGATGCGGCGCGCATATACGCACGTTACCGCGGTACGCGTATGCGGATTACGCGCGGGGACGGAATAAGTGCGCGCGGTTGCGGTCGTGTCGTAAAACGCTGAAAAACGCGAAATTGAATGAAAAAAAAAAAAAAAAAAGGACGTAAAATGTAAATAATAATACAACCGATCCGGGCCGTCGTCGTTCCCTAGGGATTACGAGCCGAAGAATGGAGACAACACCGTCGAAACGACAGCGCACTATAGTAATACTAGCAGAGCGAACCCGGGCTCCCGGCGGCCGCCGGTTTTTTATTGTCGCGGGGCCTAAACGAGATTTTTATCGACCGGACGATTTGTGAGCGAGGCGCGCGCGTTTGTTCACCGCGTACAGTAAGCATAGTATAGTAGTAGTAGTAGTAGTAGTAGTAGTACCATATAATAATATTATTATTATTATTATCACTGCGGCCTAACCGCTCCTCCGGGCGGCGACGACGACGACGGACACCGTCGACATTGCGTCGTTCGAAATCACGTCGTCGTTTACGTTTACGTATACGTATTATTATTATTATTATTATTATATATAAATATTTTATATTCCAAGGCCATCACCACCCGTGTGTGTACCACGGGCGTTGTAGTCCGCGAGTGTACACACACACACACACACACACACACACACGCGCATACACAGAAGTGCAGCTCGCGGGGGGAAAGGCGCGCGCGCGTACCCGAGACGAGAGGAGTAGGAGGAGAACGGACGGCCGTCGTCGTACACACACAAGATTTTTTTTTTTTCGGACACCCGCGCGACTGAGAACACAACACACGCGCGCCCGAGAGGAAAGAGAACCCGTTAAGAACGACGAGTGTTGTGCGCCGTAGTGCGCGTACAAAACGCTTTTCTCGCGTGGTACGGCCCGTATAAAGAAACGGTTTTATAATAATAATATAATATACAGGGTGATTATTTTTTTTGTTCCTTTTTCATCACGATCCAGCGATTTGCTCGGGGGATTTCAAGTGAATTCGATTCGTTTTTAGATGTATTTGTTGGTTTTACAAAGATGTTTGGTATTTTTTTTTTACGTGAACACTTTTACTACCAGAAAGCTTACTCCGATTATCAAGTATAGCACTTTTTCTGAACTATTCTCTGGGCGGTACTTTAGACGTCATTTTTTGAAATTCTCATTAATATTCGAGATAACAACAGGAAAACCTGGTTCTTTATGTTAAAAAAAAATTAGAAAGATTAAAAAATAAGCTTGTCATTGGCAACCGTTTTTATTTATTTTTTTGTTAAGTTTTTATTATTTTAAACTTTTTTAAACAATCATGGAAACGTACATTGTTGTAGTCTTTTTACCATATAATATGACATATATTATATAATATTTTATATACCATATATTGTATTTTTGACAAAGCAACACTATTAACTGAACTCCGCTCAGAATTGGTTTTTCGTTGACAAAAGTTTATCGCTGCTTACAGATATACATTAAATGCCCGTCTGTTTTCTATCTTCCCAACTTTCCACCTACAACAGTGGCTGCACCCACGTTCGAAGTATGTCCGTCTTTTTTTTTTTAATTTTAAATTTTGATTTTCAAATAGAATACACGCATATCATTAAAAACAGATATACACATTCGACGAGTCTAATAAAAAGTCAAAATTCAGATAGGAAAAATAGGGAAGGGTAATCGATTTCATACCCGTTTTTAAACGATGGCCACCCTATTTCCTTACTCCTTCGGTTAAAATATTAGGCTGTTACAAACAGTGTTACGCACGTCGGAATGTTTGAAAATATTCTATAGATATTCGAATCTGGTTTTTAAATGATAGGAGGATTCAAAATTAAAAGTCGATGTAATTATATAGCGTACGGAATAAGAGAGAATAAAAAACTAAATCGGTTTAAAATGTTAATTAGAAAAATAATCATACTGTATATTTGCACAATATGCTTCTATTATAAGTATATATATATATTTATACACGTTTGTTATTTTTCTTTCGGCATTGTCTCTCTATTCGATTTTCTTCCCGCAGCGCGACATAATGTTTACACGGCACGAACGCAGGACGACGACGTGGCGGGCAACATGGCCGGCTTTTACCCCTCCGGTCGATCGAAATTCAAACGCAATGGTTCGTTCGAATTACGACGTTTGTTTTGCGGCGCGCCGACAAACCGCCGCCGCACCCGAACCCACACGTCGCGTTCGAACGGTGAGAAGGGAAGTTGCGGTAATCGAACGTCGGTAAGTACGGATAATAATTCGAGTACGGTCGCCGCCTCGCCGTGGTGGAGCGGAAGCCAAGCAAGAACCCCCGGGCACAAGATTCGGCAGAATATAATAAATTACTGTATACTTGCTGGAACCCTCTTCCTGCTACAGTAGACCAAAACCGCCGTATCTTACCGGATGAAAAAACCACCTCCTGACGTCGGGCAGATGAAATGCGTGCGAACGAGATGCGGACGATCCCACCTCGAGAAAGAAAATCACAACGTCGCCGACGTCGTGTATTTATCGTGTTTTTATAATATTTTACCGCGGGAATTTCCACCGAGTTGCGAGCTCGGACGTTATTAGCAATAACAAAAAATCGATATCCTAACATTCGTGCTAAAACCGTTGTTAATAACATAAGATCATCGGATATGTTATAAAATGTGAAACACTTTATTTGCTTTTTTAAAATGCAAACAAACAGTGCAATTCTAATAAATAAGAAAAATGCGGATACGTATTTTCTATATAAACGCGGCGGCCGAAAGGGAGACGGCAGTGTTGTTATTCTTTGAAAGAAAAAAAAAATAAACCGTTGAAAACCACCGTCTAAATATAATAAAATAAAGTAATTTCACGTGAAAGGCATGGGAAATTGCCAATTACCCCTTAGTGCTCTGCCGCGCTTCCCCGTCCTTCCTTCCGTCGCGGTGGTATTCGCTTAGGGAGCATTAAGAAGAAAAATTACATTAATCCGGTCGACTAAAAGGTTATAATATTTTCATGTGTTTCGCTATGTTTTTATAGTTTGTGGGAGAGTTATACGTATACAGGGTAGTTCTTTTAACATAATCCAGCGATTATCTACGGAATTTTCGTATGAAATTGGTTTCGGGTTTTTTTTCAATCATTATTACAGAATCGTTTAACGATCTTAATAATTACGATATTTTCAAAACATTACCTCTATTCCGTACACCATAAATATATATATATATATAAAAGTTTATATTTAAAATAACCCACCCTTTTCAAATCACGCAGATTCGAAAAGACAATATTCTTCATAAAAATATCAATGTTCACAACACTACAGTTTTAAAATTTAAACATTTATACGGAAGGATTGAGAAAGAGGCAAAATATTATCATCTAAAAACGGATATACGAAATTTGTTACCCTTTCCTATACAGGCGCTTATCTACATTTTAAACTGATACAACTCGTATTATCAAGTGTATCCGGACATCATTATTGGAAAAATATTCTCTTTTCGAATTTTTAATGAATATTGAATAATAGGGTCAATTTAAAATCAATAGTTAATACTAATTAATGAGTAAATAATAAGAGACACAGGTAGAAATCTTCGAAACGGTTTTGAAATAAAACGAAACGATTGAAAAAATAAATAAAATTCAAATGTATGGTTCGAAAAAATTGCGTTTAAAAAAAATTACCCTGTACATCCGCGGCGAACTTTGGCAATACAGCCGGACATACAACGATCCAAATGTTGTCTACACACCGTCGTCCCGCAACACACGACATATCCAATCTGACGGACCATATACATTTCTCGGCCGTTATATTCTTCTCCCTTTTATAAATCTAATATATTACATATAGGCGTTTTATAGTATGGCTCGATTTACGGTTATGCCGTCTATAATAATAATATACGTATATTATTAAAGCTGTAAAGTATACACACCGTCGGCGTATATATTCTGCAAGCCCCGTGACCGAAAAAATCGGAAACATAAAGGTCAACACGATATTATGTCAGAAGCGAGTGAAAAAGACAAAGGAAATCGAACGAATATTGGAAGGTTTTATACGTGGAATTTATTATATCAATTCAATATGCTAGAAAATAAAAATAAAATCCAAAGGTCCAACGTGATGAGCATTAACCCCCATACGGTTATTTTCGGGGAAGGGACAAATTGTAATGAAGTTAGTGAAACACTCAGATATAATACTGAATATCTGTAAAGAAAAATACAAATCGCTACAGAGTTAGGTCAATTGAGAGAGGGGGTTAATTAAAAATCGTTCAGCCTGTACGTTGGGCGTCTAAGTTCAAAATAATAATAAAAAAAAAATTGTTTTGCGTTTTAATATTTACCGAGGAAAAGGGGTCATTCAACGACCACCCGATGTGCGACCGTGGGCTCCGAGATAGCTCCCCTGACGAAAACCGCGACGTCACGCTATACCAGGGGGTCGGGAACCTTTTCGTGTATGTGAGCAATTTTTTAAAAAAATTGCAAAATCATGATTTTCAAAGAGCTCCAATGGTTGAGATAAAAAAAACATACCATAGTACAAAAACGACTAATATATTTTATTAAGAGGATGCCACACCGATATCGGCTGTCTTCGTTTTACAAACACGAGACAGCAAATTTGCGTTCAGTAGGACACATTTTGCACCGTTAGTTTTAATATTATAGCAAATTAACTATTATAACCTACCAAACTTAAAGGTAAGAAGATTATACATGCCCTAATGTTGGTGATTTTTCGATATTTTAATTTTTAAGCAAGATATAATCGTTTTTAAATTGTAATATTTAACATGCTCATGTCTCATTTAAAAATAAAAATATCGAAAAATCATCAACTACAGAGCACATATAACCTTTTCACCTTTAATTTTGGTAACAGATCAATTTGCTTTAATATTAAAACTAACGGCACAAAATGTGTCCTACTAAACGCAGATTTTATGTCTCGCGTTTGTAAGACGCGGAAACAGAGATGACGGTATGGCGTTCTTTTAAGCAATTTATTGGGAATCGGTTGGCACAAAATCGAATTTTAATTTATATTTCGTGGATTCTACGGAATGTCTGGATATTGGTGTATTTTCCAAAGAGCCGTAGATTGCATGTTGTATAAAGCAGCCGCAGGTTCCCGACCCCTGCACTATATACTATATTATATTGTAGAGAATAAATATGTGAATTCTCTCGTTTTCACGATAATGTAATATTAGTGAAATTTTATTTAAATACTATACTACGCTGCTACAGTCGCGTATAGAACACGACGATGATGACGACGTCGATGTAGACAACGGCAGCGCGGCGGTGCACGTCGTCGTCATAATATTTAATTCGCTCGAGACCTACTTGCGAGTTGTGCGGTGTCGGATTATTATACGAGTTTTTGCGCGGTTTCACCTACATACACGCCACTAAGCGCGGCGTAATAAGAAAAAAAATATATAAAAAATAAAATATAAAACCTCACGCACAATACGCAACGGAATCTCTGCAATATAATAATATAATAATCGATAGTGATACGACAGAGTTTACTGTAGAGAAAAATAATAAAAAAAAAAAAAACCAAATGCGTAACACGTTGGATTGTAGAAAAATACACAGCGTTGCGCATCATCTCGTATACGCATAATATAGGTAACGGCGAGCGTAACGTTTAATATTGAACTATATCACGGATATCTGCAGTCGCAAGTTTTCTACGTTCGATATAATACAAGTCTGGAGGATATTACCGCTATAGATCGATTCTCGTACATCTATATTATGTACAATAATAATATAAACTAATAGGTAAACGATTTCAAGAATATAAATGTTGAAACGAGTTTTGCGGAACAAATCGTGGAGAGCGATTTGACGCGTAATTCCTATACCTTATACAGGTACTTATCATCATCTGTGTACATAACAGATTATTACTGCAAACTTTCCGTAAAATTCGTGAAGGTCGCGGTTATACAGACGGTAAAAAAACTCGATTTATTATACACAGAAGTATTTAAAACACGTGTTATACGCGGCCTAAAAATAATACGATTTCGAGCCACCCACCGTACAAAACGTGTAGTGGAAGTGAAAAAATTACAAACACGTTCATATGCCTTGTTTTATACTTATAAATATTACGTTCAAAATTAATGTCAAATTGGTATCATAAAAAAATAGTTTACGAACCACTTAAATTTTTTAAAATTTTAAATCATTTGGTCATTGTTTGCACAACGGGAACGCGATCTACTCGTCTCATTATTCGTCGGTAGTTTTTTTTTAAGTCATTTTTCTTCGCGTTTCATACTTAACCGAAACGCACAAACGAGATGTACCATATTCAAGATTTGTCCCCCGTTTCTGAGTTGTTAATTTACCATCCGTCGCTAGGGAAATGTAACTCCGTTACAGTGTTTACCGTTTAGTACCGTTTTGTAAAATGTGAAGTTTTTGCGCTGGCCCAATATATGTAATTAACATTGGGTAATACGCTGAACGGTGTTTCAAAATTACGGAATTCTTTTTTGCACCCTCAGTTATAGGTTAACGTATTAGTTATCAGTTAACGAATTTATAGGTTTTTCGGTTATTGACGGTATACCGGAAAAATACATAATATATCAAAGGTTTACATTATATACTATAACGTATACTAAGCGTTATTTGCAGTCAAACCCACAGCTGGGCGTAACGATTTGAAATACGAAAAAAATACGAGCGCGTTTAAATTATGATATTATATTATTAATATTATTATTGTCAAAGTGCACAATAATTACTGCACCAGCGACCGCTAACCGGACGAGAAGTCACGGCCAAGTCATGTATATTGGTATGTACCTATATATACTCGTGTAACCCTTTTGTGTACCAATAAAATAATATATTTATATGACACAGATCACGCAATATTGGGCTTTGGCCGAGAAACCCACCTACGTGTAATTACAATAATAATAAATACGTATACGAGTGTATCCAACGGAAATAGTCGGGGAGAAAAAAAAAATTACAGTTACTATAGTATACCTAGGACAGACTGGTTTATTGCTCCGGGCCAGGCTCACCGTGTTTTGTGCCCAATAATAATATAATATTACTAAACCGGCTGCGCGTGGTTCATTCCGTTTGATAAATTCAGACACGTGCTCTTTTATTGTTAGTACCTGTATAATATTATTATTATAATAATAATTTTCTCGCCTTGGAGAGCATAATATAATGCATAGGTACCTAGTTAAGTTAGATTATATTATTATAATACCCTATGGTAAACGAAAAGCCGAAATACTAGGATCGATTTTTTAAAAATGTCTTAGATTATACAACGTTCTAACGACCATAATATTATTATATATGTATCTCCGTTTAAAGACGTATAAAATGCGTTTACAGATAAAAGATAAAAGACAAATAATACAGTTTTAGATATTGTATTTTAATGGTATTTCTTTTCGTACTATTCAACTATTAATTCGTCATCGAGTATCTACATAAACGATTAAATTAATCTTACATTCTAAACATGTTTTCACCAAAATTATAGGATTTTCAATAAAAAATTGATATGATAACTGTATATACATATATACGTATAAGACATAACCGGATATAACTACGAAATGAATAAAAAAAAAAACCGTTCTTATCTTCAAATATATCGATTTCAGATTATATATTATAAATTAAAAATGTATTTAGTAATGTATAAATAATTAATGTAAAAACTATAAACAATATTATAATAATATGCGATGGTATTATAGATGTATACGTGTCATCCTAAATTTTACTGCACAAAATTAGCGGGATGAAAACATGGTCATGACTACACGTGAGTGAATGAGTCATCATCATATATTATAGTATAGGTGCATACAAATTATTATTCAGGAATTTACACGTTACCTGTATATATTATAGTCACCTATAAATTTATTGCAAAGTATTCAATTGTAAAACAAATGGTAATACCTAATATAATAAAATATACTTGTATATTGAGGCTGTTAAAATCAAAACATTTTAGCGAAATCCCGAGTTCTTAAAATCGAACATGTTACTTTAAAAAATTTCATAAGCACATTAACAAAGTAATAACTATAAAAATGTAATACTTACTAAAAAAATGAAACTGAAACATATTCTATCGAATAATATATATATCCTTCTTAATATTCAAATGCAAGCTATTGTTATAATCAGGGTTTGAGACTTACAGTATTTGCTTATTTTTTTTATTTTATTTTTTTATTTTTTTTTAGGGCTATTCTCACCGATATAAACAATTTCGTTTATCTCATTTTTAAACTTAGTTAATGGCTGATAACCGACAAAAAATTGTCAGTTATTTTATAAACTCTGTTAAAAAATTTACGTTTATGAAAACGGCTCTTAATCTACCAGAGTCCAATGGAAATTTATGTCATGTTACAACGAATTTAAAATGAAATTTGAAAGTACTGTTTTCGCTTATTACAGGTTTTTTTTTTAAAATATGCATTTTACTAGTTTTTCTTCATATTTTCTACTTTGTGATTACAGAAGCCAGTGACAAAATACGAGATTTTTAAATATTTTCGCCTTTGTAATTCTGTTATCCAACGTGCTCCTAGTTTTTTGTTTTTGTTATCTTAATTATTTGTCGCATCGGTTATTGCTAGGCATTTAAAAGTGTTTTTTTTTTTAAAAATGTTTTTACTAATTTATTTGCTTCTTAAATATTTATTAAATGCTAATTTCAGCATTTAAAAGACGTATATAATGAAGTTTTTAAAACGATGTTTTGTTAATTTGAAATGCTATAATTCCCAAACCCTGGTTATAATATAACATTTTTAACTTTTTGTATTTTACGTATTTATAAACACGTTATTTCGTCGAATTTCATTTAATTAGTTTGCTACAAAAATAAAGATTCAATTACGCCGTACAAATTTCACTGGTTTAGAAAAAAAAATTACTCATCCTACTTAATTTTTACAGTTACGTAGGCATTTTTTCTTAATAAAATTGAATTTAGGTAGATAGTTACTATATACTACGTCCACTATATGGGTTTTTTTCTATATGTATTTATAATTAATTAACCTATTTTTTAATTAGACTCTTAGATTTTTTTTTTTTTTGCTTTCGGTACGATCTTTAGATTACAATTTCTATACAAGGACGATGATATTATTATTTTAAGTTATAAGAATCCGATTAGTTGTAGGCACAACTACTGACTTATTAAAAATAATCTCTATAATAACGGACAAATAATAACATCGCACAATTGTACATAAGGTTTTATACAACATACGAGACCGCATGGGAATACCGACTTCTACATAACTTATTTTTACAATCCTATTCAGCAAATTTAAACTATTTACCTACACGAATATCAAATAAATATTATTTAACAGCTTTGTCAGCTATACATATTATTATTATCTAATATACGGTATAATGCATAGATAATAGAATAATAAATCGTAGATTAAAATTCATGAAAGTACCTACCATCGACCTTGCGGCAAATATCATTTTAACAATGAATCAACCAATAATAATAATATTATTTCCGACTTTTTATCTACACGTAGTATATATTCCCATTGAAAATATAACTATAATAAACTACAGCAGGTAAATAAAAAAAATATTATCTTCACTCGCATATATAATTCCCCGATACCCGTGTTACCACTGAAATCCTGAAAAAGTCGAAAGACTGTCGTGAAACAACAGAATTCATTAGTTTTTTTTTTTCTATAGATACATTTTAAGTAAGTATAAAACAGTGGCGGCATTGGATAGAGACCAATGCATTTGTACCAAAGGGGATTCTTCTATGGTGGCAAAATTTAATTTCGTACTCACAGACAACAGACAAAAATATTAAAATAAATAAACTATAGTATAAACAACTAATATGTTATGTTTAGACAGCATAATATGGAATTTTTATTTGATAAAAACACTAAAATTGTTAATCAGTTTGCTAAATTTGTGGTAATAGTTTTAAAATATTAGGCGGTCAGATATTTTAGGATAGCGTAGGTCCTCGCAGGTTCGGGAATCATGATAATTTTTGCACCCTCATAGATTTCTACCAAGATCCGCGTAAAGGATTTAAAACTTGTACAAGCAGTTATATTAAATCGGATATAAAACGGTTTACGATTACAAATAAAAATAAACTACAACCTTTCGAGAATATTTGTATAAAACGTTCTGGTAGTAAAAACAACATTATTCGTAACCGTTCGTATTCCATTGAAATAACATGAATAAAAAAAAAAAAAAAACCGCACGAAGACCCAAAATATCGTTGTACGTTGCCAACGTGTATCGGAAATGACGGTCGAATTACCAAAATAACACCGGAAGTTTCAGCCATTTACATACTATTATACAGATATACACAAAAATTGTAATTTGCGTGCCTATGTACCTATATATATATATACACTGCACACACAGCATTACACTGTTCTCGTATTAACGATTATAATATGTACAAAGGGTACCAACCGAAGTGCATAACGCCGAATTCAAATACATTAGAAATAATTGCAGTGCATTTCAATAAAAACGGCGCGCGTATACATAGGTACATATATTAATAAAATTAACTTTATTCGGTTAAATTACCTATATTAGCAGTAGGTACGAGACATATTATAGAAATAATAATAATGTATAGCATAATATATTTTACAAAACAAAGGAAACTCGACTATAATAATGTTAAATAATTATTAAACTAAACGCATACGACCAGAACAATACACCCTATCAGAGTACTGTTTCGCAATTGTACATACAAATAAAACTCGTGCAAGTATCGATACTCTAATATCAATTTGTTTATACGATTACACCATAGCGGGTTTACTGCAACTAAAATTAATAAGTTAGGCACTATTTTTGTTATCTACTATTATAACGTCACGCAACATAGCAGTCATTTTAATTTAACTGACATCTGGTCTCCAATAGTCAACGTCAGGGGTGGGTTTTGGTTGCATTTTTTCTAGACAGTACATTGGGAGAGTAATTTTTTTTATTTGCCTTGTGACTTTCTTAGTAACGGGGAAAACCCATCGGAAAAACGAGAAAATGTACACAATAACGAAATCAGTTATTTTCGATTTAGTTGTTTTGTTGTAATTGAGTAAAAAATAATCGCAAAGACTCGAAACTTTCACTTGTACTTGTACTTGAACACTATATCTAGACTATCCAATTCTCAAAATATTCTAACTTTTTTTTAAAATTATTTAGAGTTATTAGAAATGTTCGAAGTATTATTGTTTTTATTCGGATCATCATATGTAATACAATTTATTTTTACATGCGGGTGAAATTTAAAATTCGTTAGAAACACGAACAATTATAATTTATTTTAAAATTTGAAATTAATATAATTTCCAATTTAAATTACCGATGCATGAACATCGTTTAAAATGTAATTTGTAGTGTTTCTATATTTCAAAAATGATTAGGTATTTATTTCTCGTAATTATTTTATAATAATCATCCAATCATGTTTTCTTGAATTTACGCGATCGTGCATCGGGTGAAAAATAACAATAAATAGTAAATAATCTAAATTGGGTTTTAGGTTCGATATTCAAAATAAAATAAATCGAATCACGAAAAACGGGTCAGGTATACTTGTATAAAATCTCGGATTGCCCTCGAATAAAAACCTGTATCAGTTTAGGTATCTATTCTATACACAGAACACACGCATTCCGAGGGCATGGTCATCATAATATGATGAATGCTATAGCTTGTATAGGTGTACCCTATACTCTATAGTATACCTACACAAATACCTTACAAAGGGACAGGAAAAAAAAATACAGACAGCTGCAAACGTTACACACACAAACGAGGTCGGATGTGGATTGATCGCTGCTGCAGAGATGTACCAGCAGCAGCAGCAGCAACTAAACGAAATAATTCTCATTTCGTTACTGTACGGAGAGGGGGGGGGGGTTATGAGAATAACATTCGGGTGTATAGAGGTATTATATTATAGTAGCAGGGGCTTTCGTTCAATTAATAAATTACTACGATTACTACGAATACTACTACTTTCGAAAGAAAAAAAAAAACCCTCGAAACAATAATATTATGTTGTACATTATACTGTCAGCTAGATATAATATGATAGGGGTCGACCAGTTTCCCCGTATTATTATACGCAATATAAACGAGAGTAATATTATAAACAAAAACCACGTTAGCCCACCCTAATGACGGGCATTTATAATACGGATAAAACCCTAAGGGCGGTGGCTTCAAACAGCATATATATGCACGTAAATATTATACAATTTTTACCTACCTACGTATATGTATACCATTATATTTTACGTCGGACAAGGTTGAATAAGTACACCTTTATAGTGTATCTCGAATACGCGAATACACACGGACACACACACACACACACGTATACATATCACATAGCATCCCCGAGGCGAATTTTTTTCAAATTAGTCATCATCGTGTTTTGCACGAACTTATTGCGCGTAAATATATATATATATATATAAGTACATTAAATAAAAGCATTTTAGCTATTTTTCTCGTTATAATGCGGTTAGCGATATATTAATAATTACGCGTCGTCGACGGTAGGTAAGTTCGTATTTAGTTTTCCCCGCACTGGGGTTGGCCTTTAAAAATTTAATTACGCCCGAGAGTCGGGACGACAGCAACAGAAAAAAAAAAAAGAAGAAATAAAAAAAAAAAACGTACCTACCTAACCTAACGACGTGACTATGATATAGTATCGCGTATTATTAAAAATAAAATCGTACCGAAACGCCCGGTTTTCGTGCGGACTGTATGGACGGACGAAACCGCAGCAACAAAATCATGATTTTAGGCGTGGACATAAAAAAAATAATTAAATAGAATAAAATCTAATGGAAAAATGCTCGTTCGCATCGAGCCGCCTGCAGCACCAGCCGTCGTGTAATGGACTCGCCGCGTATATAAATATACTACCCTACGATAAAATATACGCGTTGTATATACGTATAGGAATACAGAGCGTTTCAGTAATCGGTATATTATGATTGGACTTGTGCAATAACCTGCAGTTCTATTCAATATCCGTAAGTAAAATTGTTTTTTGTTTTTGTTTTAAGGAGTGGGTTAAACACGTCATTATTATATAACGAAAATTCAAAACACATAATTCATAACATTTGTTTTTTAAAACTGAATTTTTGACGATTTTTACTTCTGTGCATTTATATAGCTATTCATTCAATACGATTTATCTGTTCAAATTTTAAATGATAATGCCCACAATTTTTTTTATTCTGTTCCGAGATACAATAATGGCCCGCAAAACTATGCTTGACATATTTTTTTTTAATCCTGGAATTGGTTTTTAAATGCAAAATATTATTTCTACATATATGTTAATTGTCGTATGGCTTCGCTTTCAGCTCTTAATATTATATACATAGGAAATAACATCGGCGTCTATTATAATTGGGTTATACATTATATGTATTTCGTTGTACCATGTTGTAACTACGAATATATTATAAATAGTGATAATGATTTATATCGACCGACGATTTTCTGGGACGAATTTTAAAACAAAATTTGAACGGAGACCATTTTTCTAGAAAATTGTAAACGCATAACGCTAATATAAACCGTTTATAAGTTATCCGCGGTTTAAAATTTATATTGGAAAAATAGGAAATTATAATAAACTTTACATCATAATCCATTTTTAGATGAAAAATTACCTAAAATATCACTTCTCTGCTTCTCCGGTCCAAACGTTAAAAACAATTATAACTCGAACAATAAATCCGATTTTAGCGGGTATAATATGCAAATCAACCCTTTCTGAAAAAATAATTTTCTATCCCAATATTTGTTTACAAAGGAGTGGAAGGGTTTCCAATTCGAAAACCAAAAGTGTATACGGATTTAAGGTGAAAAGGAGTTAGAGTGTGAAAAATTCAGAAAAAAAAAAAACAGAACAAATCCACTCGAAATCGTCCGAAAAGAATAACGCTGGTAGGTACGCGATAAATGGATCGCCCTGTAAAGCATACCGAAATACCATTTGTACGTAATCGTTTTTGGCCGACGACAGGTGAAGAAAAAAACGGACCCGCGCGCGGGTATAGTGGAGATTTATTCGTCGCGTTGCACAAAAACTCTGCGAAACGAAAAACGCCCATGTGCGCATAGTATTTCGTAGACGGGCCACGGGGCAGCGTTGTAAAAATACGGGCCACGACGAATTTTTACCAAGTTTCCGTAGGAATGCGTGCGCGCGCGGCTCGGCGTCGGCTCGCCACCACCACCGGCCCGCGACAGAGAAAGACGGGACGACGGTTGACACATCCGCCGCCGATTCACGTCGTTTTGGTACGGTTTTCTGTTGCTGCCCCGTTTCGTAGTGTGCGTATACGTATAACATCGTATGCGTGTGTGCGCGTGTAGCTGGACCTGAGCACTGCCGCGGCGGCGACGGCGTCGACAATGACAATGACCGGTACGCGGCCGCAGTGGTTCTCATGGTGCGCGCGTATACGAATGAAAAAAAAAAAAATAATAAATAAATATACACTATATTATACGAGGCGAAATACGGTGGCCGTCCGTAGTGGTGCAGAGAGAAAAAAAAAACCCAAACCGGAAATTATATTTACTGAACCCGAACAAGAATAATATACCGTAGCATAGTAATAGTAGCAGTGTTGTAGTAGTCGAAGTCGAAGCCGCCGCCGTCGTCGTCGTCGTCGTCACCGGTGACGACTAATGCGGAGCGGCGGCGGCAATAAGCCGAGCGGACACCTTCCTCCGTGCCGCGTAGAAGAAGAACCGCACACCGAACGCGTACAGAAGCGGCGGTGTGCGCGGCCGACAGGAAATTGCAAATCGGTTTTGGATGACGGTCTTTTTTAGAAATTAAAAAAAAAAAACGTTTTTTCTACCGCTCTCTATTCTCTTTTTGCGCGTTCGCTAAACGACCGTTTCGAAAATAATAATGTCATACACCTATCGCCGTTATTAATACCTCGCGAGAATCCTCGGGCAACCGGAAATTCCATATACTACTACCGTGCGGTATACGTGCATACACCGCACAACTGCAACGGCGATTGACGAGTGATTTTTTTCGTCCCGTGGGTCTTCGACTGACGGTTCTAAATCGATTGCTCGCCTCACTAGTTTTTAGTCCGTTTGAAATTTCATAAATCCTCTACAATTATTATGCAGCTAGTCCGGGTGTGTCTCGAGACACGTGTCCAACGCCTCGGTAGTAATCGCGGCTACAAACGTACGTTTCCAGTTATCCGTATAGCGGCGGCACATCGCAATAGCTTCTAATTTTTTGATCATTTTAGCCATCCAAACATATTATGTTTTATTAGGTCTCTTCTTAATATCGCGATGTACCACGAGTATCTCTGTATAACAATATAATATTATAAATATACATATTATTATTTTTTTTTTTTTTACACCATCTCGTAGTACCTATTATACTGCACGAAGATGGATGGGCTTCGGATCGGATCGATTGATTTATTTATTTTATCGAAACGATAAGATATTATTATATTATACCCGTACTTTAAAGTACGCGCGGCGGCGTAAACATTGTTCAGAGATAACGTGAGCGAGAGTTCTTCTCAAGGACTCTATAATAATATATAGCACGCGGCAGCTGACAATACACAAATTACCTAACTTTTTCTCTTTCAGTATAATAATGTTCTTTACAATAATAATATATACGACTCTATTTGTGTGTGTACATATCAACTTATTTATTTATAATTTTTACGACGATATTATAGTATATTTATACGGTTGTTCTTCGTATACAAATTTATCCGCGTAATATTGTGCAATTATACGTATAAAATAATACATTGGAACATATTTTATATTTCAAAATAATTGGTCACGGGATAACTGTGCGAAACTCGGATTACGTCGGTATTATATTTCTGTGACTTATAATGATACACAGTAATGAGACTATCTTTAATAATTATACCACTATACTCGTATAATGTATTAAACGTATAATATAATATAACGTGAAAGATTTTGTAATACATTATAGTGTATATACGAGAGTACTATCAAATTATTGACGCCTATCATAATTTGATAATGTTATTCTAGGAAAATCATTAACTGAAATAAAATAATTATATATGTATCAACGTAATACGAGAAGAAAAAAAAAAAAAAGGTTAAAAAATGTGTCGTGTTAAGAAACGCTGCATAGTTCAAAGACCAAAAATATAAAGCAGTACAACAGTCGAGCTGCAATTAGTAGTTTATGTAACGACAATATTATATTATATTATTATAATATATACAGAATATTATTATGGGATTTATGGAAAGGTTTTTTTATTTCGCACCCGACTCGATTCAATCGCCCACAGACGCTGTCTTCCAACCAAAAATATTATATAAGTCAAACGATTATTAGATGTATATATTATATTTTTTTTTTCTATTTTAACTTTGGTTTAAAAGAGGATTGTAGATGACGGTTTTTTAAATTTTTCTCAAACTTTTTTTTACGTTTCAACGATAAGACTTGTCCCCTAATCTATTGTCCGATACCCGTTCGTTTAAAAGGAAGGGACAAAACCATTTTTTTTTTTTTTGGAATACACGTTTATAATACACATGAAAATGTGCATGTAAGTGATTTTGGGTACTCGTCTAATATAATATGATAACTACACCCAAAATTGTCTTAGTCTAATATAATACCTATACTGGGATATGATATTAGTACATGGTTACTTACAAAATAGAAATTACAATTATTGTTATCTTACTTGAATTAATCAGATACCTACAGAAAAAAGTAAAAACAATAATTGCGAACAATTATTAAGCCAAATCTGTAAACACAAAATATCTGCAGATATTCTTCTCTTGATGGGAGTTATTTGTTATTTGAGATTTTTGATAGTTTATTCCAATTTATAATGGGAAGCATTATTGTTAGATAATTGAAAAGAAAAATGGTGCGTTGATCCATCAATCTTATTAATAGATTTGAATCGTTTTTACGCGATATAAAAGTTGTTTACAACTGAACAATTAATCTAATGGATATTCCTGCGGAAAAAAATTAAGTATTATTGCGTGTAAATTGTGTAATACGTATAATATAATATTTAGGTCTGTTAGAAGGTATATCATATTATTGGACTGATCGCATATCTGCGTTGGTACACATATCCGGGTAGGTATCATATTAGACTAATATTTTTTCGGTAGACATATCATATTAGACGATTTCCCACCCGATTTTGACAACGGGATAAAACATATTAATAATAATAATAAACATTACGTTTCTAAAATTATTATTCTAAAATAATAATCGACAACTATAATACAGCGGGGACAATGACGAAAAAAACCGCATTAACGATGTTCGGTCTTATGCGCGCAAATAGACTTGTACTTTTTTGGCTTAAATACACGCACAAACATCAAATAATTATCTGCCCGTCTCTTAATTAACGCCATTTATCGCAGTTTTATTTTTGGGCAGTGACAGAATGCGTAAAAATCAATATTTGTCTATAAGCCAATTAGCGCAAATTAAACCCGCAGAGCGCTTGAATATCGCGTTGATTCTTCGGTTTTGAAAACTAAAAACCGTTTAGCATTGACGACGTATAATAATATTTTCAACGATCCAACATCGGGTACACGATTTGCAAAACTGTACGAACGTAAGTATACGTTTCCGACGGGTGAAATCGATAGCGAAACGCACAAAAATCATAAATAATACATATAAAACAACTCCGTATAAAACGCAATCGTTACAAAAATGCATTACAAACAGTATTATTATCTATAGTAAATACCATAATACGCTAATCACGTGCGTTACAATAACATATACATTATACGGGTGGGTAAAGGCACATAATAACGTGTGCGAGATCGATTAACAGAATGAGAAAAAAAAATCTACTTAGTATATATTGTGTATAGCTTTAGAAAGTGTAATGAATTATATCGACGACGGAGTTTAATTATTAATCGATACAAAAATAGAATATTTTTGTTCTGAAAAAAAAAAGAAAATATATGATATCCTCTCTTATTATAATTTTATAAAGTGCCTGTACGATGTGTGGTGTCGTCGTCGTCGTCACTGTTGTCGTTGCCGGTCGACCAAGGACGCGGTTGATGTTTAAGAAAACAAAGTAAAAGACCGAATCATAAAAAAAAAAAATGTAATTATTTTCTCCTCTATTATTATACGGTGCATTGTTCCGTAAACTTTACACGTCGGATATAATATAATAGTGTACACACACAACACAACAGGAACCGGATAAAAACAATGGGAACGAACGCGCGGCCGATAAAAAGAAAACTTACAGGTCCGCTAATTCCGCTGTTTTATTTTTACGTTTTAAACGCGTAAATTAAAAAAATCAAATAAACCGGACATAATATTGTATACGTTACGCGCCACGGGAAGCCCACTGTCGTACAGGCGCAAAGTTTGCGAGGAATACGAGATGTGCACATGGCGATACACATAATTTAGTTTACACACCGAAAGCATCGTTGTAATCGAAAAAAACGGTTCTGAGCGGCGCTCGGTAATTTAGCAAGAGTTATATCGGTCGTTCTTTTCCCTTTATGTAGTAGACAAAAATACAACCGACGCGTCACGACGTATATTCTGTATACCAGTAACTTACCTTTACTTACCTTACGCCACTTAGGTCTAAATCTAGACCACCGGCTAACCCGCGAAACCCATATTCAATATTGCGTATTGTTTTTAAAATAACGGTTTTAGACAGCTGTGTCTCCTCTATCCTCGCAACAAAAAAAAAAAAAAATACATTTTAATCCTAACAGACTGAAGAATAAATTCTGTAATAAACCGATCTTTTATTAACTTCTGCTCTGACAAAACTATAGGCACTCAAGTTTGTGCAGACTTTGTTTCCGTTTCCCAACCGTCTAACATCTAAACTCTCCTATCGCACAATTAAACCAACACTAAACCGAAAATGATGTCGCGACCTTTTTGACGACCAACCCCCGCGTCGGTTCACGTCATTAAGTTCAGTCGGTACGTCATGATATGTTCAATCAGGACCACTGTCTCATGATAAAAAATTATCTGTTTGTATCCTAAGCAATTGGAATATAAAACAAACAAAAAAATAGAGGACCACCCGAGGAAAAATACGCATCTTTTAATGTACGATATTTTGAAGAATTTGAATAATTTGTATTAACCGAAAAGTAGTAAAACTAATGATAATTTGTGTTTATACGGGCTATTTTCGGTTGCCTGTAATATACGCGTTACATCAGAAATATACTTCAAAATATTGTAGAAATATTGATTTAAAGTTTATACATAAAAATCGAGCGATTTCGGCATATGGCACGTATTTTGAAATGTAAATAAAACATCCGAGATGCCGAGCGGATGAGGACTCTTCGTAGACGGTTTGCTGGAGAGAATTCGTATCTGGCAAAACTACCAAGAGATCGTTTACGGCGCGGGGAGGGGGCCAAAATGCGACCCAACGACGTGATGACACACGTAAGTACCGGATTATAAGGAGAACGCAACGTCCTGGGGTATCTACGGTGTATAATAATAATAAAATAACGTCGAGATTTTACCCTAAAAACACGTCCTAAAATTTTCAACACTGAATGTCTAGAGAACCCTTGGAGATCGATAAATCAAACCTAATACCTAAAGCAGCTGATGCAATAAATTAATACGACAGACGCGATTAAAATCTCCGTCATCGCGCTTGAATTGGAAACCTAATGGTTTTTTTTTTCTATCGTCGCTATCACGTTAGTAAATAATTTTATACGTTTTTAATTCTGGTGGAGTTAGATTGCGTTTTTGTTAAACAAATAAAAAAAATGAAGAATACACCAGCCGAACAGTTCTAATCTTGAAATATACCAAAATAATCGTTTAATTAATCTAAATATTAACCATAAAATAGGTCAGTACATATGTTATTGCACGTAACTATAGTTAACCATCAGATTTTATCGAATCCGGACCTTTTTTATGACGAAGATTCCTCTTTTCAAACGCTGTAGGTACGTCACTGTGAACCCTAGACGACAGGAACGGCCGAAAGGTATCGCAGACTGTACATAAGTATGTCCAGTGCCTCGCACCTCTGGAAGTTCTCACGCTACTATACATAGATCCTCAAACGGAACGCGTTTAGGTTTTGGTCCACAGATCGCGTTTTTAGCTACGTCATATTATTCATAGTTGGTTATAGTTTTAGGAATTCGGGCGTGTATTATTTCTAACGTACCGGTTGATCCGGGTTGATCTATAGCGAAACTATAATAATTTTAAAAACGTCTTTGATCCTAACCCAGATGTTTTATTTAAACTTTTCCGAAAATCGAAATAGATCATTTAGTACCGAGACGTGCGTGGGGAGGCACCTATGGAAAATAGTAATACAAGGTTCAAAGTATAAATTTGTTCAGGCCACGCAACACCCTGTTATGCGAAAATAAGGTGGACAACTCGCAGAGTATTCGCCGACGAAAATATGCTTTTAGAATACTATACGAAAAAAAATATTGTTAATTTCATTTGATATATTTTTTTTATATTATTATTATTATTATTGTTTCTATATCATCACATCGATAATAATATTGTAAACAATCGGGCACGCGATTAATATGATTACTTTTGTAATTGTTTATTAATATTGCAATACAGTAGTTGTTACCTAAAAATTAATATATTAACTACCGCTGTTTGTTCGTCGAATATTTCGAATTGAATAGTATTATTTTAACAGAACAAAATAATATTAGTTTATAATTGTTATTTTGAGCATACGTACATCATATTGTTGTTACGGTTATAAAGGGTTTACGGAGATTTAAAATAATCGCAAAAATATACGTCGTTTCTCGGTTAATTCATCGTCAACTGTTTGGATATAAATATTATCGTAGGTATTCGATTCGGTTTAAACGAGTTGCGGAGGAGAGGCGGTGGGTTTGAACATAGCGGATTATTATTAAATCGGACGGGTTCGTGTATATATATAAAGAATACGAGATAATAATAATATATTATTAATATAATGTGCTAATCGGAAAACGTTAATACGAGACAGGTGCATCGAGTCACATCGCAATCGATTCGACGCATATTTCATCACTGGATACACGCGAATTAGCGACGGTAGTCACGCGGTAACGAAATACATGGCGAAAATTCGCCGTTATCATTTTTAGCGTTCGATATTATTATCATACGTCACGATACCTATGCCTAGGTCCAATAATAATAGTAATAGGTACCCGCCCCGCAGTACCTATACAATCTCCACAACGTTTTCGTGACGACTCCGCGGGCTACTTTTCGCGGTTTAACGTTACCCGGTGGCGGCGACGACGGCTGCGGGTTTCGGTTAAACGCGTTGAAATCACGCGGCGCGGTGGTAATCTATTGAAAAAACGTCGGCTAATGAAATTGAAAATTGTCTGCCGTACGGCGACAACGACAACGTTTACACAAGCTATGGCCGGCTACGACGACGTGCGGCGTGGCCGCCGGTGTACACAAAACGTTGAAAAATCCTCAACAAAAATACCACTTTAATAATAATAACAACACACTAGGTACGGCCGCCAATGGTTCCCAACGTGCGCGCGGCGTACGACAAATAATAATAAACACACAACTGAGACGGGTATACATTTTAACAACGCGTTTCTTAAATGGACATCGCGTTATGATCACTCCGTACAACGATTAACCACCCCGTCCCGCCCGATAATAATAACACACTACTACAACACGCGCGTTATTTACGCATGTATGTACACACCTCCGAAAACCATTCACGTACTCGCGACCGGTCAAAAACTAATTCCATCCCAAATAACGAAAAACGGTGTCTTTGGGAAACCGGGTCGCGACAACACGGCGGGCTCGTTTGCGGGAGCCGAGCGATTCTCGATAAATGACGAATAATATTCGAATTAACCCTGAAATAATCGTCGAGGAGTGGTTTCGGCGGTATCCGGCGAACGACTCATCCTACGGTCGAATTCCTGTAGAGGGTGACACGGGAATACCGAACAATGATTGCAAGTTGGCCGGCTAACACACACACACACACACAATATTTACCGTAACCGTAAATAATTATCCCGGGCTGTAGTATAATTACGCTATCAGCGATTATTTGGTGTTACGCGCGTAATAAGATTTGAATACTGTGGTGCAACAAGTAAATGGATAGCTAATTATAATAGTATTATTGTTATTCAAATATGTAGCGCATTCTTACTTCGAATCGACCGCCGTTCTAGTGTAATGATAGTCGCGGTAACAACAATAGTTATACGCGGGCGACAATATTACAGTCGTCGTCGTTCTAACTTCCATTTATCGACTGCACGGGGTGGCGGCGACCAGTGTGAACGTAGGTTACACAGCCTAATTAATTATCGTTTTTACGACGACGGTCGGCACTCCTTGGATACGGACAGACACGCGCAAAAAAAAGTCAGTAAAACGTGACCGGCGCACGAAAAATAAATATTGGATTATTTTACGGGCTAAACACCGAAACTATTAATAAATAATAAAAAAATATTACTAAAACTATTATACATTTCACCGGTATGGGCTTTGCGACGGTGGTATATTATATATCGAAGGTCGCGTAATTACACGGTTTATAAATAGTAATCAAATACACGGTAAAAACGTACGGGAAAAAAAAAACCCCCGAAAAATATACACACAAAAGTTTATAAATACGAACGCCGGACCACGCGAAAACACGCATAAAACCGACCGACGCACTCGAATATCGTCGGGCAACTGAACCGACGACGAGGAATAACAACGGCCCGGAGACGGCGGCAGCGGCGGCGGCGGCGGCAACGACAACCGGATTCGGTGCGCTGGAGGGACGCGAATCGGAATTTGTGTAGGGAACGGGTGCAGTGGCGGCGACGACCGACGTCTCTTCGGTGGCGGGGCCGGTGCTCTCGCATCCTGCCGCTGCCGCCGCCACCCGGCTACGCGCGCGCGATAATTAGGGGTTACCAAACTATTGCCCCGGACGGATGGACGTTCACGCCCACGTGCGGCCCGGCGTGACCGACCGCATATTAACACGCTGCACATGAAATAAAACGCGACCGCTTGTTGTGATGCACACGATATGCGCGTATTATCAACAAACAAGTGCGTTAAAACAAAAAAAGTGTAAAAATTGTCCGCTGTGATCAACGTAATCGAACCCAAATTTAATGACTAAATGTAAAATGCATTAACCCGATGAGATACCATGTGAGAACTTGGGTATGGGTATTCTTTCGACAAGATTACCTGTTTAACAACACATTCACATACAGAATTAAACGCATCAAGCCACCGAGGTTTATTTCGTGTATTTGTTAAAATTGTCACCCGAATACCGCGGCCGGATACCGTATACTCGGACGGCACTGCCGATACCGTTTACACGCGCGTTCCTAACTTCATTCTGTCGTTATATTACTGTCTTATCTAAGACCGTGATTACGATCCTTGTCTTATCCTTATCGCGCGCGCTTTTTTAATAAATCATATTGTAAAAAGGACAAAATATTATAATTTATAATATTATGCAACAAGAGAACAGTGTTCTAGATTTGCCAAATACAATTGATACCAATACGCGACACTCATACCCAAAAGGTAGGTAGGTACAACACTTACGTGCTTCATAACCGTAATGATTGCTCATTGTGAATATTCGTTTTTGAATAATTTATAAAAAATATAACTACCTATTGATAAAGTGAAAGCATTTAATTATAGTACAGAAATTTAGAAATTTCAATACTTCATTAAGTAAGTGGGTATTATACTTACAAATGTTTACTCGTGTCGTTTATTAAGGTAGGTAGTTAACCACAATATTTAATTGTATTATTGAAAACCTGCTATCCATAAGAAACAACTATAAGCGACCATAGGATTTTCAGAGCTCTAAGTCTGTGATCAATTATCATTTAAGTAAGTGTTTGATTTTGCTTAATACTCGATATTGCAGTTTTGTTTAGTTTTTATCGTTGTTTTTAAAATAATATTATTAAAAAAAAAAAACGGACAAATGTACCTACTTCGCATGATGAATCTGTTGTAGGTGAGAAGTGTGGAAGGTAGAGAGGAAATTTAACATATATCTGTACGTGACGATTAATCATTACTAAAGAAAAACGATTCTAAGCAGAGTTCGGTTGTAAGTACATGTTTTGAAGATCGTAATATTTACGATTTGGAAATAATACAATACGAAAATTTTCAAGTTTCCCTACGTTTTTCCCATTTATTGGGAGAACTCCTAGGAAAAACAACTTTCCTAAAGTACCATCCCAGTTCAGATTTTCTTTCGAAAAAAGTGTTACACTTGAATCTGAGCAAAATTTCAAGTAGACAAAATGTTCAAAAAAAAAAACCTATATCACAGGTAAACCAATACCTGACCTAAAATCTCACAATGACCAATCAATGAATTTATATCATGAAGGAAATCAACGAATGAAAGAATGGACTAGTAATGAATTGGTCAGCGGGTTAGAGGTGCTGATCACCAAATGTTTCCCTTTCAAAAGTACAAAGTATTGAGCGCTATACACTAGATATCTCAAAACGACCCGCGACGGCTTGTTTTAACTACAAAACTAAGAAGAAACCGTGTACTTTTGGAAGGGTGACTTTTGGTTATCATGCGATTCTTTCTTAGTCCGTGATAAAACTAGATGCATCCTTTGGGGGCGAAGGGGGCAATCCCTCCGAGAGAAGTAGACTAACAAATTGCATTTGGCATAGTCATTTAGATAGTTCTGATTTCAACATAAACTTCTTTACTTCTTTACACACCGAATGAAAAAAGTCCAAAAAATCAATTATGATTTATTTTAATATGCAAATGATTGTAAAAACATTATAATTAAGTTTTACGTAGTTTATTAACAATAACATAAAAAATATTTGCGATAGGTGAATTCTGATACCAACAAAATGTTAAACATATCATTATTACCATTTTTAATTTTTGGTATTCCAAACTCAAAAACATGATGTTTAGGAAAATAGATAATTTTGAAATTTGTTCACCATAACTTTCAAATGAAGTTTAAGCGACTTTTTATGAATGTATCATCATTTTAAGCATGCAAAAACACATATTTTGGAAATAAATATTTCAAATAATCACTTGGGAGCTAAACTACATTTATACCACACAAAATAAATGCAGCTAAAAATTCGTGGATATATAATATCTATAACCGTAATCGTTTATGATATTTGTATAAAATAAATAACAAGGATTTGTTATTAATTTATATTGAAATAAAAAATTATAATGTATTTGTGAAGAATGTATTGATTTTAAAAATAATTTTTTTTCATATACCGTGACAAATTATCTACCAGAAATCTTGCCCCGATATGTACGTGTAGCACTATTTCGGAAATAAAATATTGTCTATTATTACAATAGAGCAAAAGCTGCTTTGATTAATTTAAAATCAAGTGGTGCATTGATTCATCCAAATCATTTTATGTTTAACTTTCTATGTTTTGTGGAAAACCCATTCTCTAAATATCATGATAATCCTGAAGCTCTTTTACTGATAGTTGACTTTAGTAGATTTCTTTAATACAAATAACAATGTTTTACATTTTCCTTGTAAAGATCACAAGACCGAAGTTCTTACATACCAGGTGATCCATTTAATTGGGTACACGAAATTATCTCGGAAATTAATAACTTTTCCCGGAATTTGTTTACCAGAAAATTTAAGAAACAAGCTCCTTTACAATTTTTATATTTATGTTATTTTTGTCACCCTTATTTTTGGGAGTAAAATTACTACCTACTTTTGATTTTTAATTGGCTACCTATATTAAATATCCATTAATAGATGGAGTATTAATTAAAATAAATATGAGTGTTGAAAAATTTGATTTCTGTCAAGCCGTTAACGAGATATTTCAGTTTTAAGCTTAGGTTGTAGGAGAGAAGTGGTGCATTATTAACATGCCACACAAAGGTAGTTTTACCTACAAAAATAACATAAATATATAATTGTAAAGTAGCTTGTTTCTTAAATTTTCTAGAAAACAAATTCCGGAAAAAGTTAATACTTTCCGAAATAATGATTATACCCTCTTAAATGGATCACCGTAAGAAAATTTATTATAATTACTATATATAGGTACGAATGCGACAGCTAGTATTCTCTTGTTTCAAACAGAAATCAAAATAAAGTTAACACAAAGAAATTGTTCTAAACTAGTTAAAATGTATCTTCTTGTGTTAGTCTGTGGTTAAAACAAAACATTATTGTTATAATTATTTATTCATAGATGGCGTCGATTTGTATCCAAGGGCGCCCGCAGGGGGTGCCGGTTGGGACTATGGCCCTCCCGCTTTTTTAGTTAATATTAAATATGAATTGTTACTCACATGGCTTAAATTAAACCATGATAACTTGGAAGTTGTAAAAAAGTCTTATACTTTTGACTTTGGCCTCCGCCCGGGGTTTATATTTTTACGAGCGCCCTTCTAAAAAGCCATGACTAAAGGATTTTCAAAATATTTATATATTAGTATTAGTTAGATGCAACTAACGAGAAACTTGTGTTCAATTATCAAAGATTTTTGCGAAGTTAAATAAATTGTACCCATATAAATCAAAAGAAAAAACTGTATAAATAACACAAGATAGCAAAAATATTTCCATAAATATAACTAAGTTTATTATTTATTTAATATTAACATTTTAGTATTTTTACTAAATAGATACTTATAGGTATTAACATATAAGTATTTGGTGAACATTTTAATTCTCTGCGAAACATTTTGAATGTATATTTTGATCATACCTAAATATTCTTCTTACAAGGAATATTATTTATTAATTGATTATTGTTTACCAATGCTTTTCGTTTTCTGTATGTGTACAAACTATTAATAGACAGCACATATTATATATATATTGCAGCAGATTATTTAAATCAGAAGTTATGATGGCAATAAAATCTGTGGTAGATGTTATACATTTCATTCATACAAATAAAATTTATGTACAAATTAAAATTAAGTATAGATGTGTAGTATTCAATAAAAACAAAAACCCCGGAAATCATAAAAATACAAGTATAGAATTAGAGTTTATGTTATTGGCTGAATAATATTCATAGCACACAAAAATATATTTTGTTTTTATATTATACTATAAAGTAATATATACAGGGCCGTACTGGACGAAGGGTTTTAAGGGCACTTGTCCCGAGCAACAGTTGTTTAATTATATGAAAAATTTAAAACTTTTTGACCCTTGGCTTGAGAAATTTATAAAAAAAAATATCAACTTCTAAAAATAAAGATTGATTTAGGTTGCAAATTAATACATCAAGATTCCACTTGACAATGTAATGGCAATGGGACATCAAGTGAACACAAAATATTTTAGTATATAGGTACAAACGTTACAAAGGTCAGTAAATATGAAAAACGGGAAAATCGATACAAATACCTATTAAACAAATATTTAAAATATATATATAATGACTATTTAATTATTTTATCACAATATGATATATATATATATATTGATGACAAAGCAACACTATCAACTGAACTCCGCTCAGAATCATTTTTAGTAAACAATAGTTTATTGTTGCTTACAGATACAAATTAATTTCCCCTCTATATCCTACTTTCCTAACTTCTTACCAACAGTGGCTGCATTTATATGTGAAGATTTGATTTGAAAATTATAATTAATAAAATGTTATTAGATTAAAATAATTATTTTAGATTCTGAGTGGAACGATAAATGTATTGGTTTTACTATGTTTTTTTTTTTTTTTTTTTATGTGAACACTTTTTCTTTCATTAAATATAGTACATTTTCCAAAAGAAAATATTCTCTGGGCAGTACTTTCAAAACATTTATTAAAATTCTCATTAATATTCCAGATAATCATAAGAAAAACCTGGTTCTTTAGGATAAAAAATAAGGTTGTCATTGACAACAGTTTTTATTTATTTTTTGTTATTATTTTAATTTGTTTTAAACAATCGTTGTCATGGAAACACAGTTGTTATCATTTTACATACCATATATTGTATTGTTGACAAAGCAACATTATCTACTGAACTCTGTTCAGAATAGTTTTTTTTTTGTTGCTACAGATATAAATTCAAATCCCGCCTGTATCCTACCTTCCCAATTTTCCACCTACAAGTGGCTGTACCCACATAAAAAGTATGTCTTTACTCTTAAAATTATGAAGGTTTAATAAAATTATTATAATATGGCTCTTTAAATGAATATTGAAATTTGTGATACATGAACAGCAGTATTTCTAACTAGGAAAAAAAATATATTTAAGATAAATAATTATAATGTGAAAGTTTGAAAATTTTTAATTTTTTTCCTCAACTCCCGAGATATTAGGTATTGTTTTTTTTTACCACTAAGGGCCACAAAAAAGGATTTGCACTAGTATCCGAAAGTCTAAATCCGGCCCTAAATAAATAAACAACTTGAATGACAGTACCTACATATAATGTATGTGTGAATAAAATACATTTTTTTCTTACAAAATTATATAAACATAAATATACCGGGATAATCAATCAGAATACAAAGTCTATTGAATATACATACAATTATATTTTATAATTACATGTGCATTAAGAGCATTAATTTCTTTTCATAAAAACCACTATTATTTTGAGAATTAAAGGCTTTTGACTAGTTTCAAGTGTCAAATAAAATTAGACGAATTAGAAAATCTGTCATTGATTGATTCTAAAAACACTTTTTCAAAATAAAGGTGCTAGAAAATTTCCATACAAAAAAGGAATATAAGAATTATAAAATTTATATTACAAATAACAAGACACAATGATAAGTACTGACGAACAAATTTAATACAATTGTTTTAGTTTTAGTTTTTTAAGATTAAATTAAACTAAAAATAAAAATTTTAAATTTCGTTACAATATAATATAATTATTATAGATTTGAATAAATCAATTTAAATTTAGAACTAATACATTTCAAATACTAACATAATTTTTTATAAATACATTTTTGCTACAAATAATAGGATAGAATGCATATTACAAGAACAACCAGACAAATGTAATGAATTTGTTTTTAAGTTTCGAAAGTTTAAAAACAACATTTTTCATTTCGTTATAAAATATAATATAAATTAAGGAATATAATTTCTCGAGACATAATACTGATCAATCTAATAATGACTTACTCTCCTCTATTCTAAAGGTTCTATACAAATCTATTCTATCCAAAAGTATAGGTAAAACAAACCAATTATTTAGCAGTACAGAAATAAGACAATATAAAGATTATTTAAGTGGGTGTCCATGAAAAAAAAAAATTCCGATGCCATTATCTTTCTAAGACAAAAACTTACATAAGCTCATTTCAAAAGATACCAATCCGTTTTTTTCATAACTGAAAATCTGCATTATGAATTAATAATAAATATTTTCACGGTTGTTTAAACAAGTTCCATATGCAAATCCATATTGTGCAGTTAGTTTGGTATTTTTTATGTAGAAATATTATACACAATTGATAAAACACAGGTTTTCAGAATTTTTGGATCATTTTCACTGAAAGATATATAAGTGGATGTCCATGGGACAAGAAGTCCCTTTTCATCCCATGCACACCCACTTTCATGAACTTTCAATAATATGTTCACTTATATTTGAGTAAGTACTTCAGGTTGTGAACAGATCCATCTTTTCCAGTTTGTTTGGTAGTTTTCAGTATTTCTGGATCATTTTCACTGAGAGATATATAAGTGGATGAGCATGGGATGAGAAGTCCCTTTTCATCCCATGCACACCCACTTTCATGAACTCTCAATAATATGCTCACCTATATTTGAGTAAGTGTTTTATGTTGTGGATGAACTGATCCATCTTGTGCAGTTTGTTTGACCTTTATCATGTGGAAATATTATAAACAATTGATAAAACACAAGTTTAAAGTATTTCTGGATCATTTTCATTGGAAGATATATAAGTGGTTGTCCATGGGACGAAAAGACTCTTTTCAACCGATGCACACCCACTTTCATGAATTTTCAATAATAAGTTCACATATATTTGAGTAAGTATTTCATGTTGTGAGTGAATAGATCCATCTTTTCCAGTTTGTTTAATAGTTTACAAGTCGAAATACTATAAACAATTGATAAAACACAAGTTTTAAATATTTCTGGATCATTTTCATTGAAAGATATATAAGTGGATGTCCATGGAACGAGAAGTCCCTTTTCATCCCATGCACACCCACTTTCATGAACTTTCAATAATATGTTCACCTATATTTGAGAAAGTATTTCATGTTGTGAGTGAACAGATCCATCTTGTGCAGTTTGTTTGGCTTTTTTCATGTAGAAATTTATAAACAATTAATAAAACACAAGTTATTAGTATTTTTGGATCATTTTCACTGAAAGATATATAAGTGGGTGTCCATGGGATGAAAAGTCCCTTTTCACCCCATGCACACCCACTTTCATGAATTTTCAATAATATGTTCGCATAAATTTGAGTAAGTATTTCATATTGTGAGTGAACAGATCCATCTTGTGCAGTTTGTTTGGCCTTTTTCAAGTAGAAATATTATAATTGATAAAACACAAGTTTAAATATTTCTGGATCATTTTCATTGAAAGATATATAAGTGGTTGTCCATGGGGTATAAAGTCCCTTTACACCCCATGCACAACCACTTTCATGAACTTTTAATAATATGTTCACTTATATTTGAGTAAGTATTTCAGGGTGTGAACAGATCCATCTTTTTCAGTTTGTTTGGTAGTTTTAAGTATTTCTGGATCATTTTCACTGAGAGATATATAAGTGGATGTCCATGGGACGAGAAGTCCCTTTTCATCCCATGCACACCCACTTTCATGAACTTTCAATAATATGTTCACCTATATTTGAGAAAGTATTTCATGTTGTGAGTGAACAGATCCATCTTGTGCAGTTTGTTTGGCCTTTTTCAAGTAGAAATATTATAATTGATAAAACACAAGTTTAAATATTTCTGGATCATTTTCATTGAA